TACGATTACACAATCACTCAAAAGAGAAAACATAACGTTTCGCATTGATATTGATCATCCTTTCTTTTAGTAAATTCGTAAGTGTGATACAGTGACGTCAATGGGCAACACACAGATTTTTCTATGTTGATATTTTTCAATTTTCGTTTATTTCCAAATATACACTTCGTTTACATCAACACGTGACAATAAATATTGTTTTCCATCCATCTTTTTTTGAAGCATGAGGTGATAGATGTTGTTTCCGATAGTCATTGTGAATTCGTCGACATTTTTGAAGGATCTAAATAAATAGTGCACAATCTTTCACATATTGTCAAATCCATTCAAGCTACCCATAATTTTCATTTATATAATCATTAATTGGCTTCTCTAATTGTATTTGACCATATTGATCCTAAAAATTCAAAAAGACAATCGCAGATATTCATTTATTCGATACTTACAGTTTTCATTTGAATAAAAAATTTTTCATGATTAAACGACATATGAGTATGTATGATTAAATCTTCATTAAAATAATCAATGTCGATTGAATTGTCTTCGTTTTTTGTCCAACTGATAGTTTGGTCAAACTAAACAAAAATAAATAATTAATGAGCTGAAAACAAAAAGTTGTTTCTTACACGACTAGCCTGGTCCATTTGAAACTTTCGGCTTATAAATGTCCAATGGACCAGAATGATCAGTTGGTCTCTTGGATGTTCGTATTTGTTTCGATGCAAATCCAAGGCAAGTTGAAGATAACGAAATTTATTTACTCTTGACATCTGGAAAATTTCAAACAAACAGTGATCAATGTGTTAATAAATTCAATATGATTTCCGTTGGCAAAATTATTTCGGAATAATAGAATTCTGTAAACAACCATAGGATTTGTCGGAACTTTGACGTTCGAACAAAAGCTTACCTTTTCTTTTCACGGCTATTCGCTCACTAACAACACCACAACGAATTGTATTCCGATCGATCTGTATGGAATTCAGCTACAGGATTTTTTTAATAGTTTGTAACTGGTGTTGTCCGGTTTATATACAAAAGAGAGAGAATCGAAATGACCTTGTAGACTAAATTGTTGCTGACGATTAGTCGAAGAAAGAACAATGAATTTGTTTGAAACTGACTGAATTATCATGATTAGTTTTTCTATGTAGCGACGGCTGCTACGTTCATTAATTTATTCCTTATATCTCGTGTCTCTTCTCTTTCTGACTGATCTGCCGAACAAATACAACGACGAAATTACAAACTCAAACAGTTTTATGCAAAGAAACGATATAGTGTCGCGATAAGAGAACCTTTTTCTCAGACATAAAACCCGATGGACTATCCGATCGTGTTAACAAAAACTATTACATTGGATCAACTTTTTAAAGAAACGAATTATGCGAATGGGATAATCGAGTGATTCACTATTGATGGCACTTTTCTATCTACATGCGAGGGAATAAAGATCATATTAAATCCACCAGTTAAAAAGAAAAATGTTACTATGATCTTCATGTTCGATCTGCTCGTTGTTCTATTCAAAACGTTTGTCGAAGAGCAATGGATCAAAATCTCCATTTGCGTGACGAAATGCATTCGATTTTACCCAAAAAACAATATCATTTATGAACAAAGTCGAAGAATCTCTCGGAATGCAATCATCCATCGTCACATATTCATATAGCGAAGCATTTTGACCGATACTCGGCACGATAAAAAATGAATTCCATTTTGCGTTTCCGTTGTCGAATACGCATTTCGAAAGCGCCAATTTATGTTCTTAAATCATCGATTCTTAATTTCTTCAGTTTGAAGTTTGATTTGATCATGCTTGCATCGAGTGACAACATCGAATGAAACAGCAACGATCTGTTCGAAATGTGGAGAGAAAATCTTGAATGTGATGACAGCAGATGAAATTAGAGTTTATCATCTACACTGATTCAATTGTTCGGATTGTGAGAAAACTGTAGATGATGAGATAGAAGGAGAGTTTGAAAACGAAAAAGTCATTAGGAAGATGAAGACAAGAAATGGCTTCGAATTCTGGATGAAATAGAAGTAAAATGTTCCATTCACTCCGACATAATGACTATTTTCGAACATCTTCTTGCTGTATAATATTTCGACAGTAAACGAAGATTTTTTTATTTTTTTCAAATATACAATATCGTGAATGACGTATCAGTATTTATCAAATTTGAATATTATTAGAAGAATATACATCATTCTATGGTTTCAACGGATTCTTTTATGACATATAGCTGCATAGATTGGGGTGTACGTATCTTTTACTTATATGATGTAGGTCATTGAATGTCCACACACTATATTTCAGCTCTTTCTTGTATCAATAAATGCATTGATTTATGAGCTAAAAAAAGTATAAGCATTTGAAACATTGGAAAATGTTTTCTTTTACATTTGAAATATACTTTATTTGGATATAAATATATATATGAAAACAAAATTCAAGAGTAGGTGTGTGACAACTCCATCTCCGCTCAATGAACTGGAACTGTTTGAACAGTTCTCGTTCATTTGAACTTGAGCTATCGATCAGTTCATTTCATTTGAACTGGAACTGTCGGCCAGTTCCTTTCAATTGAACTGGAGTTGTTCACCAGTTCATTTCATTTGAGCTGGAACTGTCGACCAGTTCGTTTCATTTGAACTGGAATTGTCGACCAGTTCCTTTCAATTGAACTGGAGTTGTTCACCAGTTCATTTCATTTGAGCTGGAACTGTCGACCAGTTCGTTTCATTTGAACTGGAGTTGTTCACCAGTTCATTTCATTTGAACTGGAATTGTCGACCAGTTCCTTTCAATTGAACTGGAGTTGTTCACCAGTTCATTTCATTTGAGCTGGAACTGTCGACCAGTTCGTTTCATTTGAACTGGAGTTGTTTACCTGTTAAGTTTGTTGAGTTGGAACTGAATTGTTTGTATAAAGGTGTACATATTTAACTGTTCGTTCGAATGAAAAACAATACATCGAATATGTCGTTTCTAATAATAGTCATCAAATGAGATTTTTATTGTAATATAGAAATAACAAGAATATAATTAAAGAGGGAAAAAATTAAAATTTCGTCAACATAGAATTATTCATTTATGTCCACGTTATGGACACACGAGTTGTTTCACGTACATTATATATCAAGCTTGTCTTTTAGAAACATTGTATATTTAACGTTTTTGGATGAAAGAGCAAGTCGATTCTTTCGGAGAACGTAGTTTGACGTTGAAAATGCCGATTCGCTCGCAACACTGCTTGAGGAAATGGATAAATACTTTCGAGCACAACTGGCTAATTTTGGAAGTGAATCACCATGTTCTCGCCAAAACGAACCGAATTCATATTCATCCTTTGGAATCGAAGATAATTTGGCGAGTTCTTGTGTAATAGTTAACGATTTTTTGGAACGTATACTAATGTTCGTTGATTCAACACCACATTTGCTTAAAAAATTGGTAATGATCGACATGCCTTTTGATGACTTGGATGATGATGACGTAGCGGAATTTTCAGTTGTATCAGTAGAAATACTTGATGCTGTTGTAAATGTATCTGATGATAATATATTTTTTGAACGACGTTTATCATTGATCTATATATAATTGAAATATAGTTCCATATTAACATATCAATCAAAATGACCACTTGTCGACGTCTGTAATAAACTTTACTCTTTTGGATATTTCGTTTTTACATTTATACCTGTCGTCGTGACACAAACCAGGTATGTCTTACAGTTTTTTATTATTCTTTTCTTTCTTTTGATGAACTCGAGGAAGTAGTAGAGAATTTTTTTTAAAGTTAACGATTCTCAAAGATCCGTACCCAATTTGTAGAACTATATTTCCTAACGATTGATTTAGTTCTTTTATTTGACAAAGATTCTATCTGAATAGCAACTCAAATATCTTTTGAAAAGTTTTAGTATTACCTCTTTAGTAATGAATGCTTCAGCTGCATTTTTATCTTCACGTGTAAGTAAATCGTGTGTAAGAGGATCCAGTAATGCCGATACTCGAATCACCGCCATTTCCTTTCCATCACGAATCATGTATTTGCTGTATGAATCAAGCAACAATTCTTTGATTTCATTATCGAGCTGATCATCTGAACGATTACGTAAGTAATGTAATAGACTAAAGGTAATTGCATAGGATAAAGATAATGTCGGGTAATTTTGTCCAGATAAAACTCTGGTTGCTTCATCGAATCTTTCAAGAACACGTCGAAGTGCTTGTATTAAATTCCAATCATTTCCATTGAGCTTCGAATTCAAAAGTTTTCTCCGTTGTTGATCAGTAACACCAGCTAGAGAATTAAGTTGTTCGTATAAATTCTCGAGGACGGATTGATAAAGTAATAATCGCTGTAACATTTTATAAGAAGAATTCCAACGAACACGCATGTCAATAATCAGATCGGCTTTAATAGATGAATCGGCTGCAAGAATACCAATGAATTCATGAAGAATACTGGACTTTCGAATGGTTACAACGATGGTCCTGCATTTATCCATCACAGCTGTAATATCATTCATTATAGACAATGGCGAAGATTCATTTCCATCTTCTTCATTATCAGTAGATGATGAAGAATCGTCATCTTGATCGAATTGCTCATCTTCATCTTCATCTTCTTCACCATCACTGTTATAATCTGGTTCGTTTGATGCTTCACTTTGATCATTTGGTGTATCATCATCTGATATATCATTATCAGACTCATTTAGTTCACTACGAAAAGAAAGAAAAAATCAAATTCTTCTAAAGAATAAAAACTCACGTGTCATCGTTCACTGAATTGTTTGTTTTCTTCAAGGTTGAACTTTTCTTTGGCCAGAGAGATAGACCTTTATGGATGGTCAAATTAAGAGCATGAGCCATGCAGTGGAATCGAATACCAAATAAACTTGTTTGACTTGTTGCTGCTTTCACATTTGATCCATTATCTGTTGTTGACGCAATGATTTTATTGGTAAGATTAAAACTAGTTAAAATTCGTTTTATATGACGACGTATGCGTGCTGAAAGATGGCGTCCATTAAATTTTCGAAAGCTCAGAATTTTTGCTTTCAGTTGATAATTAGAATTAAGCCAATGAGCCGTTATACATAAATAATGGTGACATCGATTGCTTCGCCATAAATCAGTTGTAATCGATACATTTTCTACTTCTGTTAATTCATTTTTGAAATCACACTGCTTCTTGAAGTATAACTTCTTCAACTGTCTTTGAACTGATCGACTCGATGGACCACTATATCCAGGAACTGCAACGGAAAGGAATTTGATCATACCAGGTCGTTTGAAATCATTCCAGCACCGAGCGTCTGTGATGATACAATTGATTGCCGCTTCGTCCAATAAGTTTTTCTTGTCTGATGGAATTGTCGCACGTGGTGATCGATGACTCTTACAAGCCAATTGCATTTTACCATGACTCAGGGCCAGATGTCGTCGGATATTACTATTTGTATCAACTGTACAACGAACGATCTGAAGAAAAATTGACAAAAGAATATTAATTTTTCTTTCTAATCATCTATGAAGGACGAAAAGCATCATGATTATATAGTCTGAACAACTTAATATTTCTAATAAGACACATCCATAATATAGAGATATTTCTATGAAATTAAAGTACTTTTTACCTTCGAGCATAGTTTGCATTGATACTCATTGGGCGAAATTTTGGACGCATATTCATGAACAGCTGATTTTTGTCGAGATTTTGTATGTGTGATCGATTCGGCTTCCATTGATTCATCATCACTGATATCACTTGATGATTTCGAATTATTGGTGGCATTTTCTTTATTTCCACTTGCTGTAGCTGCTACTCGACATGCTTTACTACTATTAGCATTTCCTCTCCGTTGAATTGAACTTGACGATGGTTGCTTGATGATTGATGCATCTGATTTTCTTTTGCTTTGAGTGTTTGGTAAATTTTTGCTTGTGGATAACGGCACTTTTCCCATTGGTTAATGAAAGTGATTCGCAAATATAAAATTACTTTAGTAACCGGTATACGTCGATGTTGTTGAGAGTGTCGGCTTACTACCACGTGAAAGATGAAAAATACTTCTGAAGATGATAAATAGTCTAAGAGAATGTGTTTATATATGCATATATCTGTGTGAAAAATGTTAGATCGAAGGAGGAAAGGAAACAATTACATATATAGAGATGACCAACTTGCGTTGTGCCTGGATTCACGAATACTAGTCACAATAAAATCTGAATATATAACGTCTATGTTTACGCACAAAAGCAAGAGTGATATCCACACTCTCTTTTAGAGAAATGTACTGATAAACATTATATATCCTCGAATTATACTTAAAGTTATCAGGGCAAAGTCTACTTGATGAATATCGCAAAATGTAAATTTACTGTCTGCGTTATATCGTTCGAGATAGAAATATTTATGTATAAGTTAGTGCGCAACATATTAACACAAATAAATACAAATATTCATGTATATTAGTGGTTTTTAACAATTAATGTGTAATCATAAATTTGCAATAATCGTTTCTTATAGGACTAGAAACAGGAAAAAGTGATTTTTGTTTGCGAGAATACTGAATCATTCGTGCATAACGTATTATATAAATAAAGATTTATAAACAAAAGTAAAATAACGACAAGTCAAAATTAACGATACAGCTTTACTGTTTTTATACCATCATGCAGCCATCATCAGCAAGTGTATACATCATAGATTTAAAACCTCGAACAGACAACTCAGTTCCAACTCAAACGAACTTAACTGGTGAATAATTCCAGTTCAAATGAAATGAACTGGTGAACAACTCCAGCTCAGATGAAAGGAACTGGTCAACAGTTCCAGCTCAAATGAAATGAACTGGTGAACAACTCCAGTTCAATTGAAAGGAACTGGTCAACAGTTCCAGCTCAAATGAAATGAACTGGTGAACAACTCCAGTTCAATTGAAAGGAACTGGTCAACAGTTCCAGCTCAAATGAAATGAACTGGCGAACAACTCCAGTTCAATTGAAAGGAACTGGTCGGCAGCTCCAGTTCATGTGAGTTTGAACTGGAGACCCAGTTCTTCAATTCAGCTCACATGAACTGTTGAGCTTGAGTTGTCACATACCTATTCAAGAGAAAATTGATATATTCATTAGAAAACAGTGTTTTTCACATGTAAAAATATTTTAATTTTGATAACATAATTTGTATCCAAGTTTTGCGCAATTGCTTTTTGTCGCTATTCTGGTGAAGTTGTGAGTAACACGTTGCAGTTGTTTATATTCTATAGAAAGGGAGATATCGTTTGATAGGTGAGTCTTTGTATCTAATAAGAATTGTTCCGCATAATCGTCATGTATTTCATCAAAATTCAGTTCAAGAAGATGAAGAAATTGAACAATCGACGAATCTTGCGTATCATTTTGTGGCATCATATTGGTTAACGATAAACTTTGGAGGAATGGAAATGATTGCGCAATTCGAATGAAAAATTCATGTTCAAATGGATATTCGTCAAATAAAGATATTTTTCGAACATTTTGATATAATCCACCTGGGAAATTGTTTGTAATGTTGAAATAATATTTCATTCTGTGGGAAGACAAGTATGAATAAATATGACAAGAACCCATTTGACTTTTTGGATAGTAATTGATAAGTAATTTGATTTCGTTGGTTCCAACACCTATCAACGTGTTCTCAATATCTTCCTTAGACGGTAGATTACTTTCATTATCTACAGGAATGTAAGAATAAATATTAAACTGAAATTGTTGTAAATGTGAAAGACGACTGAGAATATCGTATTTGAGATTGTCACCATCAATGAACTTTTCCTTCTGAACGATCAAAAGATATAACCCAAATTTCTCTAAATGCACCATGCGACGTAACAGAGGAACAATCGATTCGTAGTAACAATTTGTGCTTTTTGTCGCAGGTTATTGAAATGTTTCATATTGATTAGTTGAATCTAGAAGAAAAATTTGAATCTTTTTTTTTAGAAAACTAACTTACTTCATTTCCGGTTGTTTCTATTAAGTCAATATTTGAAATTCTCACATGAAGTGAATTGAGTTTATGGAAACAATCATCAAGTAGATACAGGCAATCATGAAATTCTTTGACATTGACATGTAATTTAAACAAACTTGAAGAATAAATAGTTCGATGTGGCATTTCGAATGAGAGATCTTGATAACCAACAGAGGAGAATCCAAAATCTAAATCTTGTAAGTTGCGAAACATTCGCAAGATATTCGTAAATAGAAGAATTAACGCATTGTCGCTCATTCAAACTGCATCATTACTAAATTTAAGTAATCAATGATGACAACTGATTTTGATACGCATCTAATACGGGAAAATTATCTAAATAAACTCATAAGAATGAATTCAAAAGAAAATGAATATCAACATTCCTACCATAGAATAAATAGGAAGCTTTGGATGGATCGATGTTGAATAAGCCAAGTCGTGACAAGTTTTCGTAATATCGTACATTTAGAATAAGATGTAGTAATAATTCTTCGAGATAAATCGATTCAATATTTCGATCGATTTGTGGTAAGATTTGTAAGTTAGGGGTGCCACATTTACGTTTATTTGAAATTAACGTAAACGGATTCCGTTAACCGTTAATATTAACGTTAACGGATTTTATTTAACGTTAATATTAAGATTAACGGGTCCCGTTAACCGTTGATCCTTACGGTTAACGGCTTTTCCTTATTTCGTTAACCGTTAGTATTAACGTTAAATAATTCCGTTAATTAATACCCGTTAATTAACTCAAATTAAATTCAATGGTCCACCCCTATTTGTAAGCATAAGATATTAACATATTTGTCATTTAATCTACAAATGTGACCATCCGATGTATATCTGAATAAACGCAAATGTTTCGTGATCGTGAGATCGAGTAAAAGACTATTTAATCGTTTGTTTTATCCAATAAGCATGATATGATCGATCGTATCCAGTTGCATTAAAATAATCATTAAGATTTCATTGGGTAAATCTAACAAATCACTGTAAAAACATTCCATTTTTGTCACTCGATCTGTACACAAGTGATCCTCTGTAATGAAGATTCGTCTTTTCTCTTATATTCACAAAGATATACTGACCAATCGTATTCAATACTGATTAGTGAAACAAACGATTTTCTGACGTTAGTTACTTCGATTTATTCAAGAGATTTTGAAAAATATCTCTCTAGTAAAATCTATACTCGATATTATTTGAACAGTATGGACGTTTCATTTCAATTGAATGATACTTAAATCATTCGAATCTTTTCAATAAATTTTTATCCGTCTCGACTAAAAGTCTGTGTTGTGATGTTTCAGAAAACGATACGATTCGTCCGTTGATTATTTCAAATATTTTCACGTTAGATGACACAAGAAGAAGGTTTTACTATTCTCCTACACAATGGAATCGATTGTTATCATTAGATATCTTCGCGTACCCTTGTCTATCTTTTCTTCTACATGACGCAGTTATAAAAGACAATGACGTCAATGTTGACACTTGAAACTATTTTCTTTCAATGTAATATATTGAAAAATCATCACTTAGCACTTAATATTTGATGAATTCTAAACACAGCACCATGCAGTCTCTTAATATTAAAGTCAGAGAGAGACAGAAAATTCAATGACTCTGTACGTAGATTTATTTATATTGTGATAAAAGAAAAGGGAAAACAATGACTAGAATCGCAAGTATATATTCTGTTCGAAGGAAGGTTTTAGTCTTTTATGAATTTATTTCATTAGTTTTAGAACGGTATAGTTCGCAAAGAACTTTACCAACTGGAATATTATAAGTTATACTCGGGAAAAAGATGCGTTGAACAGCATGCGCTGGAATATGATTCATTGTTTGAATAATTCCAATTAATTGAGTGAATTTGACTGAATAGGTCGATGCCGAATGTGACATCAAACTTGTACGTAATAGAAAAAGAACATGTTCTTGACAAGCGTTAATATGACTTTGATTAATCAATGGTTTCGCTACGGAAAGAGAACAAAACGAATGAATTCGATCTGCGCCAGAATAAACTTTCAGTTGGGCTTACTTGCACTTTGATAAAGCGAAAGAGTTTTGATATAGGTATATTCATACAAATCCAATCCAAGCGAACGTAGCTTGTAAATACAATCGCAGATACGTTGCACTTCGAGTTGATCGCTTTGATTCAGTGCACTATTGGTCAATTGAATTGCCATTATGGGCACCATCCACTGACTGAAATTTATAATCAGAAGATAGTGCCAATTATCTTCTAAGAGTGTATGCTAAAACATATCAGGAAAAATAGGCAAAGTTTCAGTAGACAATTGACATACTTGATCTTCAGTAGGAAGAATTTTGAATGATGGAACTGTTTGTAACCAACTTGTCATTGTGAATAAAAGACGCGCTGCTGCCTCATAGAGTGTTGTCTAATTAAATAAGAAAAAGTTCACGGTAAAATTCATGAATAAACATTCGATGTATCCTACTTGATTAATGATAGTTGAAAATGAGCTGTAGTTTTCTGTTGCGGGCAAACATGTCAACTGTGATTGTGGTAGTAATGAGTGTTTAGACAATTTTCGATTGAATTGATTAGCAAGTGATACGTTAGACATACTAGCCATAATGGGTGATGATGAACAAGCAATAGGCGGTCCACTTGATACCGTTGAATTGGGTAGAATCATACTTGAAACACTGAGTATCTTTGGTTTGGCTTTTCGTGGCCCACGCTCATGTTGTACCGCTGCATAAGTAACAGAGGAAGTACGTTCAGGAAATAAATATGAGGAGAATCGAAGAGTTCTTACCGTCTTTATTCATATTGACTAGAAAGCAACGAGCCAACCGACAAGATCGACATTGGTTTCGGTGAGTTTTATCCACCGGACATTTGTCTTTTAGTTCGCCTTGAGCTTTGCATACATAATGACGATGGCGATGAATACTTCGCTTGAAAAAACCTGAACAGCCTAAACGAAATCTGATTGGTCAATATTGTTTTTTTATCGACTTCTCTCGTCAGTCAACATTTATCCACTAGTATGATTTCTGAGATCTACTCTAATCGATACTACTCTTGCTCTGCGAATAATTTACTGAAGAAAAAGAATATTTCATTCAAAATTTACCATCACAACTGTAGATGCCATAATGTTTTCCAGATGATCGATCGCCACATACCGCACATAGAACATTCAATAGACGTTCACCTACAAAAACACATACAATTAGAAAAGTAAAAAACGATGATCAAATAGTTGACTTTTGTTAATTTTGAACGTCTCGACGTCAAGTCTTACCTGGCATGATGGGTAGCAAACAGATATATGTCTTTTGTCGTTATAAATCAAAAAAAATCGTTGATAGCCTCTAGCAAAAATTACTTTTAAACACTTGACTAGAGAGATTGAGACTAGATCGGATGGATGTGTGCGTGTCTCACTAGCTTTTCCGTTTCAAATGATCTTCTGTTTCCTCTTCTTATCACTACTTTCTTTTCTCGCTGTCTCTTTTTCGACGCATTTACTCATTCCATTTCTCTCTCTTCTGTTTTCTCTATTCAGTTACATTCTAGTGAATACGAGAAAAAAAAACGATTCTCTCATCTTCTTTGTCATTTTTTTTCTCTTCTCGTTAGATTTCTAAGCATCAAATATACTAAAAAGAAAATACATTTTCTTTCGATTTTTTATTGATCATGCACTAGCATATGTTTTTTTTGTTCGTCGAACATTATCAAAGGAGATTAGACACTTTATGACGATTTGTTATCTTTTTGATAGATGTAAGCGCACACCGTACATTAGCAAAATAGCCGATCTCGAGTTTCTTTTTTCTTCTTGAAAAGCATCACGGCAATGTTATTTCAGGTAAATTATTTATTAATCATCTAGTTTTCGAAAAGAAAAAAAAAACGTGAACAGCCCGAGAGAAGATTGATAATTGAAGATCCATTTACCACAATGTACATGGTCTCTTCCTCTCCTTTTGCTTTTCACCAACATCCAACGAACTATTTAATCATTCGAGCAAGTTTATTGAAACAATGTTCATTCCGTCAAATACACTTCGTTACTTTCTTTTTTTTTTTGAAGTCGTGTCACATTACATTGTGAACATGCATTGATACTAATGAATAAATCATGAAAAAAAATGTTTAGTTGCCTCTTCGTTCTCCTTTTTCTATCACTTTTTTCACTTGTCATTGTCAACATAATGTGTACACATTAGCATTCCTCGTTCGATGATTTGTTAGAAAGGCAAGACACTTTTTGACTCGAACCAATGAGGAATGAGGAAAAAGGATAAAAAGGACGACGAGGAAAAGAGGAAGGCGAGAAATAGGCTGTCTAGTTACTCAACTAGAAGTGAAGCCTGAAGGCAATGCAAAGTGAAAAACATTGTTTCTAGATTTCCACACGGATGGTCATTGACAATGACTTGAAGAGCAGAAAAAAAGAGAGTATATATGTCTTTTTGACATGATCTATACGCGACAGCCATTACTTATTCTAAATTTCAAATATAAAAGAAAAAAAAAGTACTCAAATAACTTCGGGCAAGACAAGTGAATTTTTTTCTCATAAAACTTAAATGATAGAATCTCAATTTTTAAAAAGACTAAAAGTTGACACAGAAAGAAACAGACGATCACAATCGAATTCAAAGACATTTTTTCAGAGAAGAGAACATAGGAGAAAATCTCAAATCTCGACCTATTAATCATGGTCGGATGAAACAATGTCAATGTATTTGTAAATCTATTTCATGCAGATGAGATCTCTGCGATCACTTTGGCTATAATGAACGAAAAGATGATCTAATTTATCTCGATTCTAAGCGAACACAATGAAAAATATGTCGACAAGCTCGATCGAACAAAAAAAGAATTCGTATTAGTTTATTTGAGAAGTTGCTTCTGCATGAGCACCATCAGAAGGTCGGATTAAATTTGATGTTGTTGTACTTGGGAACAATACAACACTACCGATCTTTTTCTTTTTATCTACAAATGGTTAAATTCGGCTAATTTTTGATTTTCGGTAAACATCAAGTACTTTGTTGATCACGTGTAAGATGACGTTGTCGATTACTGTTGTTATTTTTGTTACCTATTGCACTTTTCTTTCTTTTGGTATTCTTTGATTGCTTCTTCCGTGTGTTAGTCGATAATGGACTCCTCTTCGACCTATTTGCACTATTATTTACACCATGAGTGTTTCGAACTGAAGATCGACTTTGGCTATTTCTACGCAAGACATTTTGTTTGTGCTGGTGAATGGTCGAACGACTAGAAGATCGTCCGTTTCTTCCTTTGGTAGACGATCGTTTTCGAATGCTATTTTGTATTCAAATTCTATACAGATCATTGCGAACAAGTAGTCACTTACGATGAACGACTGTTATTCTTTGCTTTGCTAACTCGTCCACGAGTATTTCGAGCCATGATTTTGTAGATCGACGTTTAGTTTAATAGATAAGGGAGAGAACTGAAGATATTGATTTTTTGTTATTATACTGACTGAATTGGTATCGAAGTGAATTCCAGCGCCCAATTCAGTTTTTCACCAAAAAAAAAGCGCTTCCTTACAAACAGGAAATCTTCTACCAGATCTGTTGATCTTCAACACAATCAGTGGGGAACCTATTTTTTCCCTCGACAGCTTTGTCTATGCGAAGATTTTGATTTAATTATCGCAAGAGTCTGTAATTCATCATATTTCTACTAGAGTAAATACAAAGAACAAAGACAGTTAAGTGACAAAAATAAACAAAAAAAAAACGTTGCATACATAATCTTTTCTTTTCACGTACACAAAAGATTGCCTATCAAGAAATCATCTGTTAACTTTAACTCACTCTTGTTTACAACGAAAAACGAATGAACCCATCACAAACATGTAGATTAGAAAGTCGATTTACATGCAATGTTCGAAGTTTTTAACTGTTGCAAAGATTAACTAGAATTCTTATCATCTGTTGAATTCGAATTATTCGCAGCTGTATTGAAAGAGAAAACACCACTCGTTTTCGATGGTGATAACGTTTCGTTTGTACCATTCTCGGTCACACTCTTCAATTTCTTGCCACTGTTATTGTCAGCTAATTCGTTCGATGTGTGATCAGGTGACAACGATCGTTTGTTATTCGTCGCTGAAAACATCACTGGCCATGGACTGTGTTCACCTGTCTTCGATGCTTCGGATAATTTGTTAAAATTGAACTTAGCAATAATTGCGGTCATATTATCACAACCAGTACCATCACCACTTGTATTTGGTGCAAGACAATGTGTGAATAACTAACGAACATCAGATGAGCGTTTTTTTTTCCGAAGTATGAATTAGTATCAACTTACTTCTTCACATATTTGCGATAAATTTTTCTTGTCAAGACGTGTGCGCACAAAATCAACAACATCTTGACTGGACATGAAATTCCAGATACCATCACAAGCAATCACCATAAATTCATCTTGATCTTCTAGTGTTAATGTTCGTATGTCTGGTAGAGCAGTTATGGCTTGTTCTTCAGCTGGCAAATTCGCGTTTTTCTTGTATGCATGGTCACCAATAGCTCGTGATAAGTTGAGGCCACCTAGATCAAGAAATTCAATGATGATTTTCGTCTACAAATAAACGCACCGGAAACACGGCCATCTAACGTAACTTTGTATCCAGCTTTCTCAATTCGACTACGTTCCGGAGGATCTTCAGGTTTGTGATCTACATAAAAACAAAAGTTACTCATAAACAACAACCCGCTGGTTGATACTGACCAAGACTCATCTCAATAGCTCGACCACCACGACACACAACACACCGAGAATCACCGGCATTGGCAACGAATAACTGTTTATCACGTACAAGAGTTACAACAGCAGTACATCCACTTGATGAACCTGGATCATTACTCATGTCAAGCATTTTACCTAAATCGACGTCACTTTCATTGTCTAGAAGTAAATCATATATTATATTTTATTAAATTAAGTCGATCTGCTTACCATCATCGTCATCTTCTTCTTCTTCTTCATCTTCGTATTCATCATCATCATTTTCGTCATTCTATTTTAATGAAATCATTCATGGAATTGAAAAGATCTAACCTACTTGGTTTTCTTTTGCATCATCTTCACTCTCGTCGCTCTGCTTCTTTTTCTTCGGATGTCGATTTAAAATAGCCATAATAGACTTTTTCATACTACAAATAAAAAGAAATATCAATCAAGAAAAAAAGCAGTTTTTATTTACTTACAGTTTTTTTATTTGTGCTGCTTTGTTCGTTTTTACTTGTTTATCATCGTCATCATCATCATCATCATCATCATCTTCTTCTTCGTCTTCTTCATCCTCTTCCTCTGCTTCTTCCCCATCGTCATCATCTACTTCTTCATCTTCATTGGATGTTTCTTCGTCCGATCTGTAACAAACCAATTGATATACAATATATCACGCCGGAGTCTTTGTTATCGAACGTAATAACTAGAATTCAAATACCTACCCCTCGAGTTCAAAATCATCTTCATCTTCATCATTATCATCATCGTCTAGATCATCGATATTTTCACTAAGTAAATGATGTGTTAATGAAGTTTTCTTCGTAGGTGTATCGGTCGATACCGGCTTTCGCGAACGTTTCGTTGTTGTTTTTGGTTCAGATGACGATGGTTTGGCTTCCTAACATAGAATCAATAGTAACAGAAAAGAAAAGGAAAAAACACATACAACTGCATTTGCCAATTCACCATTTGTTATCGTTTCAGCAATTTTATGATCCAAAACATCATCTGCAGGAGTATTTTCTTCATTAGATTGTGAAACAACATTGGTCTGCTGTTCAGTATTAGTCGATGACTTCTCTCCTGTTCGTTTATCGGCACTGTAGCGTTTCATTAATTCTTCGATAGGCAATTCAGCTTCCTTTCGTAACAAATGTGCTTCTTCAGCATTTAACTCGTCTTGATGATTATTTTCCTTGTTGATACTTGTCGGTAAGGTAGCACTTGCTGATTGATCATCAATGTCTTCGTCACTATCGTCAGCTTTGTCTTTGGAATCAGCTAAAACTTGTAGAATCTCTTTCACTTTCGGATCTAATAACAAAGCATCGAATTTGAGAAAGCCTTCAACTAATGCATCTTGTAATCGTCCTTCACGATAAGAATCAAGTTGTTTGATAAAATCGGGTAAATGACGCGAACAATAGAGAGCGATTTCTGCTCCACCATGTCCATCGTAAACAGCAAAAAATGATGTTTTATCATCAAAATTGAGTATTGCATTATGTGCATCCTCAACAAATCAACTTGATTTCTGGATAGAAAACAGAATGAATAATACATACTTCTTGCGACATCCGCCAGCCTTGCATTGAACTGGCAGCAAAAGCAAAATTTTCGTTCGACCCGTCTACAGTATCTTTGTCACAGATTGGTGAAGCAAGATAGGCACCCATGTCAATTTTTCTAGCAATGTATGTCAAAAATACTTAAATGATACGCATGTATGAATGAAGAGCGAAAAGTTACCATAACTTAACACAACCAATCAAGATTGTAATGCAATGAGCAAACATTTGCTTTGAAAATCTGCCAATCGAAAGCTGTTTTTCGAAATACATCATTATAGAGGACACTACTGTTCAATATCGACTTTTGAGAAGTATCTTTCATCATTGCAGAAGCTTTTGAGTGATCCTCTAATGTCTATGTGGACTTTTAGAGCGCGAAGTTGTCATTCAATTCAATGAGAACATTGTTTTTCGATTGTTTTGTTCAAACAAATATAATACAAGTTAGAATAGAAAAAAAATATTTAGAATTTTGTGTTGTGTTTGACGACAAGTTAGAAATCAACATACGAAAAGAGAAAAAAAAGAGGAAAAAACTTAAAAGTCTAGTTGATGAATTCTTTTTTTCATGCCGATAAAGAGAACTGATAATACCACCAACTGAAAAACATGTCATTAGACTATAATAATGTACAAAAAAAAGATGCTTCTTCTTAAATTACATCAAGGTTTTGTCTACTGAATGTTCTGCATTTGGTTTAGTTTTTGGTCCATCGGAATCAGGAACTTCTTGTTTGTCATCAAGAACATCATTATCATCTTCATCGTCGTCGTCCATTGATGAATCGGGATTATCATCATCATCGAAGATATCGTCAAGATTTGCCGCATCGTTCGACACGGGATTGGGATCAATTGAGGCAGCATCGTTCATTATTTCTCGAGTACGTGCATCGATTGATTGATGTTTCGATATCGAAGAAGTGGATGAACGTCCCGAAGATGCACTATTGTTATTTGTGCTTTGCAATGATTCAAATTTGCTTTTTAGCTTTTTTAATCGTTGTAATATCGATCCATATTCGAATTGACCACGGCGATCACCAAATGGATCCTAAACAGATTGATTTATCTATCTAATGAATTCATTTATCTTTTCGACTTGTTTACATTCATTTTTTGTCCGTCTTTATTGCAATTTTCAGTGCAAACTTCGGCATAATACTCATAAAAATCAAAAAATTGTTTGATCATCACTTCACTGAAAGACAATAAAACGCTCAGATTATAATTCATGACGAAAATGATGATTACCGTAATTGTTTTGGACATGATGCTTCATTTTCAAGCATTTCACACACCGCAACACGTAACGTTTCATGTTTTATTATTTCATTGTATGTTTTCGAGTCACCTGACGTACGCTCCTAAATTTCACAATGAATTCACTTCAGACAAAAGCAATCCGTAATTCTCACATACATGTTCAAAACCGGGTTCGTTATGATATGGTTTTTCCGACATTAACGATTGAATGGAGATGAGAAGAGATGATATACATTGAGCTGGAGACCATGATGGTCCGCTCCATGTTCTATATGAAACATACGAGATTGTTACGGAAGAAGAAACAAACTTACCCAAGTATGGAAAGGCAAACTTTACCATTACGATAAAGATTTGGATTAAACCGAACTGTGTTATTTCCAGTTGTCATCAGACGACAACGAGGTGCACGAATAGGACTAAAATACGGACATATTTTTTCACGAAAGACGATTCTATTCAACTTACTAATCAGGTGGGCAACGAATGAGGAAATAAAAGAAACCACCTAATGGAACAATTATCAACAATGAAAGAGGCATTTAGATATTCTACCTTCGTATGGTGTATCGAAAGGACCGACAATTAGAGCATGGATCTAAAAAGGTCTATTTACAATTCAAATCAGCGAATCTATTAGCACATACTTTCGTGATGTTTTCGGAATCAGGTGCGATAAACATTCCCGGTGGTGGATCTTTGAATACACTCCATATGTCACTATCAAAACATACATGAATGACGATCGATTTTCATCGTACCTTCGATATTTACCGTTTGATTCGTGCAAGACAAGTCGCGCTGGGTTGCTGCATATCCCAATCAGCACAATGGAATGGATCCCATGGATTTCGCATTATACTCGAAACATCTTCCATAGCAGTCGATGTAGCTGACGCGGAATTATTTGTATCGTCATTGTCTAGATCTCCGTTTGCTAGTTGAGAAACATCGTTAGCAGTCGTTGTTAAATTGCTGCTGTTTTCCATCGGCGAAAACTATTTTCTTGATTAATTTCTTATCAATAGAATCGAATAAATTGTTTGCCTTGAATATCGTACTATTTTCGTTATAACCGGTTATCGATGTATGAAACGCAAAAGGAAATACGTATACTACATGGATTTCTAAATAAAAGATATGACTCATAAGAAGAGAATGGTTTGTAAACATTCACTTGTGTACATACCGATAAAATCATCGAATTACATGAATTATAAAGTGTATAAGAAAGAAAGAAACAAACACTCGAGTTGAAGAATATTTTATCTAAAATATTGTCATAATATTATTATTTTTGAATTCGTCTAAATTTAATATTTGTAAACACACAAATAATACAACAAACAACAAATAAAGATCAACGGCACGAGGAAGAAAGAAAAAAAACAAAGAATGAAACTTCAGATTTCTTTTTTCTGATAAATAGATTTGTTTTAGATTTGTGAAATAGATATCGATTTCATTGTTTGAATCGTACTTGAATTGTTCGACCTTGAAATGTTGAATTGTGGAGACTGTCAATCGCATGACATGCCTCATCATAATTACGCATTGTTATAAACGAATAACCTTTTGATTCACCTGTCGTATAGTTTTTTACAATATATACACGATAAACATCACCATAACGTTGAAATAATTCTTCTAATTCATGTTCGACACAATCACGCGGTAAGCCAAATGCGTAGATAACGAAGCCGTTTGGATCGATTGCCTGTTGGCAACCTTTAGATATTAATTCATAAGCAGCAACCAATGATGTTGAGTTGGAATTTGATGAACGCGACAAAGAATTTGTCATTCCAGTCGATAAATTATTAGCATTATGCTTTGACGACGAGGAGGATGAATATGAACGTGAAACAGTAGGTGACGAGCTACGCCGACGAGAAGAACGACTATTTCCGCTGCCATAATAAGCAGGTGGGAGCGGCGGTGGTGACCGACTCATATCTCTCCTGAAAGAATGAAGAAAAAGATTCATTATTGCAAATAGAACAGGAGGAAGTCTTTCGCCTTACATGTTCATTGCTGCGCGCTGATGGTGATGATGAAGAGCTGCTGCATAATACGGATCGATCATGTTCAACGAAGGAAAACCAGGTGGATAACCATAAGATCCAATAACATTGGGCATTGGTGATAAGCGAGATAACGAACTATGATTTCCCGATGTTGATGATGCTGCAGCTGCTGTCTTCTTTGGATCGGCATATTTCACAGATATAGGCCGTTCTGCACCTGATGGTACATAACCATTAAGTGCTTTGATCGCTCGTTCAGCATAACGAGTCGATGTCATTAGAACAAATCCAACACCTCGTGATATTCTTGTACGTGGATCGCGTAGAATTTTTGCTTGAACAATATCGCCATACTTTGAAAAAAGACGTTTTAACATTTTCTCATCAAAGTCATCGGGAAGTTCAGTAATATAAACATTTGGATTCTTTTGCGTCGATAATGAACTTGAATGTTTATTATCTAAATCGCCATCGTTTGTATTCGCTTTTCCTTTTGGTTGAGCATACGAGACTTTCAATTTCTTGTGCTCGATTCCATAACCGTTGTATTTCTTGATTGCTTTTGAAGCATCCTCTTTGCTATGATATTCGATGAAACCATAACAGTACGAATGACCTGTGTGTCTGTCGGTGATTAATTTACATAGTTTAACTGGTGCAACACGAGCGAATAATTGATAAAATTCAGCTTCATGTAATGATTCAGGTAAATAGTTGACTATCAGCTGTGTACCTTTATTACTTTTTAGCGTGGCACTTGAAGTTGATTGTGGACTTTGACTAGTACGTTCATTGTTTGTCGAAGAAGAACGATGTTTTTTACGATGATGACGACGGCTACTACGGCGATCACTCGGTGTATTGTTTCCTATGAGATGAAACGATATGATGAGAGGAAAGAAAGATTTTTTTCACAGAGATTTACCTTCGATCATGCCTTCTTCTTGTTCATCATTGGATTCCTTTTCCGACGAGGAAATTTCTTGTTTTGCCGGTGAATGCTCACTTTCACTCGTATTCTTCTCTGGTGAATGAACAGAATTCTCATCGTCCTCATCAGATTGACTATGTCGCGACGTCGATGTCGTCTCTTTTTTACTAAAAAATTCAATCCATTTTCAATTTAAATCAGAGTATTCTTCAACAGGCATATATTTACCTTCGTTTAACTGATTGTCGATGATGCGATATTGAACGTTTGTTTGATTTTGATTGTTTGTGATGCCGATGTCGATGATGTCCGTGTCCATGATGTATTCGTTTCTTGTGATGACTTTCGTCAGTATCTGACATCATTGGCGATGATATTTCATCGGCAGCTGCTTTAGAAGAATCATCAGCCATTAAAGGTTCTCGCTCTTCCAAATCCTGTTCACCATCACTATTCGTTCCATACGTCGCTGATTTCACTGGTGTTGACGGTCCTCGTCGGGGCGAATTCGACGCACTTCGTTGTTCACTATTTGCTATTGGTGAACGCGAGCGTGATACTGACGAGGACGAAGATAAACGTTGACGAGTTAGTCTTGTTTCCATCAGCCGTTGTCAAATTGATATTGCCGGACAAGCAGAGTAGGCTCTAAAAAAGAAAACAACCCAACATTTTCCATCTATTCCAAAGAAGAACGACGAAGAAGTATCGTTTCGAATTATCATTAAATTGAAAAACAAATCAGGGTTAGTTAATTATCAAGCAGCAATGAAAAAAAGAGTAGCACACACAATGTGTTGGTGTTTCATATTTAATCTGATCAATTTCATTGTCTACTTTACCTCTTCGATGGCAGTATTTGACTCTCATTATAACAATAAGAAGGACATCGATATATATATATAGATATATAGACAAATCAATATATAAGAACAACAACAGAAGAATCAGTCAATGCATCGATAAATAACAAAAGATATAAATAGTCTTTTCAAACAACAACATTTATGAACCATTTTGAATAAACGATAGTCTTAGTTTCCTTTTTTTGCATCTCATTGAACAATAATAAATAACATGGATTAAAAAACGAATAATTAGACAAAAAACAACGAACGGAAAAATCTGAAAACGACAACGAGATCTTTTCGCGTTGATTAGAAATCAAATAAGCACGCAAATTCTTCCGACATGATCTAAAACACAAGTGAAGAAAAAAAACAACAACCATCGATAAGAACATGTCCAAACATACTTACATCAACACGATTTGTGAAAATATCAACGTAGAATAATCTGAAAGAAAAAGAAATGACAATTTCAAATGTACTAATCTCTTTTTTTCCTTTGTTTATTTGAATAATAGTGAAAAAAAAACGAAGAAGATGAATATCTCATCAATAAACAACAAAAAATTTCCTTATGAAAGAAAAATAGAGGGAGAGAGAAAGAAGAAAGGTTATAACGATAACAAACAAAAAGAAATAACTGAAAGAAGAACAAAAGTCATCATCCACGCCTTGACAAAGGAACAAGGAAAGATCCAACAACCAACCGAAATCCCACGCGAATAAAGAATGAAAAATAAAGAAACTAAACTTGCAGAATTAAAAGTTAAACGTATGTTACCTCTCTCCCTCATGATATATGAAATCTAATTTTGATTTTTTTCTCTCAAGAACGATTAACAAACAAGAAAATTTCTCGACCAAAAATATAGAGAATGTTTGTAAGTATTTACTCGTCAATACTTGGACTTTGAGCATCATTATCTTCATTATCATCATCAAGATCATCATCGTTAAGCATACAGAATTTATTGGATAATTGGAGCTAAACAATTGCAATTCGATTCGAGCAGTTCGATCGAGAATTACGTGACTTACTTTGCTTGAATCATCTGTAGCTGGAACGTTTTGACGTTGTCCACCACTGAACGATAGAATGAAAAGTTATGAAAGATTACATTGAAGATTTTACCGTGGTCGGTTTCGAGAAAAGCCATCACCGTGTTGGTTATTGTATGGACGACCATAAGTGCTAAATTCATCGGGATCTTGATTGCGATCTTCTCGTTCACGTTGTCGATTATTATTACGTTCATGATCTGAATATATACATGTAAGTAAATTCATGGTGAAAGAAAAGAAAACAAGATTGTATACCACGATCTGAATGATTATATTTATTAAAACGAACAGAATCGTGATCACGTCGTGATTGACCACCGCCATAACGTTCTCGATCGTGGCCACCACGTCGTGCTGATGGTGGATGATCATCAGTATGACGTCGTCGACCATCATCTTCATACTGTCGGCCGCCTAAATTTATCAAACAATTGACGTTTATTGAATCATCCTTCCGTAATACTTACCACTATATTCACGTTTGTGGTGATGATCTAGACCTTGTCCAGATCGGCCTAAAGAATATACACAGTATAAAAGTATTGTTTATGAGAATGTATTTAGCTTTTAGTACCGTCATCTCGTCCATCTCGATGTTCATCATTATGTGATGATCGTTTACCACGGTAACCTTCTCGATCAGAACGATAATGTGATGGTCTTAACAGATGATTTATCGAAAATAACTTTCATACATGTAACATAGATTATGTGTTACCTAGATGATGATGGTGCCGGTTTTTCTTCAGTATCACCCGTTGTTTCACTAGAAGTCATTTCAAGTTCTTTTAGCTTCTTTTCAATTTCACGTTCTCTTGCAGTTGTATCCACCGGTTTCGCTCCACCAAATATCGAAGCACCAGCACCACGCGATGGTTTCACTGTTGATTGTTCATCAGATGTATTTACTCGATCATCGGAATTTCGAGATTCTTGTGGTTCATTATCATCTCGATGCTCATTGAATGATAAATCTTGATTTTGTTGAGTTGAAGTATTTGCCAAGGGTGAAGATGGGTCATCTGCATTGGATATCGACGATTGTCCAGCATTAGCAGCAACGTTATTAATAGATGATGAGGAACCCGATAATGGTTCGAATTCATCCAATGGTTTCGTACGTGGTTGAAGTTGTAAACGTTGACGTTCTCGTGGTGGTTCTCGTTGATCATCACGAGTTTCATCTGAGAATCATACAAAAGAATGTTTAGAGAATTTAGAAGAAAGAAAAACAAATCAAATACCATTCGTTCGATTTCGATCTCGCGTATCACTAGAATTAATAGGCAACAATATGAGACGAGGGATATTGGATAAGATCTCGATTTTACCGTGTATCACTGTATCGACCTGAGTAACGAGGTCTGTCGGCACCACTGTTCGATCGATTATCATCATCTTGATGACAATTGCGTTGTCCCTGACGGTTATAATCCCGATTACCACCGCTGTGTACTCCACCGCGATCATCGCTTCTACGTGGATATCCATATCCATAATCATTACCATGATTATCTCGTGAGCCACCACCCATATTTGCTAGAAATCGAACGGATTTAAAAAGATCTCGCGTATTCTACTCAGAAAAGCATACATCGGCCATGATCCCCACGGTTTTGTCTGTCACGATTAAATCCACTACTTGGTCGATCATCCGACGCATCGTCAGGTCGTGCTAAAAGAGGAGTCTTTCCTTGAATCGACCCTTCTGCATGAATTACTCACCCTTGGCTCTTGTCCATCTTTCATCCATTTCTGGTCGCCCTTCACCACCACCACTACCGCCACCTCGATTCGATCGTTGGCCGCCAAATGATCCTCGACCTCCATCTACCTGCATATCTGTCTTGTCGGAAACAGTAATACGCATTTTACGCCCATATATCTCTTTGTCTGTTCGTTTTAAAGCATCGATTAAGTTGTCACGTGTTTCAAATTCAACGAAGCCAACTCCGCGACTGCGATTATTTTCTCGTAATACTCGAGCTGATTTAGGCTAAACACAAAAAAAGAGAATTTGATCGATAGATCAACGCATCCGTAAACATGTCTTACATTTAAATCAGCAAATATTCTTCTTAGATTTTCGTCATCGATTTCAAAAGAGAGATTTGCTACAACAGCAATGAATGGAGGATTCGTTGGTATAGTATTTGGGTCAACTTCTGAGACACCACGAGGAGCTGTAGGTAGTGCTCCAATATCAATAACTAGAAAACATCAACGATCATATGATTAAAACAGATTTTTCTAGAAGAATTACGGATAGGTTTAGTTTCTGCTTCTTCATGATCGACAATATCCGACCAATTTGTTGCACGGACAGTAACGGTCTTTGATGTATCAGCAAGAAAATCGTTCAATGCTATAGTCTTGCCCTTCTTCGGTTTTTTTGTTGCCGGTTTTTGACTTTCGGACATGATAATCTAGTGGAATTAACGTTTAATAAGTATATTTAGCCATAATATATGAAGAGACAAAATAAATAGGTTGGAAAATCGTTTGTTTACTGTTAATTAATACTTTGAATGATTGGAACGATAATAACATGAACAAAAGAAAAATAGATAATATAATATAATCTAAAACTCTGAAGAAAAATAACACTTCATGTTTGAGTACATATGTAATACACAACATAACAAAAAAGAAGAAGAAAAAACTTGATTCGTCATGTATGTTTATTATTTATAAATGTTCATCAGTCGCAAAAATTAATCTTCGTTTTTTTTCTGCGAATAGATAAATAAATATTTTTTTCTTCATGATTCGAATTCGTTCGTTTTAGTTTTGTTGCCGATATCGATTGTAAGCATAAATGGAATCTGACACAGTAATGCACTTGAGTAGAAGTGCATCGGATATGTATAGAGGTCGAGTCAGAGGAATGATTAAGTGAATGGAGGTGAAGAATAAGAAACCATATAAAGCGAAATGTCCTTCTGCTATTAAACCACACATTTCTATTTTTATTTTTCTTTCTCCATGAGTAACACGACATGTACAAATCAAAACCTCAATGTTAAACATGTTGCGACACTATTCGAAGAAGTTCAAAGTCGCTATGTGAAGAAATTAACCAGTATCGATGAGAAACATATTACGGCTGATGACCGACACAAGGTATACAGAATTACGAACAAGTGGTTCGATTTGCTTTTTTTGTAGTTTTTCTCAATTTACATCCGATCTGAATAAGATTGCTTAAGGTCTAAGTAAACCAAGAGTTTTCTGTGTGAATCAGTACAAATGTTATATGAGGATGATCATAAGGTCTTCATTGAGTTTTGAAGGTAGAACAAAATGAAATTGTGTTATAATACTTGATGAATAAACGAAACATGTAGGGTTTCCACTTGAAAGAGTATACAGAGGATAATTTGTTTAAAAAAATGAGTTTTTGAATGTATCGTCTATATATTTGAAATCCTTCGATATGATTGAGTTTTTCATGAAGAATGTACTAGAAGAAGGATCTAGCTTTGCTTATTTTGAGAACGCGACTCGGCTGATTGGGCTTTCAGACTATTAATCTAAGAAAAATAGAAGGCAATTTGATGATTTTTTGTTGTTGTTACGTAATCGAAGATTGCATTTGATTTCTTTCAGCAAAAACTAGCCGTTTATGAAAGTTATGTAAAAGATCTCTCGATTCAAACACGATTACTTTTGCAAAGCCTTGATGAGCTTGAAAAAGAAGCAAATCAACGTGTTACTTTGCTTGAAAGTAAATTGAAGAAAGCTCACGCTTCTCTGCAGGTATGTTTTTCTCACCACAACAATTCTCTATCGTAAATTCAATATATTTTCCAGCAACATCATCTATCCGACGTCTCAAAAACTGTCAACGTAAGTGAAAACCTTTCTGTAACGAAACCAACATTTCTATAAGAATCTTTTTCCCACACAGGGTGTCGAATCAGAAAAATGGAAATTGAGTCATGAGAATCTCGATTTAAAACACGATCTTGATTCGTTAACATCTTTCATCAATTCAGCGAAACGAACTGGAAAATGGGATACAAAACGCTTACAATTGAAAACTATTCCAGCCGATACGATCATCGGAGTGACCAATGATGAACTTTACAATACTATTCCCTTGCATAGAGAAATTCAATATCGTGACGAACGTATTCAGGTTTTACAAGCCGAAATCGACCAATTGAAAAAAGCTCAAGATGAATTAACTCTCCAAGTAGATAGATGACTTTGACATGAACAAGAACGATGCTTTGAGTTGTGTTTTAAGGCAACGAATAAACATTCAACTTTTTCCTCTTATACTGGAGATGATGACTTAAAAGGACAGGTTGATATTTATTCATCCAACTATTCATACATAAATCGTTGTTTTATGTATATTTAGAATCTTGTTCTGTCGAAAAAAGTCGAAGATCTTCGTACAAAACTGGCGGAAGAATGTCAAAAATCTGAAACAGTCAAGATGGACGTAAGAAAACCCGATTTTCTTGTAGATATTCTCTATGATCCGCTTTGCGATTAGATTCGCGTTAAAACAAATGAATTGAAAGAACTTCAGGAAGAATTAAAGCAAAGCAAACAACGTTCCGACGAACATATTCATGATCTATCAACAAAATTAAGAACAATCTCCGATCGGCATCGCGAATCAACAGCTATACTTAACAATGATATCAAAACAAAGAAACAACAAATTGAACAATATGTTCAACAAATCGAACAGATTGTTAATGAAAAAGTTCAATTAGAAAATGAATGTAGTGATCTTCAACGACAAGTAAGTTCCGTCGAGTTTCACACGTATTCAATAATTCGTTTTCGTTAGTGTCGCGTGAAAGATTCCATCACAACAGATCTTGAAGAACAAATACGTAATCTTCAACACGAAATATCATCTAATAATACAGCAGCGCTTCCTATTCAACCGATTGAATCAACTGTATCGAAAGTTGAATACGAGAAACTCGATCAAGAGTTGCATTCAACACGAAAACGGCTTGACGGACTTGTCTCTGAAGTAAAACCTGATGAAAAAAATTGAGTATTTCATTGTGATGTTATTTTAGCTTAAGACAAAAGATGCATTAGTCAACAAACTTGAACAGGATCTTCGATTTGCCAAGAAGATGCATGATGAACAATTAGAACAACATTATCAAACAAGTTCAACTGATACTGAACAGTTGCATTCAGAAATTCGCTCGTTAAAACGTCTTTGTGAAGAAAAAGATGAGGAGGTACGATTTCTCTATTCAAAATCGATAATCTACTTGCAATTTTCAAGTGGCTTAAAATACGAGAGTATTTTTTGTTTGTCAATTTCACTAATCATCGCTTTGAAGTAGAAAATAATATGAAACTGACCTTGAAAAGTACTGTCGAGACGTGTTTCTCGTCTCTGTACGGCACGATTGTTATGATAGTTTTAACGAAGGACACTTTTAACGATAAAAATCGTTTCTTTTTTTCAGCTCGATAAGCGATCCATCGAACTACGTACATGCCAAGATCATCTCTCAGTCGAACATAGTAAAAATGTGACGCTCGAAGAAGAAGAACAGCAGTTACGTGATGCAATTCAGCAATCCAACGAGCAGATCGATAAACTTCAACGTTCATTACAAGAAATAACTTCACAAAATGAACAATTACAATATACAGTTAATGATTTGAATAACCAGAACAGTTTAATCGAAACGAAGTTATTCGAAACGATGACAGTTGTTGACCTACGTAACAAAACATTGATGGATTACGAAGAAGAAATGGAGAAGCTCAAAAGTGAATTATTACAAAAACATAAAGAAGCGATCGATAAACAAGCGCATGTTGACGAATTGGAGCAAATTGTTATTGAAAAAACAGCGGAAGTTGCACAATTATCCGAAACATTAGAAACAGGTTTAGTTAAAAGTCATCATCGAGAAAAATTTGCTGAAGACAATGCAACGAAAGCCTTGCATGATGTGAAAATCCTTCAACGAGAAGTAATTTCGATCATATGCTTGATTTTACAAAGAAAGTCATTTCCTGTTACAGGTTCGACATCTGACGAAGACATTAACTGAACAAGAACAAACCAATATTGCATTGAATGAACAACTTCAACATTTATCTCATGAATTGAAAGTAAAACAAGATGAATTTCACAAGACACACAAAGCATTGAACAAACAAGTAAACTTTGTCGTTGATTTTCTCCTTTGTAAAACAGTTTTTTTTGCTTTTAGTTAACAATCAAACAAGAACAACTTGTTCGTTGTGATCAGAACCTTCATGATTTGGAAATCAAATCAAAATACGCGAAAGAAGAATGCCTAATTCAAGAGAAAGAAATCGTTCGTTTGAACAATGTTCAAGAAGAACAAGAAAACCGGATTAAGACATTACAACAAGATTTATTACGAGTTCAAGAAGAGGTAAAACTATCTTTTGTGAGAAACAATTCTTCTACATCAAACACTGCCAAAGAAAAAGACGCTTTTAAATGAAGCCTTAGAAACATCTCTCCGTCGTCACTTATGATGAGTTTCATTTCAATACAAACAATTCTAAAACAAACACTTGGAAAAAAGACAAACTTATAATATATACAGAACCATGACGTCTCTCCCAGGCTTGTTGAGAACTACTCGGTAAAATCATAACTCGAGCAGTTTCAAGGAGAATATAATGTTAAATAAGAGAGGAATGGTCAAAAAATGTTCAATAGGAATTAATTAACTCGTATCTGCTTGATTGATTCAATAAAATACAAAATTCATTTCTTTTGTATAGAAAGAAACAATTGCTCTTCAATGCGAACGGTCCGAATCGGAATTACGTAATACCAAAATCTATCGCGAAGATGAACAACGTCAATTTACCCATGAATTAGAAGAATTGAATAGCGAAATCGCTTCATTGAAGAGCAAGGAACATACGCTTTTAAATGACATCGATGGATTAAAATCAGAACTTTCCAATGTTAGAAGCGAACGAAATGAACTTCAAGAGCAGAACGAAAAGTATCAAAATGAACTGGAAAATATTCAAAAATTGCTATCCAATGAAACAGAAATCGGTTCAAAATCAGTTGCAAAAGTTATGTTATTAACACGACAATTAGATGAAGAACAAAAACGTGCCACGGAGGCGACACATCAAGCTGAAGATTTCAAAATGCAATTGAAGAGTACAATGATGACCAATGATTCATTGAAAATCGAACTTAACCAAGCACGAGGACTTGTTCAAGAACATATTGCTAAAGTAAACAGATGAGTTTTCGTTAACAAGTGAGAAACTTTGTTCATCTTGTTAGGAAACGGATTTAAAAGAAGTTCTTCGCCGAACTGAATCGTCATTGGAAGAGGCGAATCAATCATCAGACAGTCGACAACGTGAAATCGAATCATTGAATCATCTGCTATCACGTCTGCAAATTGATTATGAAAAATGCAAAACTGATCTATCAAAAGCACATGATGAAATCGTTCAACATGAAGTCGAAAATCAAATATTGAAACAACATTCTACCGACAAAACGAATGAAGTATTCACAGAAGTTCTCTTGTCTTTCGAATTACTTTTCCAACTTTTCGTTTTGCAGCTATCAACAGTGACAAATCGCCTCCATCAGGTTCAACAAGACTTTCACTCTTATGAAAAAGAACATCGATATACAAACGAAGAATATTTCGAACGTGAACAACGCTTGAAAACAGTCGAAAACGAACTTTCGACGATGATTGGAACATACGAACAACTCCGAGACGAACACGCCGTTTTAAATGAAGAATTAACCAAGCGTCGATACGAATTCGAACAAGTAGAATTATCCGATAGTTCACACAAAGAACGAGTGAGTCAACGAAAATTCTCAAAAGCGAAATCTCTCACTAAACTATCTCTTTAGTTGATTCAATCAATGGATGAAGCGAAGATCTACAAACGTAAATTAACTTTACTTGGCAATTGTTTCAAAACAGTTGTCCGAAAGGTAATTGTCCTACAAAACTGTTCATTATCTTAGTTGGCTTCGTCATTAGGCCTCCGAAACGAGTGAACAATGGGTTGTCAGTACATCGAAACTTCATGAACAAATCACTGATTTGAGTGAAGATGCGAATAAGTTACGTTCACTCGATGAACGTCTAGAACAATCAACGAAAATGTTGACGCTTTTACGTAGTCAGCATGAAGATTTACTTCTACAGTTTATGGCTGTTAAACCAGTTTTAGAAAAAGCGTATTTATATGTTCGAGAATATAAACGAAAATGGTCACAGACGAGCAACGAGAATCGACATTTACGAATGGAAACGAAACGTATGCGAAGTAAAATCGATGATTTCCATCGTGCGGAGGGTTTAATGCATGGCAAAATTGACGAACAAGAAGCAACTGTAGTTCAATTACGTAAAGAACTCAAGTAAATTCTTCCTTCGAAAGTATATTCGTTTATTTCGAACATTTTTTCATAGTACCGAAGCACAAACTCATTTCGAAGCGGAAACATTAATCGAACGTTTGAAACATACATTGGATGAAACTGTTCGTGAGCGTGATCAATTAATTAAAAACATGGCAAATGCAACTAAAAAGGTGCAATTATATCTCGTTGTCGAGAAAAGTTAATATTAACTTCGAATTTTAGATTGAGAAATTTGAAAACGATACCGATGGATATAATAATGAAATTCGTTCATTGCATCAACAAATACAGAAATTTGAAAAACAATTAGCAAATACACTTGGACAGAATGAAGCTTTGCAAAAAACGATCCAACAGAATGAATTATCGTACCAGGAAAAGGTAAGTTCACATTTTCTTTCGAATAAATTTCAAAAAATTCGATTTTCTTCTTGTTTTTAGATTAATGAATGTGAATTACTATTGATATCATTGAAAGAAGCAAATAAAAATACATTAGGTTTAGTTGAACAAAAGAAAAACGAATTAAATGCAACACAATCCGAAATTCAAGCATTGAAATATCAACAAACAGCAACTGCTTCAAAGGTTCGAATTGTCTCGATTTTCTGACTCTTCCATATTGCTAACAGCAAGAAAAACAAATGTCTTCTATTTTAGTTTGACAAAGTCGAAGAAATGAATCAAGAACTAAAGCGACACATTGCTTTACTTGAACGATCAAATGACGAATACAAACGTCTATCCCGTAAACGTGATCACGAACTTGAACAAGTAAAAAACGAACTCGAAAGTTCAATCAAAAGTACCACGATATTAAATACAAAAGTATACAATTAAAATCATTCTTCTCTTTTGAATCAGCTTCTTATGTTTTGATTAGTGTGCGAAACAAGATGCAGAATTGACTGGTCTTCGTCAGGAAAACGCATCCTTGACTGAAGAAGTGAAACTCATGCGTGAAAATATGAATCGTTGTCAAGAAGAACAGAAACGTTTACGAAAAGATTGTGATCAAGCATTAAACTTTATTCACGAAGGCATTCCTGAATTGTGGTAAAATCATCACACTAAGCAAATCTTTCTAAGTCGTTTGATGTTTGAATCTCATTGTTTGTTTTTGATTATGTTTGGTTTGTCTAGTCATTTAACTTCTTGCTTTTAACGTCGAGTGTTCTCTCTAATCACTTGAGATCAGATATATGTGAAGATTTGTGTCAGGTTTTTCAATTTCACTTGCATTTGTTTGTGTGTTTCTCTTCTAATTGTGTTGCACGATTGGTTAGATGGTCAATAAATGTAGAATAGAATTAATTGGTTGTAGGAGGGAAGTTCCGAGTTGATTAATCGTCTTTTTATTTGTTTAGTTTGGATGATAGTGATAGTAATGGTCGAAATGGATCATTACACGAAAATTTGAAAAGAATTCCGGCATTAATGCAACAATTAACAGGCGATCGAGATAATTTGAAGAGTAAAAATGCCGTATTACAACAATTTGTTCGTGGACTTTCGACCGATCTGAATGGATGTCAAAGTGGCCAAAAGAAATATAAAGTAAGTACATTCATTGTTCAATCAGATACATATTTTTGATAATTAGATGCTCAAAGCACATTCAAAACAGCAGCAATTGCTATTAAATCAATTGGAAACACATGTGCGGTTTTATGAGTAAGTTTATTTTGAATAGATTCGATTGCAAATCCATTTTGATTGGTTGTATTAGATCTGTTTTCAAAGAAAAAGGCTTCTTTCCATCAATTGAATATCCAGGAAATGCACCTGTAGCATCAGCACCTGATGTCATTGATAAAACTCATCATCGACGAAATTAATTTTGTAAACAATTCACACAACGTAGATTTGACTTTATTTTCACTCATTTTCTTTTGATTTTCTTTTCACATCGATGTTGGTTCGTCATTGCACAAGATTTGTTTTTGTTCTTATTCGTTGATTCTTTTGTCCGATCGTGAAGAACAATTTGTAAGGAATGTCCATCTCCACTTGTTTTTTTTTCTGTCGATCTGAATTTCGGACAAAAATGCTATTTTATTGAAATATTCGTCTACTGTTGTGCATTAGATTGTGAACTTGCGTCTTCATTCTTTTTATTCAAATATATTTGTACGAAAACAAAAAACCAGCAAGCGAACATTTCGAACTAGACTAATCGAATAAAATTGAAGTTTAAAAGAATTCAAAATCGTAGGAATGATGGTACTAAAAAGGAATATCATGTGTGCTGTTTATTTATTGATATATTTGGTCAATACAGGTTGATGGACGATGAATTATGAATTCTTGTGTAATTCAGTGTGTTTTAGAAGGCAAAGTGATGTGTTCATTTGATGAAAAGAATCGATTATGTCAATGGAAATTATTTGGATGGGATATTTATCATAGTTGTGGATATAAACCGAAGGTCAATGAACGTGAGTAGATCAAATTTTAGTTTCGATATTTAGTTCTTTGTGTGGACTGATAGATTTGTGTATAAGGAAATACCTGGACGGATCGAAATCGACAGTTTTGATAAAACTTCACGGTTCACCGAATGAGCAATATTGTTTTAAATTCAAATATCTTATAACTGACATGGTGATGAATAGTAATGACAATAGACATATCCGATTGAATTCTATCGAATAATTTCTTTTAGTTTGTATGAATTTCTACGGAAAATCTTTGGCGAATACCACGAAACCATCTCGACTATTTTCTACATTTTGTATCTCAAATGAAACATCGAAACTCAATTGGCACTCTTCTGCTATTCCTCTTCTTGAAAACCTAATGATGGTAAAACATCATTTTCACATATAATCAACTGATCTTCTTTGACTCGTCAGATTAATATCATCACAGAAAGTACTGGAATATCCAGTAATCATTCATTAATTATCAAAGATCTATCAATTGACCAATGTGGTCCAAGTAAACTCTCACATAATTTGTATAAAATTCTGTATGAAATCTCTTCTAGTTATTCAACTCACTTCTACCATTCCATCACCATTGACTCGAACAAAACAAACTTGGTTTCGATATCAATGGCTGTTCATTTTCCTGAGTATTTTATGTTTGGGGATCGTGTCGATTATTTTCTATCTTTATGTTACTCGTAAGAAATCGATAGTCATTGAACGGATGCCGAATTCATCCATAACTTTATCTCATCATTTCTATGAAGAACCAATTTCGGTGATTATTCAACCATCGATTGATATTAATGAATATGATCATGTCCGAGATAATTACGTCTGAAAGAAAAAGCGCATTGATATGACATTCAAATTTCTGTTGAATATTTTCATATTTGTTTTCCTTTACAATGCCACCGATAAACATCGATCAATCAAATAAACTACGGGAATATCAGTCTATTTTTCAACATTATGGTTTGGAACGATCAATGCACTCGTATTCTGATGATGAACTTACTAAACGAGTTAATAATCATCTGTATGATAAGAACGAAATACTAGAGAGAAATGCGAGTAATAAGAAAACTACTAACGCAAAAACTGTTTCTAAACCATCACGAACACCAGCTTCCGCGAGATCAAATAGAAGCAAATCCGTTTCAAAACAAGTTTGTTTGTTGATACAGCGAAGCTCTTCCTTCATTGGATTCCATCTGTTCTGCTAGGCTAGATCAAGTGATCAGGGAAGTGTTGTTAGAATTGTCGTTCCCTCAGCTGCTAAAGCACGCAAAACAAAATACAGGTATTCGAATGAGACAATTTCCACAATATTATTCTTGCCATCCTAATTTTAGTAGTAAAAATATTCCCAAGCAACAACAAAGACCTCAAAATCTGTCGAGTCCAAAAGTAGCACCACATACACCATTACATTCGACTTCTTCAACAACGAGTACATCCATACAAAAACTACCTAGATTCCAGTCAGATATTGCGAAAACAGTTTCAAGTTCGCCCGATCCTATAGGATTCAATCCAATGAAGAACCTGTCGAACCTTGTAACAATAATTTGATCTACTAAACAGAATATCACTTGATGTTAAATTTGTATAGGATTTAGATGAAATCAACATGTTTGTTCGAAATATGTTCAATAATCGCATTGATTCGACAGGTTCTATTGAAAATACATATATTATTCAATATTCTCACTTCTTTTAGATAACTCAAGGCATTATCGTCCTTCTCGGATTCCGTTAATTTGGTATAGACTTCTTTCTCAATAAAATATCGTTTGGATCAACTTCTTATTCTCTAAACGTAGTCCTGATGATTCTGATGGTCATTTAGCAGAATACATCAAAACACGAAATCATTGCTTGGATCTTCTTGAACAATATGTTAATAATATCAAACGACAACACGGTCTCGTTCGAAATGCTTCCTCTGATCCACCTATTTTTGATCCTGGAATAAGCGTAAATAATCATAGGACAATGCGTCGTTGAAATACCTCTTTTAGATTACCGGTCCACATATTAAAAAAGATGCAGCTATCGTTGAAAGAGAAGATTCGAAAATGATAAAGAAAGTAAACGATACTGAACCGAGAAAAAAATATGCTTTAATTCATGAAAGTATGGGAATATTTATCATTGGTAAATTCAGACTTTTCTTAATTTACCCGACGAAATGTTTGTGATGTATCGAAGACTATTTTAGGTGGATATATTCTGTATGTTAATGGTCCCATTCAAAAAGAACCGACTACAGATTATTTGTTCAAATTTACCGGAGAAACTGTCAAAATTCCACCTTTAACTCCATGTCGAGTTCATTTTGGTAAGTTCTTCCAGTAGGCAATGTGCTTTTGCTAAGAAATGTTCGTAGGAGTTTACGCAGATACAAGTGGAATTTATATTGCTGGTGGTCAGACAATAAATAATGAGTAAATCTTTACAAGGAATGTATAACTTTCACTCTCATCTTTAGATTACTCGATGATATTCAACGATTGAATTTGCAAACATTAAAATGGGAACACATTGCAAAACTAATGAATCCAATCGCTGCATGGTTAGATTTCAATATTCCTTACCTATGATTTATCTTTTAATCTTGTATTTGTAGTGGTATGACACTGGATGGTAGACGAATCTACCTTGTGTAAGCACAGATTTGTAAATCGAAAAGACTTTTTTTTGTAGAAATAGCTCCATTTTTCTTAGTGGTGGCTATGATATTGTACAAGGACAAACTGTTTTATTGTCTGATTTCACTGTATTTAATCTATCATCTAATGAGTAAGATGTATATTTCATCGGCACAATAACCTTGTTCTTTCAATAATTTTTAGTTTTGAAAGATCGAACGATCTTCCAACACCTCGTTGTCGGAGTTTAGTATTTTCGACAAATCGTGCTGTTTTCTGTGTCTCAGGTCTAGTTCAAAAGCACGATGAGAATGGAAATAAAACCATGCAAATATGTCACGTAATCAATTAATTTCATATTCCACTGTCTCTATGAATTCATAACCAACAGGATATTCTGAGATGGTCGCTCGATACACCAAGCTGGACGAAAATCTCTGAAACACCAGTCTTAACTAAATACCATGCACTATCTTTTAATGGTAGACGAAAATTTCTCAATATACGTATCTGAATGAATTCTTTCTTGCAGAACCTTACCTCGAAGTAACAAAACGAACTCTCCATAAACACTCTGATTCAGCTGGTGCAACAGCAGAAGTAAGAAGAGATATTTTCTCTTGCCGATTAACCAAATTTTCTTTAGTCATATTACGATTTTCGAACAAATGTTTGGACAAACGGCAGAGCACCAGTCCCAACGTAACCATAACACCCAAACCTTCCTAAAGAATCTCTCATTCGTATCAATTGCAGGGAATCGCCTCCTTCACGCTCAACCACAACGCCTAAAAAATCGAAACAACCCTCGAAATCGAAAACACCCGCCAAAACTCCATCTAAAACCAGAGGTTTGTTTTTCATTGAAAACAAAAACAACATGCACCGAAGTGTAACAACGATTTCTTTTCCAGTGAAAAAATCACCATCAAAAAAATAACACAATGTTATCAATTGAAATCATCCATCGCATGATAAATGATGTCAAATGGATCCATGGGATTGAAAGTGTCAACTGCCTACAACATACAATGATGCAGTTAATTGCAAAGAATTTTCTTTTAATTGATCACACGATCAGAAATGTATTTGTGTAATTGAAAAACAAACAACTAACGAACATTTTTTCCACTAATGTCTTATTCATTAGACGATCATTTTTCATTCATTCATATCTTTAGATCAAATCAAATTCAATTTCTTCTGATGTTCACTTGTTTCTTTTTCACTCTTGTACTCAGACACCAGATGGAATCTTCGAAGGATCTCAATTTTCAGGAAACTTACGTTCAGGTGCGAAAATCGATAATCCATTTATGTCTAAAACGGCTCGTCTATCACCGGATTATCGCCAATCATTTGTAGACAATAAACACTAATCGAATAAACTTGTTAACGTGTGATATCGAAGTGAAATTTTGTCTTGCTTCCGGCATTTCTCTCTATCTATCTTAATTGACCATCGAGAGAGGACGAAGATGCCCTACTGAGCCGCGTGTATACACATACACATATTTGATTCGGTAATCAATTAGAAAGGCAACGTGACACGACAAATAGATTGGCTTATAGACAATGACAGAGAAGAAGAGAGAAAAAAAGAGAAATGCTCAAGAAGATATGCATATATAAGTCGAAAGCATCGATGTTATAATCTATTGATATTTTAAGATAGAAAATCATGCAAGGTAACAACTCATTTGAACATTGTCTTGATAGTTCGAAACAAAACTATTGTATTTCTAGTCTGTCAACATCATCGTTTTGAATGTATTCAAGTTACATATCGTAATAGTCACAAATGTATAACAAATTTCAATCGTCTAACCACAGTTGCTCATATCATCGATGCTCTACTTGATGATTTAGCTGAAAAACAGAATTTTACTATCAATGATTGTTGTCTCTATGTTGAACATCCACCTTATTTATATCCATTGAAATCAACTGACTTCATTCAAGATATTCTTTTACGTTATGCTTCATCGAACATCCGATTTAAATTATCCTTCAAACGCAATTCATCTCCATCTCGTTTTGCTCAACGAAAGAAGCTCCTTCGAACGCCGGTACAACGACCTATCCTGACGAATGCATATGAACAGTTGAAAATACAAGAATCATTGATCCGTAAACAACATGAAATTATCAGTCAATTACGAAGTACAAATTTATCAAATAATTATTCTTTATCATCAAATTATGCCAATTATTTTGACTGGGTTACACGCACGGATGATTGTGATATCGATAGTGATGATAGCAGGTTTGTTTTCGACAATAACATCTCTAATTAAATCTATTGAAAAATATTTTCTTGTAGAAGTGCATCAGATATGATTCCAATTTGTCGACGACAATCTCGACAAGATGAATATCATCAAGCCATCAATCAGCATACGACTAATTCAACTCGCTCCTTGTCACGTGTTCGTTTTCGTACCTCGACCGTACAGAGTTCACCATCGACAGTCACTTCCGAAGTGAAAAGTATTCTAAAAAAGATTTCATCCAATCCACGAACAACAAGTGTCGATCGCACACATTCCACAAGAAAACAACGAACAACTACGACGAAATATACATCGGATGACGATGATCTATCCGATCGTAGTACGACGGATTCTTGTATAGGTTCGTTATCATCGGACGATAGTAATAGTTACACGATCAATCAACATCATTTGGAGACACTCGTGTAATTTGTTCTTTTGTGTGTCGGGCTATTTTTTTTTTGTTGCATTTATAAGTCGGACTTGATTTTTCAATATATGAATAGCTTTGGCTATGGAAAAAACAACAGGTTTGGTTCTTCTTCCGCTTGCATCAACAAGCAAAAAGAAAAGAAATTAGTTATTCTGTTTCGTTCTTAGCATAATTACAGCAGTAATGTTTTTTTTACATAGCGATAAGAATCTCGAACAAAACAAAATCTCTTACGAGCCATGTGTCACATTGAAATAAAGCATACATCGTGCTCGCCGATATGTTTTTGAAAAAGAAAGAAAGAAAGAAAGAAATCAAAGAATACGGCAAGTAATAAAATAAAAAAAAGCGATGGCTGGACCGATAGAATTACTTTTGACGATGAAAAAACCTTTCATAAACACAGGGAAAAGAGAAGAGAAATCATATAGACTACATATAAATATGTCAGTAAAAGCTAGTTCTCTTCTCTCTTTCTTCTGTTTTCATTCTTCTTACTTATCAACATAAAATGATGTCACAAACTAATGGTCTTACAACTGCGACAATTACTAACAATAAGTTAAATGTTAATGGAAATGAAGCAGAATGGGACAATGAATGCGATGTTTTTAATAGACTTCAATCGTTGATCCCAGCGATAAAACAAAACTTTATCTTAATTTCTCAACAATACAATCAATTTCTCAATGATACAGACGAGTTGAGTAAAACATTTACCGCGATGCAATTAAAACAGGAGAAGCTTGAGCGAGAATTAGATTTTTATCGTAAAGATCTCAATGATTTTGACAAACAGATCGATTCAAATGCAGATAATCGTGTGTATCTCGATGTAGGTGGACATCATTTTACAACGACCATTAAAACCTTAACTCAAAGTAATTCCTTATTTTTTAAAGCATTTCTTATGAAAGAATGGAATCGAAATGCAAATACGGCAGATAATCGAATCTTCATCGATCGCGACGGACGAATTTTTGATTTGGTACTCAAATACCTTCGAACAGGTGAACTTAACATTGAAGACAGAGCCACTCGGAAAGAATTGCTCACCGAAGCGAAATTCTACAAAATTCAAAGTTTAGAAGACGAATTGAATTCACTTTTACGAAAAGATGAATCATGTCTGACAGCTAATCTAACTAACCAGTCATCACCGCCATGTAGTCCTGCACCAGCAATCAATCGAACACGGTCTTCACCTTATTCCTCATCGGCGGCACCCAATACATTGACACGTTCTTCACCATTCAATCAATCTATGCCGACAAAAAGCAAACCTCATCCAGCCCAAACAGCATTGTCATGGCGAACAATAATTCCATCGGAAAACCGTTTAAACATCTTCTTAGGAAGTACTTTAATAACACCAGAATATGAAGAAAAACTTTCCGAATTCATCGGTCCAGAAATGATGACACAGCAACCATGGAAATTGATTTATCGTGCTAGTGAACACGGATTCGACGCCGCTGATTTCCATCGTTGCTCTGAATCCTATGCGCCAACAATATCAATCATTCAAACTGATTTCGGAAATATTTTCGGTGGATTTACATCAATTTCATGGAGTTCAGCAACACTTCGTGCTGATCAAGCAGATCCCACAGCATTTCTCTTCACATTAAAGAATACTCTAAACGTACCACCAACGAAATTTCCCGTCGCGAAAGAATATCAACAGTGTGCAATAAGTCATAATCCAACCTGTGGTCCCAATTTCGGCTCGCCGAAGAATGAAGGAAGTGATCTATGTTTAAGGAACAAATTTAATGAAAAAACCAATTGTATATTTTTTCCAAAAAGTTATGTCGATACAACGAATCTTGGCAGTTCAATATTCGCGAAGAAATATTTTGCCTGTAAAGAAGTCGAAGTATTTACGATAACAACACAATAACTGAAACAATAATTTAATTTTTAAATTCATGTTTTAACTAATTAATTTTAACTTTTAAGTATCGATCTTTCTTTTCGGAGATAAAATATAAAACAAAGATTAAATTTAGACACGAAGGAAAACATTCTAATCACAGGCCTATGCAGATAGTTTAACTCGTAGCAGCGCATTTAAGCTTGAATTACCGAATTATTTACTATGTAAAACAATACTTCTTCACGATAGGAAATAGAATGTTACTCTATAGACTTTCTCTTTTGTTTATCATGATTCATAGTGTATCATAAATAGTTTTCAAACAACTAGATCCTATCAAAACTAATGTCATGTGAAAGTTCTTTACAACAGGAAACTTAAATGTTATTTATTTCCTTTTGACATTGAAAATCTTCCTATTTCTTCTCGACTTCACCAAACTAATCGTGACAGTACGAAAATGCACATTTATTTGTCATGATTCACCGACGACCTGCTATTATCATAGTAGATCGCGTATGACTTTTGTCGTGTATCTAAACTCATAAAAATCGTATTATGAAAGTCATGTTTGCATTTGTCCGAAGGGTAGGTGAACCGTGTCCAATCAGGATCCATTAAAAACAATGAATTTTATTTCGTCTTTTAGTTTTTTCGAAATTTTCAATTAACATTCCTATACACAAGTACTGCGACATTGTGTTGATTAAATATTCCGTTCGAAAAAATACTTTCTATCAAAGTGCGATGACAAACACATCTGCTATGGAGAAGAAATCATCGAAATATTTTACAATTAAAGATCTATTAACCTGTGCTCTTTTCATGATTTTTATCTTGGTATGTTATTTGGACATCACCTTTGCTATGCAATCACTTCCTTTATGACGAAATCATATGGTTTAATTGCTGAAATTATTGACAATGATTTGCAAAAAGAAAGGAAAAGCAAATCATGCGCGTCGAAGTAAATGAGGATTTTTCTCGCATGACCACGAGCAATTAAGGGTTATAAAAGCTAGAAAAATATTGTACAATCTTCAGTTCTAACATTCGTAGTTACTTGAATAGTTAACATTCCGACGACCTCATCGAACAACAAAGATGGATAGTAAGTAGAAGGTTTTTCTGAGTTGGTGATATGAAATACATGTATTTTGGTATTTTTAGCACGAATTGTAAATGCTCTTGAAAGAAAATATGGAATCGATCTCAACGGAGATGGATTTATTGGTGGAGAAGGTAGTTATCGAGATTTATTCAGTAGGAAAATATTCTCTCTGATTTTTTTTAGGATATCTAAGTCAACTCGAACGAGCAACAGGAAGAGATTTTAACGGTGATGGAGTTCTCGGTCGTAGACCGGATGTTGTTCCGGGATACCCAGCAGCCTCGGGTTATCCATCGATGGTATACGGTCCCACTGGTCAAGTCTACGCCACAAATGGTTTTGTTGCTCCAAATCATTCATTCAATCATCCACATAGTCACCATCATCATCATATGCATCGTCATTTTTAAAGACAAATAGTTTCAAACATATTCACTGTTACTTATTCTTGGACCAATAATAAAAAGTTCTATTTTATCGAGTGTTGATCGGAAAGAATGTCATGTTAGTCGACTTGAGAACATCTATGATTAGAAGCAAGATGTATATAGATTTAAAGCAAACAGAATGTATGACATTCGCGATAAAATCAGGTATATCGAGCATATATTCTGCGAGAGTACTTATAAAGGGTCAACCATTGACACTTGACACGTCTAATCGAGACATTTAATGCGTCGCTGTTTTGACATATTAAGTCGATTCACCTACACATATCACGTATTGACGAACTGTCTACACTGGATATTTAAAAAACAAAAAGGAAGTGCAACGTTCGTTTGGTGAAACAATTAATGTTCTTCGAAACTGAGAGATTTATTTTTTCCTATAAAATTGATCGACAACGAGGTCTTCTGCTTGTATCATTTCACGTAATGTGATCAACTATGAATTTGATTACAACATTTCGCCAATCATCTGAAATCGATTGCTTGAGTGAACATCTGTTCACCATCGATGTAAATTCTTGTCGATAATCTTTAGACGAAAACGTAACGACTCATTTTCTTTAAACATTTTCGACATATTTTATGCAAAATGTGTCGAGCAAGATTCTTTGATCTGTCATAAATCAATTGGCGCAATTTCAATAGTGAATAAAATTTTTATTTGTAATGTCAAATTATGAATAAGAAAGAGAAAAACGAAAGAGAAAAAAAAGAAAAACATGTCTATGCCTCGATGGTATATTTTCATGCATTGATTTTTTTGATGAGAAAGAAAAAAAACACATTGATATTTACAATCGATTATAGTACACTCAGTTTTGTGTTTTTCCAAACCGTTCGTCTATGTCTAGTTCGATTGTTTCCCTACACGATAACATGAACTATTCACAAATAGATCAAATACGGACTCATCAATGAAAAAAAAACAAGATAGATATGTAACAGAGGACAAGAAAAAAAAACAAAGAAACAATTGTTGAAATCATCAGCGAAGTAAGATAAGGAATGTTCTTCTGAACATGTGAAGGAGAACTGAAGACTTTTCCCGTGTAAATATGTATGTACAGAAATGCTGTTGTTATTTGCAAATAAAAGGAAACTTAAAAAGCAGAAAAAATTGTTTTTTCTTGTAAATATGCGAGTAGGAGAAATGTTTTATGTACAAAATCAAACGACATTGATTGAATTGTTTAATCCAATGTATAGAAGTAGGGTGTTTTCATACGAAGATAGCGACGTAAACATAAGTACATACTTAAAAGAAGCAAAGTTCACATGCATGAATGAAATAGTTTTCTAAAGCTGAAGTGAACTTACATTCCCATGCCAAGAAGAAAACTGGCACAATTGCTTAAGAGAACATAACGCATACGTTTTTTTTCGATTAAAGCTTTGGCTGCCTCTTCGGCTGCGCGTTCTTCTTCGTCTTCGTCGAGTAATTGATCACGGACGCTTCGATTGATCGGATGAAGAAATTTCCATTCTCTAGACAAAAAAAAATCAATTACATTCAAAGAAAAACAATAGCAAAGATTCTACTTTGGTGGTTCAGATTCAACACGCGACCAATATAACATCCAGTTAGCGACATTTTCATCCGTTTGAATTGGACTCTTCGGACTCTTCGGTGATGAGCTAGAAAGAATCGTGAAATCTGTAGGAAATGAACGATGTGAATAAATACCTATCACTATGTGAACTTTTCGAGCCAACACGTGATGATTCCTTTTGTGCTTCTAATAATAAGTTTTCATTGATGTGCATACTGGACAAAAGATCTCGATCGGCGAATGAACTCGTAGTTGTTTCTGGAGTTAGAGTTTGTTTTTCTTCTGATTGAATATCAATCCAGGATTCTAAAGACAAAAAGATTTTACGTTGTTTTTCTTTTCCATCGTTTGTATACAAACCTGATGTATAATGTTGCATTGATTTATTCATTATTTACTAAGACGTTCTTCGTTTTATTGTGTGTAGAAAAATCTAAAACTTCTAATCGATGTCGATTGAAATTCGCGTGTACGTAATGAGAAAAAAAACGATTATGTGTTATGTCTCCGTTAGAAACGTCAAAGACGAAAAAAAAAGTCCCTTCGTCTCGCGCTGACTCATCGTGTAATCTTCATAGCCATGTGATGATGTTGTTTTACTATGCACATATATTTATATATATATCGACGTATCACACGTGATTCGTTGACCTATCGATATATATCAAAAAGAAATCAAAACTATTCTACTGTTGTTCAATTAGATCTCAGCATGCGCAATCGTAGCCATGAACTTTTATCTAAGTGCATTTAGTAGCTCTACTGCCAAACACATGATCATGTAAACACGTGCAAACATAGAATGTAACGCACTTTCCCAGTTGATTATTCAAAGTGCATTCGTGTGCTAAAGACATGTACAACAAGAATGATAGAGGACGTTGCTTGACATCGATTTTTCAACATGGATAATTGTTCCTATCGACCAAAATTTAATCACAAGAAAAACACTGTATCATTTTGAAAGAAAAATGCGTTATAAAGATCTTTTGGTGGTCGTTGAACCGAATGAAATTAGATTTGCTCATACGATACAGAACAATCTCTATCGACGGACGATTCATGTCAAAAATGTCGATACAAGAAGCAAACGAATTCAAATATTTCGTCCATCAAACAAAGTAATTCGAAAAATTCTTTCGTCAGACAATGTTTTATCAGTATTTTTCTTTGAGGATTTTCAATTGATTGTCGAAAATCCTGATCAACCTGTTCCACCTGGTCTGGAAGTAACCGGTGTTATCGAATATGTTGCTAAAATTAACGAAGAACGACGTGACACGATTGTAGTTGATATCGATGGACGAGAAATTAAAATTCCTCTCTACGCTTTTCCCGCCCGATCGGAAGTTTCTGTTGACGGTACGTACTTTTTTTGATTTTCTCATGACTAATGTCTCCTTTCGTTGATTTCAATTTAGAAATGGTTGATTTCGGCATTCATGTTGCTGATAATAAAACTGTCTTCAAGAAGGTCATGGTCAGAAACACAGGCCGTACACCAGCAACATATCAAATTCATTACAAAGGCGGACATCCAATTGCATTTACACCCCAATCGGCAGTTGTTCAACCAAACTCCTCTCTATCCGTCGAAGTATCGCTATTAACATCATCATTAATGTTAATTGATGATGTTGCAACGTATGTTCATCAAGAACCTATTTCGTAAGGAAAATAACGAAGAGCTTTCGTGTTGATCTTTTTTTAGATTAGAAGCATGTCATGAGACACATGCAATAAAATTGAGAGGAAAGATTATGAATCGTCGATTGTGTTTACTTCATCCAGAAAATGATGAAGAATTACGAAAGCTTAATTTTGGTTCGTGTTATTACGGGTGTGATTTAACAGCTGTGGCTATTCTCTACAATGATTCGCCTGAACCTGTTGCTTATTCAGCATTAATTGATGATTCAAAACAATCGGTAAATACATCCTGTTTTCCTGTACTTATCGTCTTATCTCTCTTCTTTAGGATCATGATGAAAAAGAAACCAAAGATACCGAATATACATTGAATCCACTGAATTCAATGATTACTGTTTTTCCTAACCAAGGCATTCTCAATCCATTCGAAAGACGTCCTTTATTTTTCCGCTTTAGTCCACGGTAAAAGCTAATCTCCCTTCAAGGTATTTCAACGTATCATTCCTATCCATTTCGATTAGAGCTTATTCACCTAAACAAGCGTTTGCTACCACGCTTGACTTGCCACCTCGACGAGATGTTGCTGCTTTTATGTACTTCGAATTATTAGGCGCAAGTCCTGGTCTATCAAAAATCGAACAAAGTAAAACAAAACTTGAAATAGCTGTCGCAGGAACAGCGCTGCCCGTTGTTTTATCACTCGAACCTCATGAGTTACATTTCCCAACGACATATATCGGACAAAAGCATGAGCAAATTATTCATATATACAATCAATCGGATTTTAAACCGATCGACTTTCGTTTTCCATCGGTGGCGAATTTCGCAGCTTATCCTGCAAGTGGCCGATTAAAACCAAGAGAAAAATTGAAAATTACAGTTACATTTATTCCTCATCAGATGGGTTTGTTCATTTTATTTTTAGTTTTACATTATTTTCTGAGTTTCTTTTTCAGGTAACATTAATAAAACACTCGTATGTGAAGTAGTAGGCTCAGCAATTCATTCACGCTCTCCTATTCACACACAATCAAAAGCGATTCATCAAGCTCAATGTTTCTTAACTGGTCATGCGTCGATAATTACGGAAATTCCACCGGAAAAGTTCAATATGGGTAAGAGAATCGAGATAAAGTGAATCTTCTACTATATTTGCTTCTCACCCAGGCTTAAAACCATTAATTGCCAATGAAGTTGGTATCAATGTCAATACAACACATGATTCGTTAAAACCATTTCATCCCCGTGCCGCTGTATTGAACAGTACACACGATAGAACACATGTGAAACGAACATCATCTACCTATTTGGATAATTTCAAGAAGCACAAAGTTTCGTTTCCTAATGATCGAGCACGGAGCATAGGTCCATTCAATCGTGATGATAGCTTCACGTACGTTAATCAGATAGACAAAAATAGAAATGAAGAAATTCTATTTAAAACACATTTCCACGTTTTAGAACACCTTTTACAAGAGAAGAACGGTATAATTATGTTGATCCTGATTATGCGTACACAGATCAAGAAAGAAAATTAATTACACAACATAACAGTTCTTACAATAACTTATTTACTGAACAACGATATCAACGAACAGAAGCGAAACGAACGAAGTAACATCTTTCGAAGAGTTTACCTTCGCAAGACAAACGCATTTTTCTTCTAGAGAATTGCAGAAATATGACAATAACACTGATCTTGGAATGAAACCCGGCAATGATCTAGAATCGCCTCGAATCGCCCTAGCTGAAGTAGAGAAAAATGTCAGCAAAGCAGCAGGTAAATATCATTGAGAGTACTCACATTGTTACCTACGGTCCAACAAACATACCAACAGATTCCGGTGCAGCAGAGTATCATTCAAAAATAGTCTTTTTCGGTTTATACGACTTCATGTTCAGTCAAGTATCACATAGAGCGAAACATCTAGTGAAAGAATCTATTTCCCATATAGATGAATGATAAGTTCCTTTTCACCATCACTTATTATGATGAAAGCTTCGCTGATTTTTCTGCTCGTCTTTTCTCCATTTGTTTTCTTTATTAAAAATGTCAGAAACTGATGAATATTATCTTATTAGAAGATTTTTTTCTGCCTATAAAAATAAGTAAGAAGCAGAAAAACGCGTCAAAGAAGATATGCGTGATTCTTTTCTGCGAAGAAGAAAAAAAAAAGAAAAATAAAAGGAAAAAGGATACGGATGTAAGCAGATTTTTGCATCAGTTTTTTTTCTTCTTCTTTTCCAGTTCCGTCGTATCCTAATTGGAAATTTCGTGTGCCGACGACATCGGAATTAGCTGAACAAGAGCAAACGTTGTTGCATAAGCCAGTTAAAGAAGGTCTCAATTCTGTTCCGACAACTTTCAAAGAAAAAAAAGAATGTGCCGTGCATTTATCGCCAAGTCAACTTTTCAAAGTCGTCGTTGGTAATTAAAAATGATTTACTTCGTTTTTTCAAGCTTGTGAATTTGTGTTTTCAGGACCGGCAGAGTTAGATTTTGGGGAAGTCTGTGTCAATGCACCAGTCACGAAATTTCTATCAGTTTTGAACAATCTCGATCAGTTTATTGTCGTTCAAATCGAAGTAAAACTTTCGCAACGAAAGAAATGTGACTTCAACGAATCTTTAGGTCGATTCGGCTGCTCTGAAAATGACCTCACCACTATGTCAAGTCATTCCGGGCAAATCTCACGTTCAATTTCCAATAACATTCGAGCCATCACAAATCGGTCTTTATCAACGCTCGCTTTCGTACGTAATCAACAATTTCTATCGACATTATGTCAAAATTATTGCTGATGTTCGTTTGCCAACGGTTCAATTATCAACAGAAAAACTTGTTATCAAATCATTGCCACATCTTTTAGCTGAGGATTCCTTCCGGCGAGTGGTCAATCTGTACAATCCATTGAATGCACCAGCAGAATTTCGTTGGGAACCAGTTATAGGGCCTAAAGGCACAGCGTTTTCCATTCGACCAGCGACAGGTACACATTCTTTTCTCATCCTCGAGATAAGAAATCATTCGGTTCTTATAGGAATCATTGAGCCTTATCAAACGATCGATTGCGAAGTTGTTTGGTATGGTAGTACACAGGCACCATTGGAGAACTTTTTTACATTATACGTTTCATCAACGAACGATTCGCGAAAAATCTCTGGTTATGATCAATCAGCAAAAGGACACAACGAAACGACATTGTCACTTCAGTGTGTAGCGCAAATTGGAAAGGGTAAATTTCGAATTCCAGAAAAACGAGTTAACTTCGGTACCATTCCAATCAATATGACATCGAAACAAACATTTACAATTATTAACGAAGGATCGAATCATTTATTTTACGAAGTAAGACCATATCTGTTTTCATTCCAAAGATTATCTTTTTTTCCTCGAAGATTGTCGAACCAAATCCATGCCCTGGCGTCGTGATCAATCCACCGAGTGGTCTCGTCACCGCTGGTTCACAATCAAGCGTTACTATAGAAGTAACACCAATCGAATTAATCAAATTCGATATTAAATTCGGTTTGAAAGTTCTTGGACAACGCGAACAAGAAATTCGTATGACAGGCGAAGTTATCGAGCCTGATATCACCATTCCCGAAGGAGAATTCAATTTCAGCGGAGTACCGATCTTGATGAAAGCCTCGAAGCAATTCCACATTGAAAATAAGGTATGCGAAAGTATATCGATTGGGCGTTATGTTTTCATTTTATTTAATTCAATGGATAAAACACAGCAAACAGATCGAATTTCATTGGAGAGAAGAAAAAGACTGAGATTAGGTTTTTAATATTTAACACGAAGACACTTATCCGTTCGAAAACGTCGTTTGACACAGATGTTTGGCGCACAGCAACGTGCCAGACTGAATTTGCACCGAACGCATCGTCCAGATATCGATGGATCTTGATTATGATGATGATGATGCTTGTGACCGAAAATACTTCGTTTTGAAACCGCATTATTTTCATTCTCGACTTGTAAATCGCCATTGAAATCGATTTCTGATAGAACAGAGGTTAACAGAAGGGTAAAAAGAATAAGAAAAGTTAAGAAACGCATCGCTTGCATGTTTGTAAATAATGAATATTGTGAAGGAAAACACGGCGAGTATTTATATACAAGATTGAGAGAAAATTAACTGTTAACATGTCGACATCTGATGATAGGTTAGATTGCAGAGAGGAAAATATAACGAGAAGAAAATCAACTATTTGCCCTTACCGAACTCGAAATGTAATTATTTTATTTCGATGACATAATTTGCTTCTACGTATCAGTCAACATTGATCAACGATAAGAAATGAGAAGATTATTTATAGAACAGCTTATTCATTTAATCTAACCGAAAGCGAAGATTTCTCCATGTTTGTGAATGAGTATAAGAAGTTCTTAGTTTGCACTCATCTTGATTTAATTTTTATTAGTATCGTATGATCTGTTTAGAACTGTAGAATGAAATCTGATTTGTATGATTATCACTTTTGATACTTGTTTTTTTCGTTTATCCAAATACCAATAACACATGTAGGTGTAGATAAGTCGGAGAAAATTGCCATCTGGTATGTCGCGAAAGCGCAATAAATACTGAATTTGTACTTTGAAAACATCATTCGTTTTCTGACGAAATTCCACTAGCAATGCGCACTCAAATCATCGCCATTCTTGTCTCTTTTCTTCTCTGCGCAACATTTTTGGTTTCCGCCAAACCTGCTGCCCCAGTTGAAGAACAACGCCGTGCTATTTCTTTTCCAATCAAGTTTCCCAATCCACTTTGTATGCCAATGTTATGTTTCGCTCCATGCAACTGTGGTAGCCAACTTGATATACGCGGCTGTGATACTTGCAGCTGTCTTCCATGCCACGGTGATTGGTGGTGATTGGTTAAATCTTTTATTTTCATTAAATAAAATGAATTAAGAAAACTCACACGAAATTCGATTGTTTTTTTTTGCGAATAATTCATATGGAAAATAAGATCGATCAGTGTAGAAGAAACTTTTTTAGCTTTATCATGAAGAAATGTTCGACGAATGAAATGAATGAGAAAGTTAACGTTTGTTTTTGTTCATAGGGAAGTGTAAAAGGTATCGTGGAAATCAATCTATCGAAATATCCAGATTTCAGTATCGATACACACCCACCTATCGGTAAATTTCAATAAATATCCTATCGAAATTTTTCTAATGTCACGTTGTCAATAGGTAACGAAGAATGTTGCACTAAAAATGGTCAAATCTATAGTATAACGGTTCAACCAAATGAATCTATCAAAGCAGAATTAATTCTCATTCCATCCGAAGTTTGTGTCCTTCTCTCATAACAAAAAACTTCTCCTAATTTGATTCTCTTTTACTAAAAGATCGCATTTTATGAATTCTTTCTGCCAATTCGCACTTGTCCACCACTACTGAATGTCGAAGGTTTATCTCAAGCATCTAAACCACGATCGGCTTCACATCCTCAACGTGAATTGAGCGCAACTGAACGACAATCTCTCCAACCATCGCATCCTCCCATACGTCGTCGAGTTCACGCTACTGCCTTATCCGATTGCCTCCAGTTATCAACAAAAGATTTATATTTTCAAATGTATCCAACTCAATTCAATGCTATGAAACAAGGTGCCTATCTAGATTGTCAAGAAATCATGTTAATGAATAATAGCAAAAAGCGAATACATTGGCAATTGGATCTACGTAATGATGTCACTCTAGAAAACGACATTTTTCGTATTGTACATTCAACGTTGACTGCATTTATCGGCTCAGCATCAAGTATTGGACCTGAAGGTGAAATAGATCCGAAAGGAATCTTTTCATTCAAAGTCAATTTCTCTCCGAATAAACCTGGAACATATAAAACACGTATACCACTTTATGTCAATCATAATCAGCAAACACCTTATACATATATCGATTTGACCGGAGAATTTTTAGTACCAAGTTTAATTTTTGAACCTAAACGTTTAATTCTTCCACCAGTACCATTGGACATCGAATGTGCTGGAACAGTTCGTATACGACCAAAAGGTTTTGAAAGGTAAATTTGAATCCGAAATGATCAGTTCTGGTCATTAATACTTTTGATACTCATTTGTTAAGAAATACACGATTGATCATATTAGCAAATGAAAAACCAGTTGATGCTCCGTATCAATTTCGTGCATCATTTCCTGAACCTGCGATAATCAATGTTGATAAACCACAAGATTTCGTCATGAAAGTAACGTTTAATAGTCACCAGCCATTTTCCGAACAAATCGTTGTGAAGATTATCGATGAAGAAAAGAATTGGTTCGTTTGTTCGTCTCTTTCACGCACCCATTTGTTGCTTTTTCTTTCGGATGTTTAGTTTTGAATACGAAGTTTTTGTTACTGCCGACAATTCAATATTCACATGCTATTCGTTTCTGTGGAAATCAGAAAATGATTATCAGATCGTCGTTCAACCAGGTCAAATTATGAAGGGAAGTCGAATTAAATCGGATGAAAGTAATTCCAGCGGTATGTGAGAGCAAAATTCGATATACAATCAATATTAATGGAATTATATACTTCTAGGAGAACCTTTGTTGGTACAAAAACGAATAGCTACAAGTTCGAATTCACGACCAAATACAAGTACGAGTGCAACATTTGATCAAACAGATCAAGCTTCCGATGGAGTATCTTTGGATGGAACTACACCTGGACAAAATCGAAATGAACGTTCGCCGGTAGGGTCCTTTTATTTCGAATTGCCGTATTCATTTAAGAAAAATATTTAAGACGCCTTATGATCGACTTCGTTCGAGTTTGTCGCATACATTTCATGGCACCAATAATTTTCAACAAGAATTAAATGCAACTTCAGTTCCTTCGTTAGATATCGATTCTAAAACATTCCAATGGCTGATTATAACTCTCGAGCGATGGTTTGCCAATCAAGGTTGGCCAAAAGATATCAATCCCGTGAAAATTCCTCAATCGTTCCGAAAGTAAATCCATTTATCTAAAGATTCATTGAATCGATTCGTTGCTTTCATTTCTAGCGGATTGTTTCGACGACAATTCGAAACTGTTGGAGCAAAACAAACAGCCAAAGAAGAACAAAAGACTATCTACGATATGATTACACATTTAAGTGGACATTCCTTACCCGGTATACCACAAAATTCTGTCCCACCGAAAAAGAAGGATGAAGCAACTAAACAGTATCTCTGGCAGCATCGTTTATTATTATTATTTTTAAAGTAAATTCTTCTTGTATATCTCATCAATCATCTTTGTCTTTTGTCATTTAATAGAACACAAGGTTCATGTACAGCTTACATCCGTCCGGAATTTCTTCTCCCACCGGATCTCTACAAAGTCTATGTACAAATGCGCGAAACTGCTCTATCACCAAGCACACCAGCTGATCAGAAAGACAGCGAATTTGCTCAAGAACGCACTGAACCTATTCATTTATCCAATGACGTTTTTGAAACTGTTTCCAAAAAGACATGGATCGATGTTCTGATGCAAATTTTAAAAGTAATTTTTTATTCATACATTCATTTTGATTTAACTTTTCATTTGTCCGATCAAATAGAGTCTGGTACTCGGTCGTATAACTCCGAAATCTTATGAACAATTAGGTATACCCGATCGAAACAAAGCCATGCCAGATATCAATACCGATCCAGCATCAAGTAATATCTATGGCGTTAGTGAACGAATTTTATTGACATGGCTTAACTACTGTTATTCAAACTATCGCGAACAAGTCTGGACACATCGTGATCAATGTAAGTTCGATCGAATTGAATTTTTCTCTTGCTATTAGAAACTAATCTTCTTTTAACAATGAATAAGACATGTTTTTGATTATTTTCTTCTTTTGATTATAGCTGATATGCCATCTGGACGATGGATTGTTAATTTCGATATTGATCTTGTTGATAGTATCGTTCTCGCTACTGTTTTGGGTGCTTATTGCCCATTTTTAGTACGTAGAATTCTTTCATAGCGAGAAAAAAAACAATCTCAATATTTTCTTCTTAGATTGAGTCTCAATTGCATCGCATGTACGTCCATCCCAAGAGCGGTGAACAGTATTTACAAAATGCTCTGATCCTCGTTTCGTGTTTACTCCAACTCGGTTTTGAATACGATCTTCAAGCATTAGATATCACCCGTGCTGATCCAATATGCATGTGTTTACTTGTTTGTCATCTGTACGAACGTTTACCTGATTATCTTTCGCGAGGCACCATACAATTTACGGGTATTTTACACGAACCATCGACATCACAAGTGAAAATAAGTAATCCAAGTCCTCAAACTTTGATTTATACCATGAGTGTCATCGGTCGCGATGCTGATGAATTTCAACTTGTCAAAGGTTCAACCATTTCAATTCCTGGTAAATCCTCCTTATTAGTCAATCTTCAATGTAAAAACAAACGTCTTCGACCAACGGACGCTGTTCTCTTATTAAACAGCAAACGAATCAACGCGTATTCAGGTTCCCCTCTGGTCTTTAACTTACAAGGCTCAATACAAACAATTACAGCCAAAGTAAGATATTCCGTGTACAAAAGATATCTACCTTTTCCTATCGATATTTATGTCTTCTATGCATGTCATTCAATTGATTTGTAGCCTTCTAAATCTACTTTTTCTTCTTCTTCTCCTCCCATAGTGTGTCTATGCAACCAAGGTAAAATGAGCCCGCGTACATTTGAAATTTAACTGTTGTTCTTTGTTGTAACATTTCTAATCGTTGTTGAATTGATTTCTAAAGACTTCTGCTATAATTTGACGAACTTCATCTTTCTTTCGTTAGAAAACACATCGTATCGAAGCGCCGATCTACAAAATAGCGAAATCCACGATCGATGTCACTAATCCATTTGATCAAGGTGGCGTTTTTCAAATAGCAATTGTCAATTCATCAGAAAATGAACAGGAAATGAAAAATCCATTGGCTGTAACAACCGAAGAGTAAGTCAAACTCTTCCGTTTTCTCTTTCACAGACTAAATACGCAACATTATTCTTCATAGAAACAAAAAAGAAACAGTAGAAGAATTGTTTCGTAATTTAAAGAAAAATAAGAAACTCTCCAGTCAAGAAAATGATTGTTTCTTCATCGAACAAACTTCTATCGAACTCAAAGCCCATGAAACGACCCAATATGAAGTTCAGTACATAGCAACGACGACCAAACGTCGCGAAGCATTGCTTGTCTTCATGAATGAAACAATCGGAGAATTTCTTTTCCTTATTGAAGGAATTCCAAAGAAACCTGAGTATGTTTAATTAAATATTTATATATTGATTACACAAACATGTCTATTTTCTTTTTATAGACTATTTCCCGTGTCAGGTGAAAAGGCGATTAAGGTCGATCAAAAGAAAGGAGGTACAAAGAGCGTCTATCTGATATTTGGAGAAGAATTTCATTTATTTATTCTTTCAGTCAAGCCAGGTAAAGTACGATTTCGAGCAATTGTCGGCGTACCGTGTCAATTCGACGTGGATGTACCTGTTCAAAATGCTCAACGACATAATGCTTTAGTTGCCGTTCGATGGCAGGTATGTTTTTGAAAATAAAATCCTTCTAAAAAAATGAATCACTTCTATCTGTCAATTAATTAAAGGGCATGTCAGAACGTGAACGACAAAAGCAAACTCTACTTGGTTTGACTGATCAATTACCTGATTCGTCGAAGAAATCTTTACATCCATTTTCACGCTTACCTGAATATAAAGTTCAATCATCCTCAACAACGACAAATTTCGTTGTTCCAAGTGTTTTACCATTTCCATTAGAAGAATTAACAGTAAAATTACCGTTTCGTTTTCAAGCTGATAAACCTGGTATTTATTCAACGAGAATTATTTTATCATGCGGCGATGACATGCGCGAGTTCGAAATTGAAGTTAATTGTATGACGCAGAGTGAAAATGAAAAACAACCAGCGACGTTATACATGAGAACGAGCGTATTTACTCCTGTACAACAACATATTCCTATTGTAAATAAGGTTTCTCCCGAAATATTCGTGTTATTTACACTTTGTTCGTTTAGGCAAACGCGACTGAAGATGATTGGAATATGGTTGTCACTTTATCAGGTAACAAAGCATTTTCCGGACCCAAAGCATTTCGTGTCGAAGCTAAATCGGTGTATCAATATCCGTTGACATTTAATCCTCAAATTGAAGATGATAAATTCCAAGGACAAATGATCATCGATAATACCGATCTAGGTTTTCAACAAACATATAAACTACGCGGCAAAGCAGATCGTGGACCACCTGTACGTTGATTCTCTCGATATCATCTTCATCTCATTGTCTTGTCTTTTGTTTACAGGTTGGTCATTTACAAATCGAAAGTAAAGTTGGTAGAGTGTAAGTTGACAATGTTTACTTCTCACCAGATCTTCATGGATATTTTGTTTTAGAACAACACATTCAATTGAGATAGCCAATAAACGAGCGAAACGAACAGCATACTTTGTAACATGCAATCTTCCGTTCGTGCAAGGACCAGCCTATGTTTGTATTGCACAAAAGAAAACTGCGCGATATGAGTTTCAAATATGTTCACCAAAACGAGGCAATTACAAAGGTGTGGTTGTGTTTCAACCTGGACCGTGGCCAATTAAGTATGTTTGAGATAACTGCTAAAGACAATACTGATTTTTAAATAGGGATGTTGATTCCGATGGCGATGAAATTCCAGCATTAGAACCTGATGAACCTACAGATTTTCAATATTCACTCTGGTTTACTATTGATATTAACGTTGAACCACCTGATCCACAATCAACTGTGGAATTAACCGCACCTTGCTTAGTATGTTCGATTTAGCGTTGGTTCAGAATATAAACAACTTGTTGTTTCACTGTCTGTAGAGTTCAAACTCATTGATTGTTCCATTACGGAATCCGCTTGATCATCGAATACGTTTAGAAGTAGAATTTCAATCATTACCTGATGTTTCCGTGAGCAACTGATTTCGATAATAAGACATTAATTCCATTCTTTCCTCAGGGTAATGACACAATCGAGATTGATGCGAATGGTGAAGCTCGTTATGAACTTATCTACAAACCTAAAACTGTCGGTTGTTGGAATGGAGGGTAAGCAATGTTATACTACAAGAACCTCTCCTAGAAAGTGCATCATTCATTAATAAACGTCATGTGTTCAGACAAGCGGAATGGCAATTGACCTTCTAGTCGGATGCGTTTGTGCGCTCCTTTTTAAAAAGAAAAATCTAATAATGAGTAATCGAGCATATAGGATACCATAGTTATTATTATTTATATCATTCGTAACGAAGAGAAATGTTTGAATAATCTTGATCCATAAAGATCTTTGAAATTGTTTTAGTCTGGTGTTTTTCAATGAAGAGATCGGTGAATTTTGGTATAACTTAAATTTAACAAGTACCAATCCACGAAAAGTTGATCTACAACCAATGAATGCGCCACTCGGAGGGTAAATATCTTTCGATAGTAGACCATTCACCTGTACAGTCTTATTTTCAGTTATACAACTCAAGAAATAACTCTCGAAAATCCATTAGACGAACAAATTACTTTTCAAACGATGTCTTCGAATAATAACAACTTTTCACTAAATACTGATCAAGATACGATAACAATACCAGCGCAAAGTCAAACTAAAGTGAATGTGATCTTTAATCCTTCATCCATTGGCAGTGGTACTGAGCAACAACCACATCAATCGATAATTTCATTCAGCAACGATAAGGTTAGTATATCGAAACGAGAAACTCGATTCGATTTCCGTGCACATGTATTAGATTCAAACCAATCGAGTCTTTTTTGCGAGTATCGATCAAGTAAAACAAAGCTTTATCTTGCTTATGCTATCTGCTACTCCTAATTTGGAAAATCATATCATTCTTCCGAAAGAAATCTTCTCTTTTGATTATAATCGCGAAAAACTGCTTTGTTTGACTGATGTCTACGGTTTTCTATTTTAGGTGGGCACATTGACCTATAGCGTTAAAGGTGTGGGTACAAAACCTCAAAAACTCCAGGCGCCAGTGATTATAAAAACCGAAATCGGAGTCAGTGCGACTACAAATATCAGTTTTCAAAATCCATCGAACCACACCATCCGATGTGATCTGTCTCTTTCAACAGGTAAAAGAACAATTTCATTTAACTTGACATTGACTAATTTTTTCTTCTCTATAGGCACAAGTAATTCGTTCCGTGTCGTACTTGATAAGCTAGAAAATATCACATTGGGACCACGTGAACGATTTCCAATTCCGATTGCTTTCTGTCCGGAAATGTTGGCGCGACACGAAGCACAATTACGTATCATTGGACGATTATCACCAGGCAAAACATGGTCGCCAGACAAGTAAAACTTCTTTCCTTTCCTTTCCTTTCGTGTTCTAAATTTCATCTTTCTATTGATTAAAGCGCGGATGCATCGGAACTTTCGTGGACTTATCCATTACAAGGTATTGCATTTAACTGGATCGCACAACGACGAGAAACTGATAATGAATTGAAAACAATTGAATGTGTATGTGGCGAACGAATTGAAGAACAACTTGAATTTGAATTAAATCAAAACTTATTCCGTTTCGACGAACGATATCTGATTAACAGTAAGGATTTCCGTTAGTTTTGTTTCGTGTAAGAACGAAAGTTTATTTTTAGTGAAAAAAAATGCGACAGCGATTGAAGATTATTCCATTGTAAATGAAAATAGTCCAAATCAAACATTTATCCAAAACTCCGTTGGTATTCAACTGCTGAAACGTGATAACGAAAAAACCAATATTGCTCGATTCAATGTTGTTTATTCTCCGACGAAATTAATCACGTATGAAGATCTTTCGTTTGTATTGTGATATTTCACATGTTTCGTTTTTTTCAAGAATGGACTGCGTACTTGTGTTGACACTTGGAAGTGGTGGCCAATTGAAATATCCCATTCGTTTTGTTACACGCGATGCTCCGCCTGATGATGAAATAGTAGTAGAAACTGTTGGCTTGAACCGAACATCTACGATTGGTTTCCGTCTATACAGTCCAACAGAGTATGTTTATCTTCACTTTTTTCATCGATTGTCAATCGTATTGCTTTTTAAAACTAGTTCACCGATTCCGTTTGAAGCGTATTTAACATCGAACAGTGATCGATCATTTAGTATCACACCTGAGCGTGGAGATTTATTACCAGCCAGTGCGAATGGAACTTTATTGAAATTATCATTCTGTCCAACTGTTTACGGACGAACATTCACCGGAATGTTAATAATTGATGTATGTAGAACAATTATTTATTTCAGAATTCAAATGAAAACTGGCTAGTTTTCCTTTCTTGTTCATTACAAAGAACATCAATCACGTTTGAGACATGACTTATCACCTACTATCTAGCATATGTCAGAAAATTTCAATGAAAACGAGTTTGGAAAGGAAAATATCAATTTTGATAAAACAGCATTCTCTGAGAACATCTTGTATCAAATATCATTCTCTATCATTAATGGAATTTAAAATACTTCATCAGATGACGAGATTTTCTCTCTCTCTCTTTTCTACTCAACAAAAAGTTTATTAATGAATTGAGCGTTCTCCCACGACATCAGATGTTGAAAACATCTCGAGTTGACTGCTTCATAGACGCATAGACGACCGGCAATGTCGACGTTAACAAATATTCTACAAGACTTTTTCTTCATTCTCAAATTTGATTGGGGAAGTTTGCATTCAATCGATTAATCAATCTGTTTCCTTTTAGGCCAAAGATAATCAATGGAAGTATGTCGTTCGGGGTTTATTACCACAGTACGAAGCACCGAAAACACATTCAAGTTTGCCATCTGTTAACAGTGATGACTATGCTAGTCGACGTGGATACAAGAAACGAAATTTTATCCTCGAAAATCTTCAACTTCATCAAACAGCGATCTCATCACCGATTAAAGGCGCATCTGTATTAACAAAGCCAAACGAAACCACCAGTGTTTGATAAACTTGACCTTCTTTTTCCACATCGATTTTTTACGTCTGTCTTCCTTTCCAGTGATTGTTTCTTCACATAAAGAGAAACGTCGATCTGCCGCTTAGGTTAATTGGAAAGTTCGACGGTTTTATTTGTTTTGTTTTTTTTTCGTTGGACATTTTTGTGATCACATAAACAGAATTCTTTTCAATCTTATTTTCAGATGACATCAGCATTGAAAACAAGTGAAGATCCGGTCACTGAACGAAAGAAACTTTACATAACCGAACGGCAAATTCCCGCTTTGTTCGAGGTAGAAATCTTTTTGGGAATATATCAATATGTTTTCCAAAAACTTTTTAGGCATTGATCGCTGGATTGATGAATAACGAACCGGATGATCATTTGGATTTCATCATCGAAAGTCTAAATGAAGTTTGTTTGATGAATTATGCTTCGATAAAGTTTTGTTAATCTGTTTATTTAGATGAAAAAGGAGAAAATACCATTACGATGGGACACTTTCATTGAAATGCATGATAAGAAGAAGAAGAATTAGATTTGTGTATTTTGATTAGTTTTCATATACAAATGAAAATCGTTTTGAGAATCGAAATAGACGCGTGTTTTGTATTTCTTTTTTAGACAATCATTTTAAAATCTTAAGTTCAGTTAATATTGTGTAATTCGGTGAATCTCGTTCGAACAATCATGGCGTCCAAACCTCATGGAATATACAATAACCAAAACGCGGTGAATTATATAAATAAAAAAGGAATCGATGAACTATTCGAGGTAGAGTCATTGCCAGAAGTCTTCTTCTTAATTTTTATCTTCATTTTCCAGGCGATTATGACGGCGTTGATGGTTCATAAACCAGATGATCACATAGCTTTTATTCGTGAATGTTTAGATAAGGTTAATTTACCATGAATGTCGTTTTCGTATAAAATTCGGTGTTGTTTTTGCATTATTTAGGTGCAAAACAATCCACATCGTGTTCGTTGGGATTTGTTCGTGACGAATAACAAAGGTGCCTTACCATCCCGACCACCAACTCTTCGTAATCGACAAAAAATCTTACCGCCAATGCGTTCAACAAACTCAACACCGCGAACAAGTCAATCATTAGACCGAAAAGCTCCAGTAAAAGCGCCAACATTGCCACCGATTGACCACAACAAGCGTCTTTCTCAAAATTTACCTCTATTACTTCTTCTAAGTAAATTTAGTGCTCTGAAAAATGAAAACAAAACACTTATTTTCCGTCCAGGTTCATCGAATTCAACGAAATTATGTGCACGATTATTAGAACGATACAATCAAGTATCATTTCTATCCATCGAAGATATTGCTAATATCGACTACGATAGTCCTTTAGGTAAAACGACAATTTCAAATATGCAAATAATGGAATCATCTTTAATGTTTAGACCTTAGCAAGCAAGAACATCGATATCAATGTATACAAAACGCCATCGAACAGTACCGTTCGACTTCTCATGGTTTTATCATAGCAGGTCATCTAGACGAGAAACATTTCTATCGAAAATGGCTCGAAAAAGTATTGTTCGACTCTATTCGCTTTAATTTTCATGAATTATTTTGTAGCTTGGACGTATTGACGCCATGATTATTTTATCCAGCGATCGACTCAATGTAGCCAATCGAAATCTGAATATAACTCAAGTAATTTCATTCAGTCATATATATACTGAACATGATTGAATTGTTTCAGATCAACCCAAACAATGATTTCGACGTTATTCTTGCCGAAGCCGCTCGTGTCACAGATGAGATTTTCCCATTGAATGTAAGGAATGTGTCCGAAATCACCCTCAAACGAAGAGTATTTTTGTTTGTAGATATCTAAGACAAAATCATCTGAATTGACTCAACCAACCAGCAATGGTCAGCGTGTGCCGATCATATTTTGTATTGACAATTATCAGTTACCGGTGAAAGAAGCGAAACATCCGAGAATTAGTGCACGATTATCCTTAGATGCCGAATTCGAAAACATTGAAGATGAAAATGAGGAGGAAATCAACAATTCATTTGTACATGCATTAGCAGAACAAATAGCGGAAGATTTTTCGTATAAATCGATTCATTATACTGATTTCAAGCAATCATTTCTCCGTTTCGATCAATTAAAAACAACTATGATCGATTCGATGAGTACATGTACTGGTTATGTTATTGATGGTTTTCCAACATCATCGGATGAACTTCGAAAATTTCAAACTGAAGTAGGAATTGTTCGGTCGTTTTTTGCAAAATGAAATACGTTTTGTTTCTAACAAAGATTGGACCTTGTTCTGCGTTGATTTACATTGGTGAAGAGCAACCGGAGACGAATAATGAGGAATTTAATGCAATTATTGACAAGTTCAAAGCAGAAAACAAAGCTATCTATGTAAATTTTCCATTTTTTCATTCGGACAATTTCTTTTTCGTTTGTTTAAAGGTCGATGGTCGAGTCGAAGTCGATGAAATTTATGAAGATCTAAAAAAAGATATTCTCAAACGTATCTAACGAACTACACTCATCTATATTTCATGTTTTACTAAAATAGTCCATATATATTTTTCTAGTCGTTGTTTTTTTTCTCTCTCTCTCTTTACATCTAGTCTTCGCGTGATGTAACATGTGCAATATAGCGGGTCAGACTTCTTTTCCTTCTCTCTTGCTTTCATTCTGCTGTGCTCTTCCTCCATTCCCATTATGGTCTTATATATATTTTTTGGTGTGTATGTGAAAAAAAAGTCTATACGTCAACCAATGAAGCGAGAGCCGTGTTGGTGATCAAAAGCATTTTTCTCCTTTTCTGTCTGTCGTTTTTTTTTATATCCTCGTTCTCTACAAACTATTTTTGTGAAGAGAATTATAGTGTGGCATGTTCAGTTGTTCGTCGTACTATGTTGTCTATCGAAGAAAGAAAAATGTGGAGTAATACAAGAAGAAACACAGTTTCGATCTCATTGTTGTCTTATTTCTAGATTTTCTTTTTATTTTGTTAATTAAGTCAAATAAGTTCGTTTGAAAATGACATGTACACATGGAAATGCTAATACTGAATTAGCAAAAGAATACATTTCCAAGCGAAAAATTCCACAATTATTTGAAGTAACTCTTTCCTCTAAGCTAATCGATCAATTCAATCTGATCCGATTCCTATCTCTCTAGGCGTTAATCACTGGCCTTATGGTTCATAAACCAGAAGATCATATCGAGTTTATCATAAATTCATTAAAACGAGTAAGTTGTTTTCTGATCGAGCCCTTTTCATCATTGCTATATAGTACAAAGATGGAAATCAACAATTGAAATGGGATGAATTCATCGAACGTAAAGGTGGAATGCACAATATATTAGCACCGATTACTAAATCGACGGATTTGAATACAGCACTTGAAATCGACAACCGTCTATCGAAACTTGATGCTATACCTGCCGGTAAACATGAAGAAAAACCGAAAATTCAAGAACGACCGCAATCCCCAACTCCTGATCAGCAACTCAAACACGAACAAGAAAGAGCACAAGCACCGAAGTCCGATCAACAACACACAAGTAATGACGATAAGACTAAATATCAACCACAACAGATGGCAAATGCTCAAGTAACTGAACACAAACGTTTATTGCAAGGCAAACCAATAATTTTCGTTGGTGGTGGACCAGGTAACAATTCAACTACAACAAAATCGTTTTCGAATAGCTCGTTTAGGTAGTGGTAAAGGTACACAATGTGAGAAAATGATTGAAAAATATGGTTTTACACATCTATCAACTGGTGATTTGATTCGCGCTGTTGTCAAAGATTCAACGTCAGAAAAGGGTCGTTATTTCAATGAAATCATGTCTCAAGGAAAACTCATTTCTACTGTAAATATACAATCTAAATAATTCTCCGTTAATAAGTCGTTTCTATGCTGCTAGGAAGACATTCTCGGTTTACTTAAAGACGTAATTTATGAAAGAGCTAATCAAGCATCGGGATTTCTAATCGATGGATTTCCACGTCGAGTGGATCAAGGTAAATAATAGAAATTAACTTTTTATACAATATTTCTCCGTATTGATCAACTTCTAAAATTGCACTTCCTCCTTTTTCTTTTCCAGTATTTTCAATACTTTCCTCGTAAGTTATCGATTAGCACTTCTTCGATTTGAACTGCTCTCTTTCTCTCTTTGATTAATCATTCGATTGTGTCTCTTAAAAACTCACCGTATGTTTCATATTGTATTTAGGCATTCATTTTGAAAAAGATGTGGCTGTATGTGACCTATTCATCTACTTCGATGTACCTGACAATGTGATGATCGAACGATTACTGAAACGTGGAGAAATTAGTGGACGAGTTGATGATAACCGAGAAACGATCGCAAAACGTCTGCATACATTCAATGAAGAAACTACGCCCATCTTAGATTATTACAGCAAACAGGGTAAACTCGTCAAAATTGATGCGAATAGAAAGCCAGATGAAGTGTTTACGGACGTATCAAAAGTATCAGATCGATTATTGTCACATTATCAAGTAGGTAAACAAGAAGAGAATCCTCCTCAAATATTTTCTCGTTTATTCCATTTTCGGTGATCAATCTAAAAACTTCTTTTTCTCTCATTTTAGACAAACGACCATTCTGATTCATCCAGTAAAGGTACGTCCATATGTATTCTCAACACATTGCTGATACCCAAATCAGTTCGTTAGAATGGAAATTTGGTTTTCGATAAGCCTATGTCTCTTTCATAGATAGTAAAGAAGATACTAACTCTTCTGTTAATCAATAGATATATTTTTGTTGGGTATTTATCCCGAAAAGTCCTCTGAGTCGATCTGACATTAACTCGTATTGCTGTTGTTTTTTGTCTTGTACGCAAGTCGAGCAACAAAAGCAATAAGGCAATGCCTAAAAGGTTATTTCTCGATGGGTAAGCAGAGAACGGGTTTGTACATTTTCCAGTTACGATAGTTTCTTCTTCGTTTACCACAATATATTATTCAGGAAGCTCCGTTGCCTAACATGCTTTTTTCTTCGCGTTCTCACTACCTACGCCTATCGTCTTCTTTTGCTTTCTTCCATTCTCGTCTGTTTTTTTTTCGCTGGTACCAATACACTTTATACGGATCTTTCCTCCTTTTCTTCGGCATCTCATCTTGTGTTAGGAGTTATTTTCGAGAGTCTATAGTCAGCAAGAAACAATAAAAATGACACAAGGTGAGCAGACGATTTGATATTTCTTTCGTCCGCTCCAATCGATGTATTTTGTATTGATTGTTTTTCTCTCATAGTTATCGAACGCAAACCGGGCTTAGACAATTTGAAAAATTCGAAGATTATCTTCGTTGTTGGTGGACCGGGATCAGGAAAAGGTACCCAATGTGAACGCATTGTTCAAAAATATGGATTTACACATTTGAGCACGGGGTATGTCAATGATTGAGAATGACAAAAATCTGATTGATTGATCGTCTCTTCAGAGATCTTCTTCGTGAAGCTGTTCAATCGAAATCGGAACGTGGTGAACAACTCAATGCCTTGATGAAAGAAGGCAAATTAGTTCCAATGGTAGGTGATCCTCAATGTCAAAGTGTTTAATAAACAATTATTTGTAGGAAGTCGTTCTCGATTTGCTCAAGGAAAACATGATTAAAAATGCTGACAAATCAAAAGGTTTTCTCATCGACGGCTATCCGCGTGAAGTTCCTCAAGCTCAAAAATTCGAAGAAATGGTAAGTTTTTTTTTCTTGAGATCTCCTTTTCAAAACCCGTCTCTCTCGATTACTTTCAGATTGCTCCATGCAATCTCGTTCTCTACGTCAAAGCAAGCGATGACACAATGACAAAACGCTTATTACACCGTGGTCAAACATCTGGTCGAGTCGATGATAACGAAGCAACGATTAAGAATCGTTTACAAACCTTTCATAACCAAACTTTACCGGTCTTAGATCTTTATCAAAAGCAAGGCAAAGTAGCTGAGGTATTTACTCACATTCTCTTTTCGTTAATCCATTTTTCCCTTCGATCTTTACTTCATAGGTCAACTCAGAATTGGCACCGGATGATGTTTTTGGCGAAGTACGCAATGTACTTGATAAACTTGCATAATAAATTAACAAATGAATACATCAACGAACTGAATAATTAGATGAGCTTTAATTTTAACGAACAAAATCTATCAGTGTGAACTATTTTAGTTACTTTGTTAATAGATATTTTTCTTTTGAATTTTCTATTTTTTATGCCTTTATTTTTTTAGTGTCGATTTCCTTCCCTTCACCAACACTCCATTATTTTCAATAAGGTCAACAAATCCTTTACCCTCATTTTTCTGTATAAATAAATAGCAATCAAATAATTATTCGAAGGGTGAAAACGAAAAACGATTTTTGTTCGGCAAAATGCGAGAATGTAAATATTATTATTTATTTTTATGCATTCGAAAGCAACTTTCCTTGAGACTATTACGGTTAACGTGCCTTTACGTTGAAAACGTCGATCAATCACGAGACGATATGAATAGAGGGTCATTTTGCGTTCGATACAATTATTCTCATTATATATTAGAAAAATTTTATCATTTCTTTAGAGATATAAAAACATATTATGAAAACGACTTATCTTGCGCACTTTCGACATCCAGCTGTCCGATTGCTCTAAGTAAATAAGAAAAATAAATAATAATAATTATTATTGATCGTACATGCACGAAAAAGTATGTCGCCCACAGACACATTGATCGTGAAGGTTTTTTTAATTTCGTTATTGAGTACACGAATGGCTGTAGAACGGATATAAATACGGGAGAAGTTACCTGCACAAGCTTATTTCATATTGTCTAGTGACAGCCAATCCTATCGTATATTGTTTGTATACCAGCGTTTTTTTTCAAAAAAAAAGCATGTTGAGTGTACCAAACGAGATTCCAACGTTCGAAGCTGATTCGGATAAACTAGAAAATATATCAAGTTTTTTGTACCTGCACGAACACGTTCTGAAAGAATATGGTGGATTGAAAATTCAGCTGAACGAAAACTGTCAACTAGCTTTGAAAAAGCGTCTTTTACACCCATTATCACTACAAGTACAAAGAGTGCAGCAAAATGTCAAGGACTACGGAGTATATTCAATCCAAAGTGAAGTGGGATACCAACAACCCAACTCAGATGGTCTTCACATTGAAAACGAAACTAACTTCTGGTCTTATCTCTCAAATGGCAATGAAAAAAGAACTTTACAATCAAATATCTCCATCATTCGAAATAAAAGCTTATTTTATAAAAAATGGAATAAGAAATACTTCTCCATCCACCGAGTGTTGCAGCAATGTTTATTAAAATTAGCCGGAAAGAGATTTATCGACAACATGCATTCGAACTTACTTTATACAGATGGAAACTGCGCGATATTTCCATTAGAAACTCATCCAAATAAACTTTCAACGATGATTTATCACCATCAAGGCGGACCGAGATATTGGTACATAATTCCTTCATCGCAAGAACATCTATTACAAAGATACTTTCTATCCAACAAATGTGTCTATCATCAACAGCACTTAATCGATCCAAATGTATTGGATCGATTTAACATTCGTTATCATCGAATCGTTCAACAGTCGAATGAAATTATTGTCTTAGCATCGGGCAGTTATCACGAAAGTTTCTCGTTAGGAGGTTTATTAAATGAATCGATTGATTTTGCGTTACCACACTGGATTAATGATGATCATATTTTGAATCAATATGATTCATGTCAATGTCCAGCTGAACAAACAAAATTTGATCAAAGAATTCCTTCGTATTTGTTTGATAAAAATGACGTGAAAAGATGTATTGAGAGATATTTGCAAGAATTTTCGCAAAAAGGTTTGTGCTTTGATTATTACAATGATAGTGGAATTGATTTTATTGATTTAGGTGAAAAAAATTCCTCAATGGAAAAGAAGCGATCATCTGAATGTCCAGAAGAAAGCCCGACTTTATTTTTCAATCAGAATTTTCAAGTTCAAAACATCGAGGAGGAGAAAGATTTCGATAGGTTTGTTTTGTTTGAGATTTTCCTTAAGAAATCGATTTCTTTTCATTTAGAATAAATACCTTCTCAAATATCCCAATTAATAACTATGAATATCTATCAGACTATGAAAATCTATTAACAAATGAATGTGTACAACCATCATCATTGTTAAGTAGAACAATAAGGAATTCGTATGAGGAATTGGATTCAATCGACGACCTTTTCAATGTTATTTTGAATGATTCATCAACGGATACTGAGCAGCAGAATTTACTTGTAAGAAAAGAAAAGAAGATTTATAACCATTAGCAAAACACTTTTATCTTTAGACGAACACTGATGAAAAACACGATCGAAAAATCAGCAAAGCAGACTTGGGCTTCCTAAAACATTCAAATTGCTATCGAACATTACTTTTATGTAATATATCTTTGGATATCACTAAAAATCATCTGTATAAACACTTTCCTGCAGCAGTCAAAATCACCATCAAACCATGTCAAACATCTTCATCAACAAAGTAAGCAAAATACGAAGAAATCTTTTGCATTCGAATTTATTTCCATTTAGTTATGCGATTATTCGATACAAAAAAGCCAAAGATGCAAAGAGAGATTTTCTTTCCCCACCTAACTTAGCATCGTTTGGTTCGAAATGTTCACTGACATACGAAAACGAATTTGCGTTCGGCGTAAGTGTAGATCAAACATACAATGACCGGAAAATCGTTGTTCAAAACATTCCACAATATGTCACAGAGACCGATTTCCAGAATTTGTTTCCCAACTGTGTCGTATCTCGTTATTGTCCTGCAAAAACAATCATTCGACCAGATAATTCCATAAAGAAACACTTCACGGGGTAAGAGTTTGTAAAGAAAAATGAGAGAGAATTGTTTTTATGAAGACTATTTCTATATAGATATGCTTTTCTTCTCTGTGATACAATTGAAGACAGAATAAACATTATGAAAAATCCTGAGCAATACAAACTCGATGGACAACCATTGAAGATTTCTTTGTATAGAGAAAAAGGTGTAATTTCCAGTGAGGGATGTTCATAATAAAACTATTTTTTTTGTACTGACATATTTTTCTCGACAAAATCGAACGAATATTTTCTTTCGATAAACGGCGACCTCTGTTGACTAGCCTCAAGTGTGGTTATAAAATATATCCGAATGCATAGCATAGCACTTTATATCATATACTAGATTAAGTTTTTTAATTTGTTGGAAAAAGTGAAAGAACAGCTGATCTATTTTTTCTTCATTTGAGACAAAGAAACATTTTATTCATTGAGAAAGATAAGAATATGGACCGCATCGTATGTTATGTTTTTCTTAGTGGTTTTTCAGTACTTATTCGCTTGTTTCTTTCAAGGCATTCGAAAAAGATCTTATTGCAATTTTACTTGTCGTGGAGAGTGCACATGATAAAAATAAACTTTTGTATAAATATGAACAAGCGAATACGAATATACGGGAACGTATGTACTTTCATCTTCGTTAATTGATTTCCAAAATTCACGATCGATCATTTTTGTGTAGCCGAACCAGTTAATTTCCATACAAGCTATTCAATTGTCATTGCTAAAGATTTCGATCCGCCGAGGTAGGTGGTTTATCCATGAAACAATATTGAATGGGAGTCTATGGGAATATTTAGCGTGAAAGATGATGATGCACCTCGAACAACATTTCAAAAGTAAAGACTTGCTTCGAATTGATGATTTTATTCCATGACGATTTTTCATTCTTTTAGTTTCGATGAAACAACTATTGCAATTTTAACAAGTCCGAATAGTTATGGAAGTCATGTGGAAGTTCAAGTCGATGATGTCATTTTTGTTGGCCATACCCTTGGCTTAGAACAAAGTACAGATCTGAAATCATTCGCTATTTTCTTCGTTCTACGAGTATTGATACTCTTAAAGATTTTTGACAGAGATTTCCGATTGAAATTTATTAGGCTATTGCAAAAGCATCAGTTATCATATCCTATCAAGAAATGAGTCAACGTATTGGAACAGCTATTCGTTGTGAAGAGCAGCGTGTGCACTATTTGAAAAACGAATATGATAAATTATTAACGTTTATTCAACCACATGAGATCGCAGCATCCGATTCTTGTAAAGTATTAAAAGAAGTTTGTCTTGAATATCTCATGTCATGTTTGTTTAGCAAATCGACGGCAAAACGAAGACGATAAAGCGAGAGAAATCAGAGAACAAGCTTATTCAACGATGGCTGAAGAAAGTCAACTAGCAGCAACATTAAAACAAATCTTTACTGAGTACGTCAAAGCTGAATAGATTATAAAGAATATATTTCTTTTTTTCGTTAGTTTACAAGTTTCCGGTGAAATTAACATAACAATTAATAATTGGTTGAATGTTTCTTGTTGTCTACCACATCGATCTATTGCTTTAAACTGTTCATTAGAACCAGATTTCGCGTTTAATGTCCTTTCAAATGCCGAGCAAATTCTGAAGTAAGTCAACACAACTGATTACGTTTTGAATTATTTCTTTTTCTTTCATTTCATCCACCAGACCATACTATGGCATATTACTTGTTATTGATCCATCAGCTTTACTTGCTTCGCTACCAATAGATAGTTCATCGACACTGAGTACACTCGTTCGACATTTACGTTCATCATATTCAATGTCTCGATTATCACTCGAAACGGGTCTTCCGCTCCCTCAAGTAAATCAAATACAAATTTTACTTATTCATTAAAAAGAATGATATTATAGATCTATCGTCTTGCATCTCATTTGCTATATTGGGGCCGAGCTAAACTTATCTATCCGATCTATGATGATAATGTTTATATAATCTCACCCGATGCAGATATATCAAAGTATATTGAAGCTTTGAATGTTCTTTTTGTTCTTGAACTTTTGTTTCATTAGGCACGGTTCTTTATCTAAACTTTACAAAGAAACATTTCGAAATACGACGAATTACCCAACATTACAGGAAGCATTAGCCGAATATTCCGATGCCGTACCCTTCTATGATCATACAAATCGTAGTGATAATGATTCTGAATTGGTACGAGCACGTCTTTTTCTCTGACTGAAATCACCACCAAGTTTTCTGTTCTTCAGCAAGAACGCCTTCAATGTGTTGAATGGTTACTTCGTCATCGTCTACTTGTCCAGGTTCACTATTACTACTACCTTGTTTTACCGAATGATAATCGAAGCGATTTCAAAGACGAATATAAACAAACACGTTTGCCGCGACCACGTGTACCCCTTGTGAGACTTTTGTCTGAAGTGCCAACTTTGCGTAAGTGAAGAACGAATTCGTTTTGTCTTGTTTTCTAGCGACGTAATCAGTATTCGTCGAACCTTTTTGAATCGTCATCTAAAAACGAACGTTTTCATTTAACGAGTGAAAATATTGATATTCGGGGAAATCTATTGAGTGTCAATAGTTATGATTACAATATGGGTAATAGGTTTTGTCTTGAATATTTTATGTTTCGTGCTCTATTGTGTGTTATGCTGCTCTTTCGATTTCTCTAATTCAGTCAATACTTTCAAATTGAATGAAACTATGCCTTTTCTTTTGATTTCAATGTTCAAATCCGGGTTACGTTGTTTCATCTCTCGTCGAAAACACCTTTGTTCGACTATGCGATATGTTTTTCTTCTTAGCTTCATCGCCGTCGACCAATCAATTCTCGTACTCATCCACTCATCATTCCAGATCAACAGATACATTGAAAACAATGACGGGCACCAGCCAAGATGACGTGTTTGCTTCAAGTTCAGTCAATAGTAATACCACGACAGATACCGGTCGTTATGCTTCACATTATCTTACAAAAGTATCACAAGCACTACCAAATGAACAACTTGAATATCAAAAGAGTCTTGCGATTGCCATCAAAGATGCAAAAGAACAACATGTGACTGATTTTCTCCGGTAAATGGTCTAGTTTTTCTGTATAATTTCACATTTTCCATTCTTCGCTATTGTAGATTGATTAAATATTTTAACGGAACTTATCATCTCGAAGAAATCACAATTATGGAAAATATGACGCGTTTACAAGTGCTGACGATCATTGAGAAATTTCAGTCGATTGTTGCTCGAGCACTTCATCCAGACCCTAATCCAATTTTGCAGATATAATTCTACAAAACATCGAACATTTTATGTATTTCATCCGGTTTTTCTCTCTAATTCAAAAGTTTTTCATGTATCTGTATTTATATGAACAGTGATTTTGTTGTGTTTTTATCAAGTATTTTCTTCGTTTCAGATCATTTCGTAAAGAACAATGAATTTCACAATCAAATTAAATAGTTATTTCTGTTGCAAATAAACTACATATTCTGTGAACAGAAAAGTTCATAACGAAAGTTTGATTTCACTTGTGCTTCATGTGATACTTATAATCAGGTAAGTTTTTCTGAAGAAGACAAGAATTCGAAATATGGAATTGTATTTTGATCGATGAGAGGAGATTGTTCATTTTTAGATAGCTAGTATTCATGAATAACCCAAAACTTACACCTCGAGAAAAAGATGATGTGACCATTGAAGAGGAAGGTGGTGTGTTCGAACGTAAAATTGAACATGTTCCTTCGTCAGTACAAGGCAAACGCCGACGAGATGATTACCATTCTGTTGACTCACAGAATAAGTATAGACAACATTCGGATGGTAGTCGTTTTGCTACGACAACTACAGAACAAGATGCGTTACCTGTTCCATTTTGGAAACATATCAATCGTGGACAAATTGCATTTGAAACTCGTGACGTCGGTTGTTTTTCGTTACTCAATCGAGCAGATGATAAAGAATGTTTCGATGACAAACGATATCTTCGTGGTAAATCTCTCTTTTTTCATTTTTCATTCATGCTTTTGTTCGTTTCAGTGTACAAATATCCACTTCAGACATTGAACGTCAATTTCGATTTGAAAATTGGCGAAGCTGATTTTGTTACTGAAGGTCAAAGTAAAAATATCAATGCCATGCTTTGGTGGTTGTTGCAACGTAAACAAGATATTTACAAAAACAATCGGTTGAGATCTCGAGTTACAGACGATATGTGTCAATCATGTAGTATTTTTCCTTTCTAGATTTACTTTCGATTTTTTGTCATGGCGCGGTGTTCTTCGTCTAATCATGTTCTCAATATTTGAAAAACAGTCCGACTGGTTATTAGCAGTTGTGAAGTTTAAAAATGCATATTTTCTGTGTGAGTATGTCACGGAAAAGCAATTGAAAGAGGAAGAAAATATGACACCGGAACATCGATCGTTCTGCTATTACGGGCATAAATTTGAAGAGTATGTCACTAAGAGTAAGTTTCATTTCGAAGTTTTACTGAGAAATGTTTGAATTAAATTCTTAGATAATCTTTCTACGGAAACACTCAATCCTTCGAAACAATTCTCGGGAGTGTTTCAATCAACTATAGGTTCCTATCGGTTGTTATACGGTGCTGAAATGGATTGTGTGATCGAACAATCATCATCTGTAACTGAACACATCGAACTTAAAGTTTGTGCTGGAAAAACACTTGATGATTTACCATTTCGTTAGTGAGTATCACATCGAATATTGTCGTACTGATTTCTCTACTCTTCGTAGTAATCGTAAATTCGCTAAATGGTGGATTCAATGTTTTCTTGTTGGTAAGAACTATTTTTGTTTGTTTTTTTGATCTGTTATGAATACTTTTGTAAATTGCTTTCCAGGTATCAAAATGATGATCATTGGTTTACGTGATAATAATGGTATTGTGAATACTGTTTGTCCATTGGATATCTCTTCGATCGAACGAGCAGCAGTAATCTATTTTCAATGAAGTTTTATGCATTTAATCTTTATATGCATCTAGGAAACGTGGAATCGTTCATCGTTTTTTAATTTCTTTCTGATTTTTGCGGATTTTCTCCGGAAACACGTCATCACCGATTATACACACGATTATAAGTACGTATTCAAGTTTGTTTGAATCAAAAGAATAAACTTCTGTTTATTGAATACTTTTCAGAGACGTTGTCTTATTTCGTTTTCTCCCATCGTTACAAAAAATAACTGTCGAACAATCTTCGGATTCAAAATATCATTTTATTCCTGATTGGTTTTCCAAAGAATTTCTCTAGTCGATCTCAATTTGTATAGATTTATTCAATAAACTCAATTATACGTAAAGAAATGTTTGTCACTTAACCATTCTTTTTCTTGCCATATTGAAAATGACTGCCATCTTTTCGAATGTTACCATTCTTGTCCGAAGGATGATAATGAGACTTTTGACCGCGTTCATTGTGATGAATTGGAGGTCGACCACCACCTTGTCGTCGTGCCGCTTCTTCCGCTTCTTTTCGAGTATTTTTATGTATGAAATGCTGACGTGGTTTACCACTTCCACCAGCACCTCGACCCGGGATACGGATAGGACCTTGTTCACTGTCTACATAGAACGAATGGATTAGAAAACGACTGTAATTTCGCATGAAACATACTTGAAACAAGGCAAAGTAATGCAAGACCAATGGCGAGAAAAATGGCAAATAGTTTCATTTTGTTGTACAATAATGGCCATAGAACTGAATATATTGCACAGTTTTATACCAGTGCTACATGTGGACTTAGATAGTTGTACCTTGTCTTATGACAAAGTTATTCTTGGAAATGTCCAATAAGATCAGATGACAAAAAGATATTTCCAGAATATTCTCTCTGAAGGGAAGAATTCTTTTCCGTCCCATCTCATCCTACACAAAATTTGATGATTCATGCCAATGACAATAGCACAGAGCTTCGTCTTATTCACACGCGACAGGTCAAAGAAATAAGTGATATGCACTTTTCCAAGATACTGTACAAATAAAACTTAAGTAAAATTCAGACGTGCCTGAACGGTTAATTCATGTCGCTTTTACAAACGAAAAACAATGAACAATCAAAGATTCTTTTGTCGTCTATGTAACGATATATAAACACGAATTAGAATCCATGTCATTTGTTTGTTTTGATTTCCAAATGATCGATAGATGCAGACGCACATTAGTGTGACATTACCTGTAAGAAGATTGTCAATCTAATCAATCTCTCACTCTTCAACTGAAGAATGATGTACATAGAATATGAAAGCGACCGGTCGATTGATGTTTTTCCCCTCTGAATAATTACCGAAAATTTTGTTGGTGGTAGAAAACATTTTCTTACCTAGATATGTGTCGCGCCATCGTAAATTTCTATCGAGGGCATTCTTAGGGCTATAGGGGCCACGACACTTCTCTATTTTCGAAAACTTTGCTCGTCGATTTGTAAAATTTTCTTGGAACTTCAGAAATCCGGAAGAAAACTCAAAAAGCTTGTTAAACTGCTGCAATATTTTGAAATGTTCCCAAAAAAAAATTGCAAATACCCTCGACGCTCCGCCGATTTCTCCATCTTTCAAACACGCTTAATTTTTCTTATTAAACTCGTATATGAAAGAAAAGTATACATTCATTCACGTCGATTTTTTTTCTTTCCTCGTGTTTTTATCCATATCTTCGAACTAAATAACAATACCAAAATCACTTTTGATTATTTCACTGCGTTTGTCGGTCACGCTTACTTTCACTTATCGGATCACGCACTATTATTGGTGACGACATGCCTTCTATTGATGACACAGTCATTTTATCAACTACTGCTCTATCATTAAGTGCAAAAATGTCCAATCAACATTGTAATGGGGATCATCAATCAATAACTCCTCAAGGTATTCTCGAACAGCAAGCAGAGAAATGGCAAGTTCCACTAACAAGTAAAGCATTCGCTCATAAACTTGATGAAATTGATCCGTTAAAACATATGCGAGATGAATTTGTGATTCCAACAGTTGGTGATCTCCCAAATGGTACGGTTTAAATGAATCTGATTTGTCTTTTCATGTTATTCAAAATCAATTTCTTGATTTATTTAGCGGATACAACACGATTCGATTCGAATAGTGAATCAATCTATTTATGTGGTCATTCGTTAGGTTTACTACCCAAACGAGTGCGAACAGCCATTAATGGATGGCTTGAGGACTGGGCAAAACTGTAAATCTCTAACAAAGAAAAACAGGATTTCCTAGTGGACGGAAGCTTGTTTATTTAGAGGAGTTCATGGACACGTTCACGGTAGAAATCCATTTGCAAAGTGTGATTATCCATGTATTCCAACACTGAAGAAACTGCTTGGTTTGTTCGATTGTTTTTATTCAGAGATTCATAGTAATTCTCGTCACTGTTCTAGGTGCACAAGATAATGAAGTGATGGTGATGAATCAACTAACATCAAATATTCATATTATGATGGTTAGAAGCACAAAATTCGATCAGAATTTTCTCATCTTGTTTTTTGTAGATCTCATTCTATCGACCGACAAAAGAACGTTTTAAAATTCTATACGAAGAACGAGCATTTCCCAGCGATGAATATGCACTTCATTCACAAATGCATTTGCACGGATATGATCCAAATATAGCATCGATTAAAGTCTCACCGAGAAAAGTACATTCGATGATGATTTTTCGTTTCTACACATATTTTTATTCATGAATAGAATGAAACCTATGTGAGAACGGAAGATATACTCGATGTCTTAGAGAAACAAGGTCAATCTATCGCACTGTTATTCCTTAGTGGTGTGCAATATTACACGGGTCAATTATTTGACATGGAAACCATAACACGTGCCGGTCAAAAACAAGTAAGGCATCATATCTACTGACTTGGATCATATTTTGATACGAATATTTAGGGATGCGTGGTTGGTTGGGATTTAGCTCATGCACTTGGCAATGTTCCGCTGCATCTGCATGATTGGAATGTTGACTTTGGTGTTTTTTGTTCGTACAAATATTTGAACGGTGGTGCTGGTGGTATTGGCGGTATCTTTATTCATTCGAATCAATTTGATAAAGATTACCCACGTTTGGATGGATGGTGGGGTAATCGATACGATACACGATTTCAGATGAGAAGTGAAATCGATCGAGATATTGGTGCTGATGGCTTTCGAATGAGCAATCCATCAATCCATCAATGTACCACATTGGCTGCAAGTCTAGAAGTAAATTGATTGTCTTGATTGCCACGAATACGATCGATTTGTTTGTTATAAATAGGTTTTCAAAGAAAGTGGTATAGAAAAGATCCGAGCGAAGTCGAAACTACTTACTCAATACATGCAATATCTGATTGAAACTGAAATTAATCGTACGAAACATTGTTCTTTTTTTCTTTCGTTATACATCAAAGTCTACGTTTACTTTAGAACCATCAAGTAAATATCAAATCAAATTTCTAACTCCATCAGATCCCGAGCAAAGAGGTGCTCAACTCTCATTACATATCGTCGGCGCAGATGCCAAACAAATATTCAATGAACTTGAGCGATGTGGTGTTTCCGTAAGACAAAAAAATCATTTATTTTTCGCACTAACGAATAACTCAACCGATTCTTCTCCCATATCATTCTAGCTGGATGTTCGTGGTAATGTCATTCGTGTAGCAGCTGTGCCGCTTTACAATTCATTTCTGGACGTCTATCAATTTGTGATGTTGCTGAAAAATGTTCGAATCTGAATCTAAGCATTTCGCAATATGATTTGCTAACATCAAACAATACAGCTTTCGTCTTTTTCTTCTTCCGTTGATGTTTACTTGCTTGAATTAAAATCTAATCAGCATATTCTTTCCACGTAATTCTTTCTTATTCGGCAATAAATCTTTCAAAACACATTCTGGGATTCATTCTCACGAATGATCATATCGATTTTTTGTAGAATTAAATGAGAAGATGTGCACGTTCTTTGGTTTGTTTCGTTTTGATGAGCACAAAACAGTTTAGTTTTAAAGTAAAAACAACAACGATATAACAATGATAAGGTTTATGTGAAAGAAGAAAGAGTGAGAGTTCAAAACAAAACATACAACTAGAAAGGAGGAGAAGAAGAAGAAAGTATGTCACCAACTAGAAACTACAATATGTATAAACATACACATTTCATTTTGTCATCCGGAATAATTCGAAATGCTTGTTTTCTGTCTCCCTCATTTCCCTCATTGCAAAAGGTTTTAAACTCAGGAAAAGAGGTACTTCCTAAGCTCTCTTTCTCAAATCACGTAACAAATCAACACACACACACGACATAAATAGAAACGGTCAGTGTGAGAGAAGCGAAAGGAAAATCAAACAGAACGAATGTGACAGTCAAATATAGAGATGTAAGAAAAACAAGAAAACAAATGAAGACTTTCCTCTTAAAATAAAAGTGTGCCCATTCCACCTAATTCATTCTGTTCTTTGACAAAGATTTCAAAATATTGATAAATAATCGTCACAGCTAAGAGAATACCGGTACCGGAACCAATTGCACCTAGAAGATCGGCTAACACTGACAAAGCACCGATACACAAACCACCAAAGGCAGCAGCTGTGGGAATATATCGATTTAATTCGTGAATCATTGATTTTTCTCGGTGACCGTGCATAACCCTAGAAAAACACAAAACAATTCACTTCGCTTCAAGGCTTTTATCTCCATTCCACCTACATTTGTTGTTCTTTTAATTGTTTAGCAACATCCTTGGCACTTGAACCAGATATATCAATCCATGTCTTCGAGAAGAATGCACATGAGCCAAGCATAAACGCGATGTAGAGAATAGCATGTATAGGATCAGTTAACATCGCTTGAAACGATTCTGGTGGTGATAAATAATAGCATAAACCACCGATGGGATACGAACGTTGTGGTCCATTGTCGGCCCAAACGCCTAGTAAATTAATGATGGCATAACCGGCGAATCTTGTTGATAACATTTGAGAAATGACGTATAAGTTTGAAACAAGTGCAGATTGGAGAATAATCGGAATATTCGATGTGTAAAACAATTTGATTGGATAAGATGATGTTTGTCCACGATAACGAGCGGATTTAATTGGAAGATCAACACGGAAACCCTAAAGACATATTTTTCTAAGAAAATGATTCTCATTTGTAATTTGCATACTTGGAAGTAGATGACAATAGCGAAGACAAGAACTGTTGCAAGTAAATTCATTAAATTTGGTAAATTTTGGCGATAGAATGCTTCGCGTAATGCTCGAACTTTATCATGTCGTGTTGCCAAAAGATGAAACAATGCAATAATACCACCTTCGAATTCCGTACCACGTCCGGTATTGATTGTTGCTGGACTGAATGCTTTCCAAACGATGGTTTCACAGATGTTCGTAGCAATAAATAACGAAATACCAGAACCAAGACCATAACCTTTTTGAAGCAATTCATCAAGTAATAAGACGATTAAACCAGCAACAAACAACTGAATGATGATCAAAAGGCAAACACCGGCACCGATATCTGATGGATTGCCATACATGCCAGTCATGACATAAACAATTGCTTGGCCAATGGTAATAATCATACCAAAGAGTTTTTGTGCTCCATTGAATAGAGCACGATCTTTGGGTGTATCGCCGACTTCAATAATTTTTGCACCGGCTAATAATTGCATGATTAAACCTGATGTGACGATTGGCGAAATACCTAATTCCATGAGAGTACCACGATTTGATGCAAGAATAACTCGAATCCTGAACGAACGAGCATTTGTCAATGATTTCTCATCTGACTTTTGAGATTTGACTTACCAGTAGAATGGATCGGCTGAGTCGGATGACATGATACCGAAAAGTGGAATTTGACAACATACCAAAAAGATAAATAAGGTGATCGCTGTCCAGAGAACTTTTTCTCGGAATTGAATTTTACGTTCAGGTTTTTGAATCTCCGGTATCAATTGGCAGAATGGTTTAACAAATTCAAGAAATTTAATACCCATTTTTCTATGATTGTAAAATCGACTCGAGTTGTTCTATGAAATCTTCAAAATGAAATGCAAATGACGGTGGGAAGCTGCTATTAATCGTCACCAATCGTTGCTTCTTTCTATCCCACGTACATGCACACGTACAAATAGATGCTTTCCACATAATACCAACCGAAAACCAACGCAACGTTGCAATGCATCACCGTGCCATCAGCGGAAAACGCTATTGTCCATCAAAGAGGTCGCTCATCATCACAGACGTGAGAGTATAACATTTACTAATAGATAGATCCTATGTACACGAATCTATGAGAAAACATGATGGATAATTTGGGTCTTGCCTATGGGCTTACCTTTTTCTTTTCTACTAATTTGATTACGTACTTCTCCCATCAGTATATTGAAACTCGTTGCATAATCTTATAGATGACAATATTGACGTCTAATTTGGCTTATTCTCACCTACATATATATGAGATATATACATTTGAATAGAAGGAAACATCATCACTGATCAACTTGATTAGTGTTCGCGATAAATTGCTTACCGAACAACAATCGCCTTCCTGCAGTGCATGGCAAAAAAAGAAACTAAGAACATATATTTCTTCCCCCTCCCCTCTCTCTCTCTCTCTCTACTCTTTATATAAATAGACTCGATTGAAACTATTTTTCATTAAACTAAACAGTACGATCAGTTTTGTATAAAATAATATTTAAAAAAAACATGAATCTCTCACCATTACAATTAGACACCAATTGTTTCAACGCCGCCTCGCATTATCATTCTTCTTATTATACTGAGAATCCATCAGTGTGGTCAGCATCGTCTTCTTTATTATGTCCATCAGTCATAACACCAATGACTTATCCAGCAGCATTTGCACCAACTACTCTTCAACCGATTGAAAACTATTGTACAATTGAACCATTTTATTCATCAGGCTCAGAGCCAATCGCTTCTTCATCCGACATGCCCTTTTATTCTTCATCAGTTCCGCTTCCTCCTGCTCCTTCATCTGCTTTTCAACCGTCGGATAATTTTATCGTTTCATCATCATCATCCTCAACACCATCGTCCATGATGTTACCACAAAATCGCGCTAATTACACGCGTCATCAACTAGTTATGCTCAATGAAATTTTCAAGAAACACAAATATCCGAATAGTTTGCAGAAAACATTGATTGCCCAATACATTGGCGTTTCGCGTGATCAAATTCGTATTTGGTTTCAAAATAAACGACGAAAAGTACAATTAATCACTAAAGGTCAAGCTAAACAAACGAAAACCGATATAGAATGTGAATATGGCGAATATCGACGACATTTACCAAACAATTTTCTCGATGATCTCTATCAAGAACTATACAAAGCACGTGCTGCACCAGCACGATTGCCAGTTAAACGTGATACCAATGCAAAGATTAGTAATATCGACCAAGAACAACAATTCCTATATCATCCAGCAATGAATTCTAATTATTATTATCATCCAAATCAAATCATTGAACATGACAGTTCATCATCGGAGAAAAATGAACAACAATATTTAAATAATTATAATCATCCTGTCTACTCAGATCATTTGTAAAGTGTTTTTTTTTCTGATAAATAAATAATTACCAGCGAATACAAATCGGAATTTTGAAAAGAGAAAATTTAGACTTTGACTTTCCCAATAACGTATTCATTTCTATGTCATCGTGTGATAATGGAAAGGGAAAGTTTCTCATCACAACAGTTGTAGTGAATTTTCAATTTCATTCTAGATCAATTTCCATTGTATTTATGGAAGAATGTTGGATTGGTCGAATGTTCCTGATTGATTTCTAATTAGAAGTATTTCACACGAGTCAGAATGACATATTCATGTAGGATAAAACCTCATTTTTCCTTTTCAATATGGATGATAGTTTGAATATGAATTTAACAACGAAAATCAGCAAAACCTCTCCCACGAAACAGAATACTCTTCATTTGAATACATTCGTACTGATTGATTGTACACGATAAACTTCTTTCTATCACATTTATTATACAGATCATTTGAACACACATGAATATATTTCATCTAAACATCTTGCTTTCATAAAATGAATTCACCTGTCTCTATTACTCCATGGAAATGTTGAACATCACGTCTCTCTTCTTGACAAAGCAAAACAACAAAAAAATGTACATACAAGTCATCTAATAATAATCGTTGTCTAATTCAAAGATTATGTGCAAGTTGAAACAGATGGTGTCGATGCCAAAATTGCTTTTAATCGAATGATACATTTAGCTAAATCCGTTTTCTTGATTAAATTATATAATTGAAGTGTCGCTAAGTGAAGATAGAAGTTCTTAATGAGATTTTTCTCTCGCAAATCCTTTGCATGTTTCTCAACAAAAAGTTCACAGGCGTAGGGCATTTGACTATCAGCGATGAAACTAAAAGAACAGAAGAGACATGTAACAATTTGACAATAAAGTTCTCTTACTTATATTTCATAACATGATGATTCCACATAATCATCATTTCTTTTTCACCTTCATTTACATCTTGAAAATCTTCCATCATTCGACGTGATAATTGCTGAGTCCATTCAGGATAAATTTCATCATCACTATCGATTTGTATGTGTTCTGGTTGAATCGGTTGGGCACCGGTCGTATGACGATAAACTCGAGTTAATGCTGCTCGACGACAGACAAATGGCGCATCATCCATCGCCAATCGACGATAACGTGGTGGTCTAAAATGATACAAATATTCGACTGAATTTCTATTCTTCGTTGATAATTACCGCCAAAGAATCAGTTCACTCGTAATACGTCGCTTTCGTGGATAATATTCAGCAAACATATCAAATGTATCGAGTGATCCATCATAGAACGCATTTAAACGCAATTCAATGTTCGGTCGATCGCTGTTTTTCTAAGTAAACATCAATTTGACTTGAATACGATGAAAATTCAACTCGAAAACATACTTTGATCGAGGCTGTAAATCTTGGATGACAATATGATAAATGTTTGATCAGAACATCTAAATCATTATTAATCGCCGTAAATTGACAAAGACAACAATGTCCTTTCGATGACATGTAACTCGATGCTAAACATTGTTTATTGTCTGTTACAAAACTATAGTAAAGTGGTAAATTTATCGAGGAACTATGTTCGTTGTTAGCTGAATTATCACGCCATAATGATAAGCTATTATTAGGAGTTTTGTCTAATAGGAGAGACTAAATGGATGACATTCGATTTGGAGAAGTAAAATTTACTTGTCTTTTGTGTTGTTCGCATTCGTTTAGCATTTGGATCTTGATATTGTTGTTCCTTTTGATGTGATACTGGGATTTTGCTTGGCGAGATGGGCTGTCGTTTTCTTGTTGATGCTCCACTTCTGACCATTTCTACTGCTTCTCTTGTTAAATCGAAACATATGGTAAATGTTGCTGGAAATTGTGACGAAATCGTTTTCGACTAAAATATTCCGAATTGACCAAATATTTCAGATACAAATAAAATCATTTACAATCTCTTGTCCATCAATTAGTACAGGTGTTAGAAGAAGTTCAATCGATTGAACTGTCGACATGGGTTGTCGGGGATCGAATAACGAATCGAGTTGTACACGTTTTCCAAAAGACATGGAGATTTTATTTCCATCGCCTAAAGCATTTACATATGCGTTCATGTTCACATTGAAACATCGTCTTACCACGACTTGCTGTAATCGTACTGGAAAATGTTAATGTATACACATATTTTGTCGAAACATGAAATGATATTGTCGATGATTCGTCCAGTTCGTCATCGTTCATTGATGAAGACAACTCATTCGGTGATATTGAGTCTATACGACCGAGTTTCATCGTTCGAGATACATTCGATGTTTGATTAAATAATTTTTCTAGACATGAAGCTGATAAATCAAAGGCAACATTGTATTTGACACCACGTCGATCTTGTAAACAATCTGTTCAAAGAAAACAAAGCAAAATGGAACGTTCAATATCAATTCATATGCATTTACTTGGATCGTATGACCAGCCACGTAAATGTAGATTGAAAGCTTCACCACGTAATAATGAGGATGAAGTTGATTTATGAGAAATTTCATTCAGACGTGATTTGAAGATTTCTTCGATTGAACGATTCGAATTCGAACTATTTTAAGGAAAGATTTGTAGTCAGTTGCAAAAATGATCACAAGTTCGTTGTCTTTACCGATTGGGATGAGATGATGTTCGAGCAATATGTACATATTTTAAATTTCGATGTAAAAAACTTGGCTACAACGACAAAATCAGCGAGGTTTCAGTAGCAAACATTCGCTTACATTGATTTGCCATCGAAGAGCTAACGTCTTGTAAATTTGTATATGTTCTATGAAAAAAAAACGTCAGTTCATATCAATCGTTACTGCTTCAATTTATCTTACTAGCGAATGTTTCGATATTTTCATTCCAATTTTTCGACATATTTATCTGAAAATAAACAAACTGGAAGATACACACTGTTTTTGTCCTATAAAAACGAAAATTAGAAACAAAATTAAATCGATTTTCTCATTTGACCAGAATTTGTTTTAAACAATGTCGCATCACTAAATTTTCCCTCTTCCCTTGCATCAAGAATATCTTGATCAAACGTTATTCGACCTACAAACAAAGAATCCTCGTCAAACAATACAAATCTTCATCAATCTTTACCAAATGTTCCTTTGTTAAGTTCATTAACAAAGTGTAGCGCTGCTCCCGTTAAATCATAACCTCGTTTATCGCCATACGTTTGTGTACAATGTTTAATCTTTGCTAATGAAAGTAATAACGCTACTATATCATCAGTCGGTCGATCTAGTTCGCAATATTTCATATATTCTTGTTGTTTACCATACTTATTCAGTAGGAATAAGCCATAATCAGCGATAATATCTGATAATTGACGTTGTTGGATTGGTATCGAATTGGTTAGAAGTAAGCGAAAGCTTTCATCGGCTGATTTTAAACGTGGTTCGAGTATACCGGGCGAATCACGAATGTAAACTTTAGGTCGATTGGAGATTTTCACTTTTTCACTCATCGTTCGCGTGACTCCGGGACTTGCACCTACTTGTTCACAGCTTGACTTATTTATAAACAGATTCCGGAGTTTATTAACTGAAGAAAAAAGTCAAACAATGATAGAGACCTTGGAAGAATGATTCAAAGTGACATACTGAATGTCGATTTGCCAACATTTGGTATTCCACAAACGATGATGTTGTATTCGGATTTGGAACTACGACTATAGCGCGGCATTTCGACGATTTGTTGCAGAAGATGACCGAACATTTTGGTCATTTCTTTTAAATCAATAGATGTTAAACTTGTTTGAACAACTTGAACATTCGGTTGTTCTGTTTGAATATATTCAATTGACTTATTGAGATACTTCGGATCAGCCATATCAGACTTATTCAATATCAATATATGCGGCTTGTGACCAGCAATCAATCGCTGATAAAATTGTGGATTACGACCAGAATGCGGAATACGAGCATCATGTATTTCGATAATACCATCGACACGTGGTAACGACTGTTCAAGATCTTTCATACCTTTGTGCATATGACCAGGGAACCATCTGAATTGAAAATAAAAATGAATTGGATAATGAGTTATAATGATCAAACCTACCGAATCATATCTTTCCATCGTATAGACTGGAAATCGAATTGATTTCGAAATGTTGTCAACTGTCTCATGTTCAATTTCTTTCCCAAATCGAATTAGACTAGTTCGTTCTTCTCTCGGCGCAACAAATGATTGATCGTAGTTAGCTAACCAATCAAAATCGCACCATTCGTTGTTGTTGCACTGCTTGTGGCGCTGATAACCAATTGATTTGTTGAAACAATCTACATCGTATTAACAATGTAAAGTCGAGTTCCTTCTAGTTCCGTCAAATAATTCTTTCGAAAAATAATTATCGTGCTTTGTTTCTTGTTCTTTTTATATTTATTTGTAATTGATTATGCGCGATGAATCTCTACTAATGGCATCGACAACAAATCCAACAACATCTCCTTCGAATCCTATATCAAATAATAACAATGTCGAAGGATTGAAACTGACAGAAGCGGTAGTGAAAACATTTCGTAATGCGCGTGTTTTCCATGAAAATACAGATCGAATCAATGCATTAGACTTCTCTGCCAATGGTGAAACATTGATCACCAGCAGTGACGACGATTCAATCGTGATCTATGATTGCCAAGCTGGCTCGTATGATTTGAAAAACACATAACCTCAATTTCGACTTCATCTTTCTCTCTATCTTTCTTTAGATCAAAGAAAACATTGAATAGCAAAAAATATGGTGTTGATCTTATTCGTTTTACTCATGCAACGAATACGGTTATTCATAGTTCAACAAAAATTGATGGTAAATCAGAATGGCTTATCAGTTCAACAATGACATCGATTTACTTTATTTAGATACAATTCGCTTTTTGTCTTTACATGATAATAAATATATTCGATATTTTCCTGGTCATGTTCGAAAGTATGTGAAGTTATCGAAAAGAAAATTAGATAGGAATTGTTTTACTTCGTAGAGTTATTACATTATCAATGTCGCCTGTTGATGACATTTTCTTATCAGGTTCACTTGATAATACCATAAGATTGTGGGATTTGAAATCAGCCAATTGTGCAGTAAGAATGTGTTTATTTATAGGGAAAGTTTTCTTATCTGAATCTTTTTCTTAACAGGGCTTAATGCACTTAAATGGCCGTCCCGTGGCTAATTTTGATCCTGAAGTATGTTGAAAACAAAATCATTCGAAATGAAAAGAAAAACATTCATTTAAATGTAGGGTCTCATCTTCGGAGCTGGCGTCACTTCTGAAATGATCAAACTTTATGATTTACGTTCATTTGACAAGGTTAGCTTTTTTTTCTTTGCGTAGGGTTTGTCGATGATGTTTATTTTTCCTTAGGGTCCTTTCTCGACGTTTCAATTGCCCAAGGAGAAAGATTGTGAATGGACAGGTCTAAAATTTAGTGCAGATGGAAAAACCATTATGTTAACAACCAATGGAAATATAATTCGTTTAATCGATGCCTTTAATGGTCAACTCAAATATACTTTATCGGTATGAATAGAACAAAATTAATTCATATGAACATCCTCGAGTTTGTTCCTTTGTTGTAGGGTTTTACTAATACTAAGAATATGCCTATTGAAGCATCATTCAGTCCCGATGCGCAATTTGTCTTCTGCGGTATGTTTGAGTCCGATGAATGATCAATGTTTGTATGAGAATGGTTTTAGGTGCGAGTGACGGACGTATCCATTGTTGGAATGCTGAAACTGGTAATCGTGTGTGTACACTTCTTTGTGATTCTATGACTGGTCCAACAATTGTTTCCATGAATCCTAAATTTATGTTACTTGTTAGTGCATCGAATCAATTAGTAAGTTTAGTTTGAATAATTTTGATGATATTTTTCTCTGTTTTAATTAGATCTTCTGGTTACCACATTTGGATGATTTATAAAAATGAATTAGGACATATGAAAAGGTTGTTATCGATGTTGTTTTGGTTTTTCTTTTTCAATGTATATTGTTCTATTCTGTGTCTCTTTGTTTCTTTTCTTTTCTGCAAATTTGAAGATTAAAACAGAATAAAATGTTCTCTAGGCAAACAACACAGATAAAGTCAAGAAAAGTTTTATTTGAAAAAAATGTCGTCTCTATTTCGGTGAAGGTTCAGCAAATAATTGTGCCATGTCAAGTCTTGTATGAGCACGATTGAAAGCTTCCAAAGGTCCTTGCGGATCATCAGGTGCACTATAGGCGATATAAGCAGCATTTTCAGCGTAATCCATAATTAAATTGAGCGCATCACCAGTTTCCGAAAGACTGGTGATATTTTGGATAATATTTGCAGCATTAAGATGACCATATTGACCAACTAGCAAACTACCTAAACATGGATCATTTGATGGTTGAACATGTTTGTCCCAGTAGACGACATCTTTCAAAATTGGATGATTAGGCGTATTGTACATATCTTGCCAATTGAAAATATTCAATTCTTTCGCACTATATTCAATACCACGGAATCCAACATTTTGATCACCATGGAAAGTTACATTACGTTCATAAGCACCGAGACCAAGATGAATGGAACAAGTTCGGTGAGCGTTGGCAATCATGGTTAAAGCTGTATCAATAGAATCAGCGAATTGAACGACATCACGAAGAACATAGGTCCATGGATTTCCGAAACGTGTAGTAATATCAGTTTCTTTAGTGATCCAGACTTTCTCACCTAAGCCGATAGACGCTTCGCTGTAAGCACTAAGTGATCCGATGAGACCGAGATAACCAAAATTAGCAAATGCATGAGATTTGTAATTTTCCTGTTTGTAATATTTATGAAAATTTTGTGCGTAACCTTCATAAGAGGCATTTGGATGATAAACAACGACTGTTGCATATTTAGCAATAGGTGCTTTATCATCCCAATCAAGTGCTCTTAAATGGAGTAGAGTTGATGAAATAGTCGATTCACCCCAAGCACCCAAAACAGTACATGCCGCTTTGATCAATTCTGGAAGCAAATTCATTCGTCGAAGATTCTCATACGAAATACCACTGCCAGCCGCTAAACCGCGCAATTCTTCATCATACCATGGTGGAGTATAAAAACGTGTAAGTTCATATGTGAGATCAAGAGCACCGGGTAAACCTAATTCTGCAATCCATTTTGCAACAAACTATAGGCAAAAATACAAGTCGCATCTATATAGAAGATATTTTCATATACTTACAGGTGGAAGCTTTTTCAAAGCATCTTCAATTGTTTTATCGAGATATTCATAATATTCCGGAATAAGTGCTTGTATTTCTTTGCTCATCAATTTGCCGTATGCATAACCCATATCATAAGGTGTACCGCCATAAAGATGCACTATATGGATCTTGTCGTAGCCGGATCCAACAATGAAACGTTTTCCGTTCGATATCGAACTCACAAGAACAGGTGCACTGCGTACAATTGCATTTGTATTAGGTTTACCTTTACAATTTGGATCAGCAAGTTGAACGACACTGATCAGAGTGAAGAGAGAAAATAATAGAAGACAAACGCTATTCATGATTACGAAGACAAAATAGAATGATGTTTATCGTTTAAAAATATGCGAAAGCAAGTAACAGAAGGTTTCGTCCCATATCAGTGTCGTTTTTATGGAGAAACGCGCAAATGTTATCAGAAAACTTGGTCATCATGATAACCTTATTACTGCATCATAAAAATTATCTCAATCTAGGTTAAGTATATTCTAAAGAAACAACTAAAATCCTTCCTACATATGCATGATCTTTATTTATTTATAATCACTTAGTCTTACGTGAAAAAAGATGTTTCTTATTTTGGTGCGGGCTCTACGAACAATTTAGTCATGTCAATTCTTGTGTGAACACGATTGAAAGCTTCTAGAGGTCCCTGTGGATCATCCGGTGCACTATATGCCAAGTAGGCAGCATTTTCAGCATAATCAAGAACTAAATTAAGTGTATTGCCTGTTCTTAACAAACTGGTGATATTTCGAATGATTGTCGGCGGATCAAGTTTACCATAATGTTCGATTAGTAAACTACCCAAGCATTTATTATTCGATGGTTGAACGTATGGATCCCAATAGACAACATCATTCAGAATTGGATGATTAGGTGTATTGTACATATCTTTCCATGAGAAAACATTGAATTCTTTCGCACTGTATTCAATACCGAGAAAATCGACTGTTCGTTCACTAGCCGACGATGTATTTCGATGGTATTCGCCAAGACCAAGGTGAACGGAACAAGTTCGCTTGGCATTTAAAAGCATTGTTAATGCTGTATCAATCGAATCAGAGAATTGAATAACATCCCGAAGCACATAAGTCCATGGATTTCCTAAACGCGTTGTAATATCTTGTTCTTTCGTAATCCAGACTTTTTGACCTAAACCAACTGACACATCGTTATAAGCTCCAATGGATCCAATAAGGCCAGTATATCCAAAGTTAGCAAATGTATGCGATGTCGAATAGTTCTGTTTGTAATAATTGTGATAATGTTCAGCATAACCTTCATAAGATGCATTTGGATGGTAGACAGTGACTGCTGCATATTTGGCAATAGGAGCATTTTCATCCCAATCTAATGAACGGAGATGAAGCAAAGTTGTAGTCGTTACTGTCGATTCACCCCAAGCACCTAAAACAGTACATGCAGCTTTAATAAGCTCGGGAAGTAGGTTAAGTCGACGAATATCTTGATATGAAATACCACTACCGGCCGCCAATCCTCGTAACTCTTCGTCGTACCATGGTGGAGTATAAATACGAGTGATATCATAATTAAGATCGAGGGCACCTTTTAGACCTAATTCAGCAATCCACTTTGCCACTAACTAACCGAATAGAAAGCAAAAGTAAATTAATGAATGTGAAACAAAACATTGTCATTCTCACCGGTGGCAATTCTTTGATCAAAGATTCGACTTTACTTTCCAGATAAGTGAAATACTCGGGAACAAGTTGCTTCAATTCTTTACTCATTAGTTTTCCGTATGCATAACCCATGTCATAGGGTGTGCCACCATAAACATGCAATATATGAATCTTGTCGTAGCCTGACCCAACAACATAACGCTTTCCATTTGTAACGGAACTTACGAATTTAGGTTCATCCCGTAAGATTTCATTTGTATTTAAGACGCCTTTACAACTCGGATCCGTCGATTGAACTTCAAGAACAAAGGCCAAAACGCAAATTGATATGAATCGATAGCCGGTCATCATCAGAGTCATCCGATATAATTAACAAATGTCGAATGACTTTAAAAAAAGAAACCTTTCATCCAGCTGGCTTTATTCTCAAATTGATCTAATTGTTTTATTTAGAAATGCAAGTAAATGCTTCGATAAAAGAAAGAGAAAAAAAATACGAAATTTTCTTTTCATCAACTTAATATTCACATCAAGCATTTATATTTTTCGAGTATAAGAAGTTAAATCTAGTTTTCACACTGATGAAAAAACAATCAACCGGGCCTACAAGAGCCATCGATAGAGAAACAAAAACAGTTGATGTGCAATTGGAAGAAGCGATCATAAGAGCGTATGTACACTTGCACAAGAAAAAAGAAACGCATGCGTCAATGAAGGATGTTCTAGCTATCATAGGAGAAATTCAATTCAAAAGACAAAAGATGTGAGCAAATATAAATAAATTAATTAAAAATACGTAATGGATATTCAATTGCACAACTCGACAAAACGTTCATGTGCAAAAGTTCTTTTTTTAGTTAATTATCAGTTGTCAATGGGTGGCTGATCTTGTATTGGTTGTTAATTGATCAATAACAGCAGGTGCAAACACACGACGCGCTGCTTTCAAAACGGCTTCTCTTGTCACGAGATTTGGTTGCGAAGTCCAATGATTAGTTTTCGTTAAACTTGATTGATATGGGCTTAACGTTGGATACATCGATAACGAATTGACATTATTACCCAGTGTTGATACTAAACTATTTGACCATCGACCTGAATCAGTTAATAGGTGATTCGATGTTGTTTCGACCGAATCGTATAATCTTGGAGTATTTCGCTGAATCGTTCGAATATTTCGTATAACGGGACCGACATCTGCAACCGACAGTTTACTGAAGTCAACTGTTGCAGCTGGGCTCGGTTTCACCGACGAACGTTGTTTAGTTTCATCGAGATTTGCTATCGGAAGTAGGGACATGTATTCAAGTTGAGTTAGTCGTAATTGTTTTAAAGTTTGTTCCATTTCCATAACATCACTATCAGTATCACTTAGTCGATCAATATCATCTTCATCGTGATGAAAGCCATTGTGATGTCTCGTGGAGATTTTGTTCGATTTCGACTTTTCACTATCACGATGGTTATCGTCATCATCGTCGTCAGTTTCGTTATCACTAACAGTTCGTAACGATTTACGATTATTAGATGATTGAGTTTTATGATGGCTGTTGTCAATCGCTTTTAGTTGGAATTCCGCATCTTGTAATTTACGTTCGAGGGATCCTTTATCAGCACTTAATTGATCGATTGTTCGTTGCATTGTCAGATTGAGATTATCCTTCTACTTAGCGATGATAAATGTAGGTTTTTTCTCTAATGACAGTTTACCTCTCTGATATGCTTTTCTAATTTTTCTTTATCTGATTTCGCTTGTTCGAGACGTCGTGTTAGATCATCTGTTTCCGTCTTATGCCGAGTTTCTAGCTGACGGATTTTCTGTAAACGCAGAAGACAAATATTGAAATTTCACGATTACTCTAAATCAAACCTCTTCGAAATCACGTTTTTCCTGCGCAAGTTTATCATTTAACGATCGAATTTGAGCATTCGTATTACTTTGTTGTTCAAGTGATCCTTTGTACACATCCAAATCTATCTGCATACTTGTGCTAAATTTGTATAGATCTTATTATTTGATTTTCCTTATTCGTAGAAATTACCGTAGTTTTTTCTTCAAATCTTCCTTTTCCTTTTCGATTGCTTCTTTGATATGATTGATTTCATCTTGTTTACGACTTTCTAACAATTTTCTCTCACGAGCTACTGTTTCACGTACTTCACTTTCGATTGAACTAAATTGGAATAATAATGGACAATCTTGAAAAGTTTCCTCAAACTTATCTTACGCAAGATCTGTTTTCATTTTATCACGCAATGCCCTTTCTTCTTTATCTTTTTCTTGCCGTTGTTCAGCTTTTATTTTTTCGATCTGTGCTCGATGTTCTTCTAAGATTTGCAGCTTCTCGTCATTGGTAGATCTAAATAAGTAACAAATCTTAATGAATAGACAGCTAGACATGAATCCTTACTGTTCAATTCGTAATCGAAATTTCGTCACATCCGGATCTTCACGTGGAGTTATAAAATTATCGTCCTAAGAAGAGCGTCGAAAATAGAAGATACCATAGAAAGTCAAATGTCTCTTTACATGAACTTCTGATTTAGCTGTGTACACATGAGACGAACGTCTTTCAGCAGCGTCTGCAAGTCTCTTCCGTTTAGTTTCGTTATTTTCTAAATCATCATGGTCTAGACTTTCTTGAACACTTGATCTTCGATCTGCAAGAAAAAAGATGCAATTCATTGGAGAAAACTCTGTGTTGGGAAAAGTACTAGTGTTTTCGAGAGAGTTGATCGAACGAGATTGAGTAAGTGCCGATCTTGCAAGTGTCTTCTTTTCATCATCTTCAATGCGTGCGGAAAGCGACGGATCGATACCTAAAACAAGTCTTTCAGTAAATCTCATATAGATCAATGGATGACTACTAACCAAAATCCACTTTTCCTCGAAAATCATCACTGCTTTGTTCCTCATCATCGTCGACACTGTTCATTAGTTCTTCTTCAATTTCATTGTCACTATATTCATACGCTGCATCTAAAAGAGACTTTATTTCGACATTGATCCAACGAAAATCTGTTTCTACCAGGTTTATTCGTTTGAACAACATTTCTCGATACTACAGCTGTATCACCCAGAGTAGCCGCAACTTTTCCACCAATTAGATAATCCGTTACCGTTGATGTACTTCTCCCAGTCTGGGTCAATATACCTTCAACATATTCATTCTCGGAAGGCAATCTTTCCAATTGAAAAATCTTACCGCGTAGATTGGTTCCTTGTAAATTGGATGTTAGATTATTTCTAACAGCAAACAATAAAGACAATTGTCAAAAAAGAATGCTTATCTAATTACCTTTCTTCGATCACACGTGCTTTGTAAATTTCATCACATGGATGATCCCATGATGATGTGCCCGTGTCAAAATTGAAGTAGTATAATTCTCCGTGTTCTTCTTGACAAGGTTTCCAACCTGGCGGTAATGGTTTCAAAATTCCTTCTTTTGCCAACCAAAGTAAATGAGGCTCCTAAATTTCAGATCGAAGTGAATCATCTATTTTGCGTTCGAAAGTTACTTTATCGGGGTCGATTCCAATGTAAATAGCATATTCACGAATTTCTTCAGGAGTTGGTTCATAATTTTCATCGATATGTTCTTGGAGAATCGTTTGATTATTAACTTTACTTTCCGTACTTGTGTGCATGATTGCTGATGAAGTGTCTTTTGATTCTTGTTGCAATGACAAAACTTTCTTTTATTCAATTCAACTTATTACTTTTCTTCTTTCGCGTCGATGCTTTGTTAAACCATCAAATTGAAGGCCTTCATATTTTCATCTAACTCGATTCTCTTCCTTTCTCTCCGACTTCATCGTTCTCATTGTTGTCAACAGAAACTAACTCTTTCAATCCGCCCGTGCACAGCAGGTCAATAGATGTCAGTAAAAAACGTACAATGTCTAGTTCATTTTTATTCTGCTGATGACATGAACAATGAAAGTGTGCATAAAATGAAAATCTTTTATTCAGTTTAATGAGATTTAACCATGAACGAAGCGTTTGCCATGAACGAAGCGTTTGCCATGAACGAAACGTTTGCCATGAACAAAACGTTTGTCCAAAAGGTCATCGCTACTGTCAGTTTCTTCATTAACTGATCGGCCATGAACAAAACCTTTCAAAGGAGCTCTAAAACAACAAGAAATTCTCGTCGTGCTTGAAATTCAAAGAATTCATTGTTTGGATTACCTTTTAGTAAAGAAATGGCTATTCGCACAGAAATATTGGCAGAGTTTACTTAAATCTTCATCTGGTTCGTTTATTGTTGATTGTGTTTCTTCAACATTGGCTCTACAAAAATCGACTTCGACGAATTTCATTAAAAACGCACAATCTTTGATCTTACTCAGTTTTTACGTCCGATGTCTAAATGAAAACGGCATGAACGTATGATTTAAAATTAAAACTTGAAAGTAAAACTTACACTCGTTGCAGAGAGAACAGTTGTGAAGAGAAGGAAGGCAAGGCACATGGCCATAGCTAATCGGACAAGAGTATTAGATAGCATGATAAAGTTGAGTTTCGTCGAGATAAATGAGAGAATAAATGTCGTCTGAACGATTACTTTCCACTTATAAAAATAGCAGTACATAGCAAGATGAGAGAAAAAGAGATCGATACGCGTGGGACGTGTTATTTTTCCTTTGATGGAATCATCGGGAAATGCGAATTAGTTTGCTACGTTGAAATGATTAATAATCATTAATCTTATTAACATATTCTTCACTCCGGTCGAGAAATAATTCGATTCATCCGTTCGATATCGATGTTTTCGTATCAATTTCGGAACTTGTTTAATTATTCGATCAACGCAATGAGATCTAAATACCGAATTTCTTTTCATATTCTTGCATTCATTAAGATCGCCTTTTTTCTGGAAGAAAATTTTCACAAACAATTTATTTTGCAAGAAGAGAAAAGAAAAACTACATTGAAATTGCTTGTATAAAAATTTGATTAAATGAAAGCACTAAAATATTGCGACTTTGCTTGATTAAAATTATAAATGCGTTACCTTTACGAATTCAAAATGACCTTCTTGTTTTCACCAGCTAAAGTGGAATGATCGCCAAGAATCGATGCTTTTGCAAAACCATATAATTTCTTCATAATCGACGCCGACGCGTCCCAATATTCACATCGTTTGTTCGTGCTAGCTTCACGGTGATGTTGGATATACACTGATATTGAAAATCTTATAGAATATTGGATAGAGAAAGAAAACCCTGTTTCCTGTTATATAAGCAATCAATAGTTGAAAAGGATTATAGTTTTGCCAACTAAGTGATCAGCTTAATATTTGAACGCATAAATTGATCATTTGAAATACATATCCATTTATTTCACAAAAATATTTCGACTGACCAATGATGAGCAACAATATGCAAGATATTGAAGAGTACCCAGTTCGAACAATCACATACTCGGATCCAATATAGGATTTTATCAGATCCTACAGGAATTCGACGAATCCGATGAAATCCGGGTGACGGAATCGCATTGGATTCCGACGGTCTCGGGTCCGATCGGACCCCTCGTCGGATCCGAAACATGGATTTTCTAAGGGTCATCGTAGAACATAGCTAAAAAGATCGCTCATAAAATTTGCAACAACCGACGGGATTTTTCTAGTCGGATTCCAATGCAATTCCGTTTTCAGGAATCCGATCGGATTTGTTGACGTGGGTATGTCAGTGAGCAGTAAAGAAAAATAATTGATATACATAAAAATAACTATTTACATATATGAAAAAATAGTTATTGACATGAACGAAAAGAATAATTTTTTAGAAAGTTTTAAAGACTTTTAAACATTATTAATATTTATTGCAATATTATTTGGGTTAGTTGGATCACTTTTGTTGCTATGACGATTACAAACATTCGATCCCCCACGACTAAGACGAATTTTTGTAGATTTTCTGTGACTATAGGCATTCTCTTTCACCCATTCTAAAGAGTAAAAGTAAGCATAGATTACACTATATTATGATGTTAACATTATTGATGCTTACTGTGTCGTTTTAATCGATAAATTTCGTTGCGTAACAATTTCTCCTGCCGTTGACTAGCATCTTGTTGTTGCTTCAGTTGTCTTTCAAACATTTCCAGTTGCACTATCTGTTGTTGGAATCGTGTGCTCACTTTTTCGAGTTGTTGTTTGAGTGTTCGAATTTCTGCAGTTGCATCATTTGAGTAGTGTAGAAATCGTTAATTCGATTCGAGTATTAAAACTTTCATTTGAATTCTGAATCTGTTATTTTAGAATTCGAGTACTCGAGTTTTGAACTATTCAACTTCCACCCTCACCCACACCCTCATGTTACGTAAAAACGTTTTTACTAAATATGTCCCGTCCATAAAAACCACACCATTCTTTTTGTTCGTTTCCTTTAGGTCTATTTAAAATCCAGAACGAATTTTTTCAAAGTTTGTCCGGTGAATAAAAGTATCATCATTCGATGGAGAATTAAATTCTGAGCCGAATGGTGTAGTTTTCATGGACGGGACATATTTAGTAAAAACGTTTTAACCTAACATATCGTTTGTTCATGCTAGCTCCTTCGTGCTAGCTTCACACTGATACTTTTTCGCCTATGATTCATCAGGATTGTCTCATGCTACTATGTAAAAAGCTACTTTTGAGCCTTAAAGGATTTCAAAACGTTCCGCCGCCCTTGACTATACATATTAACTCATAATCAATATCAATAATATGGTAAACAGTATTGCCAGTACCAATACCAATATCATCATAAGAATGAATATGAATACTTATAAAGTTTTATCTCTTACAATATTGAAGTTTGAATAGGTAAGTATCAAACGTTCTGAACAATCCTCAACATGTAGGTATCTTCATTCATGGTAGTTACAATAACATTCTCAGAATATTTTATTCATAAATTTTTCAAAAAATGAACAGAAATTTTCATTCGCGGGATTAAAATTTAAAGGCAAAAAAACTGTTTTTGCAAAGCTATTTGGTAATTCAATTCTCTAATGCATCTGCTTTTTTCAAAATCTTCTCCAGTTCGCCTTGCTTGTCCAATCGTTCGGTATCATCACCACCGCCAATGCATTCTCCAGCAATAAAAACTCGAGGAACAGTATCTGCATCGGTCATTTCTCCAAGAATATCTTGGTATTCATCGCCATCGTCGATCTTGTCAAGTTCAATGACTTTGTAACTCTTTAGTTTATATTTACCAAGAACTTTTTTTGCCTTTGTGCAATATGGGCCTTGGAAAAAGAGAATTGAATCGCGAAGAAGATATGAATCACTTACAGTAAACCTTGGAAAAGACCATTACTGTGTTATCTTTGATTAATTGGTTAATTTTTTCCTTGATGTTTTCTTTTGACGATTTTTCGTTAGAATCAGCAGACGTCATGATCAGTCGACGAGGCGAAGCAAAAAATATGAATCAAAACAATCTAAAAGAACAATGATAAATAAATTGCGTGCATCAAACGAAGGAGAATGGAAGATATCCGATGTCCTGGTATGTAACACGAACGAAAAGAGTAGAACACTCGAATATGATTCTCTGAAACAAAAACCGATGTCTTTGGTGTTTCGATTTGCACTGTTCTGATAGATATTGTCGATGGAAATTAAGTTTTTCTTTGTGTAACAAAACAGCTTACTGTTCTTTTGAATAACTATGAGAAAAAACAATAACAAAGAACATTTTGTTTTAGTTTAACGACTCAGACATTGATTATTCTCAAGAGCTAATTGATCAAAGGATGACTCGAGTGTATGAATTTTGAGATAATCAATTTCAAGTGGATGTAGCTGTCCAACAATGACAAGCGAATGTAACGGACGACCTAAATCCACTTCATCTGCCATGCGACGTAAAGTTGTTGTAACGAATTTCTCGTCCGACCAACCAATCCGTGCTGCACCAATGCATAGCGTTTTATCATTGATGACTAAAAGCGTACGAATAACATCGAAGTTTTTCAACAGAGTAAATAGACATACGATCTTCGACTTGTAATTGCTTAGCTGATTCGAGTATTTGCGAGGCTGCTTGCGCTGTTGTCATAAAGCGAGGCGGTAAATATGTTTTAGTTTTTCTAAATCCATTCGTATATAACCTCGCTGAAAGCAATTTGTAAATCCTACTTCATATAACTAGCTTCATCTTGTTCTTTAACCTTAATATCTAAAATATTCATTTTTGTAAAACTCATTCTCTTCGTAAAATTTCGATTTTACCCAATAAACAAAGTGTGTGTAACCCACGTCGCCGATTAGCAATTATCTTCTCGCAGAAGCTTGTTGGTCGCCACGTATCTGTCCAGAATACAATGGAAACCGTTTCACCGAAATGATATAACTTTTCATGCAATAACATAAATAGAATCTTGTCAATGGAATGAAACGAACCTTACCTGTAATCCACAGCTACCGATAGCATTCATAATTGATGCATTATGAATAATTTTATAAGGGATATTCAATTCCACAGCACGTAGAATCAAATCTGTATGTGTCGTTGCAGAAAGTGGATCTCCACCGACAAGGAATGCTACATCGTATTCACCAGCGTTCTTTAAAATCTTATCTTTGAATAAAACAGAAGTTTTCCAGCAAAGACTTTTCTTTGTGTTTTACCAGCTGAAAGTTCAACGAGTTCTCTATCGGCCGGAATGAGTTGGATGCCTAAAAATTCTTCTAGGGTCTTCTGATCGACTTGTAAAATCGTTGTATATGTCTCCAAATATACTTCTTTACAATTTTTAATTATCCGTAAGCCTTTGACAGTCAAATCGTCAACATCAGCTAAGCCAAGACCAATAAAGTAAAGCATGATCTAAAAATAGTGATATTTCGAAGAAGTTCAGTTTACAATTTGCTTCTTCGTTAGTACAAAATACAGATAAGATCGTAGATTAAGTATTTCTTTCTATCTTCGAACTGAATAATCATATCTTTAAACTTAAACGAAACAAAAAAAAAGAATACGATTTTATCTTTCATTTCAATCAGATTTCGTAACTACATTCATCATATAAACAGATCTTTTTTTACAAACAAGAAAGAAAACCACTGATTACTGTCTATTAAATTATGTCTAAGAAAACTCCTTCACAGTATTTGTGTCGATGCACTTTGACTTTGATAGATAATCGCGCCAACAAAATTAACACCGCTTGCAAGAATAAATACTGGAAACCAACGACCATGACTAGCTTGTACTAGTTCAGCTGTTACAGGACCGGCTAAGATGCCAGGAATTGTCGCTAGTGTATTCGATATAGCAAATGTTATGCCGGCATGATTAGGCGCTATATCAGCATGATTCGATAAGTGACCGGCAGAGTTACATGCGCTTAGGCCCATACTGATTGATATGAAACTAGAATAATAGAAGATTAGTATGGAGATGATAGTGAAGCGAATGGGCATTACACAACAGCTAGAAGAAGATTGTCTACTGATATGAAGAGAAGCATGAAGAGGCCAGGACCGAGTAGACCAATAGCTGTCATCAATCGACGAACGGATAAGACAGTCCATCGATTTTGAATGAGCGAATCTGCAAAATGGCCTGCGGCTGAAAAAATAAATTCAATGTGTAAAATTCTTGAAGAACATTCTTGTCGGTTAAATCAAATCTTCTCGTGTACTCAATTCCGAGATACATTTACTTACCAACACCAGACAAACAATTCATAACATATGGAAATGCTGTAAATGATAAATTTGTTGGATCAGCATCAAATGTTGTTGTTAGGTACGATGGTAACCATACCATAACAATGTATGACGACCAATTCATAGCAAAATGTGCTATATAAATGGCCCATAGTGGCCAATGCGACATAAATTCGATCCATCGATAGTTTTTATTTCCTACCTAAAAGAATCATAAAATAAAAGTTTAACCAAGGAACATTCCCTATCTTTTCATTACTTTAGATGATGGATGAATGAAAGCTTCTTCATCTCCCGCATTTCCCAGAGATATATTAAAATCACGATAAGTTACAATCCACATAAATGACCACAAAAAACCCATTAAACCGAAAATAAAGAAAACTATACGCCATGCCATGTGTGGACACACCTAAATGAAAAACAACAATTCTCTGGTTGTTCTCCTCAGCTTCCGTTCGTACCACAGCTGCAAACGTTTGTCCAACTGATCCTAAGGCAATTAAATAACTAAATGATCTCGATCGTTCTTCCATTGGTACATAATTACTGAATATATGAAATATTGTTGGTAATGCTGAACAAAGAAAAACATTTTACAACATCTTAGTTTCGAATTTCTTACTTTTGACTTACCCAAACCTTCACCAAAGCCTAGCGCAATTCTAGAACATATCAATAGGAACGGTAAAGGTGCCAAAAATGGTGTTGCAAAGGTGACTAATGACCATGTAAATACCGCGAAGGCAAGAACACTTTTTGTGCCAAAACGCCGTACGAACATATGAGCAAAGATTTGACTTGTTAAGTATCCGATCGGAAACGATGATAAAACATAACCTTGTAATCGTAAATTCCAACTGAATTCCTTCGCCATTGGGATAATGGCAACTGAAAGTACCATGTATCGATGTTTGAAATGTCATAGAAGAAAACATTAAAATCAACTCACTGGGCATGATTGCTCGATCAGCAGCATTGATGAAATTCGCCAAGGAACAAAGAGTAACTGTACGAGATTTGCCGAACGACATTTATTTGAAAAAAAGTCATGTACTTCGTTTTGTTATTCCATAGTATATTTTAAATTCTCCGATTGGCTCGCTTCGATTCCAAAAGGTAAAATCATTTCGTTAGATGTCGTACTAAAAAATAATCTAAACTGGAAAACACCGAAATTCTACGGACATTTTCGATCAAAAAAGGAAAATATTTCTTTGCAAAGAAAATTTCTCTAGTCAAAAAATCTTTGCACTACAACTATCCTCCTTTATTGCATTTCAATGAGGCGATTTGGACTGGTAAACTAACGAGAAAAATGGATTCTAAATGGTATACAATAAACGACAAAGACAAACATACTTGTTGTGTTTTTTTTCTTGAAAAAATATATTTTCTCAAAAGAACTCGTCTTATGTGTTGTTTTAGATCAGTTTTATAATACCTTTAAGAGAAAACAATGGGTATTAGCCGTGACCATTGGCATAAACGACGAAAGACCGGTGGTAAACGTCCACAACCACATAAAAAACGAAAATTCGAATTAGGTCGACCAGCGGCTCTTACCAAATTAGGTGCAAAACGTATTCACACTGTTCGAACACGCGGTGGTAATAAGAAATACCGTGCACTTCGTTTGGATATCGGAAACTTCTCATGGGGTTCAGAAGGTATTGCCAAGAAAACTCGTGTCATCGATGTTATGTATCATCCATCGAATAACGTACGTCGCCTTCATTTGTTTCTTGATGAGTCCGCAGATTTTTACTTGTAATCTCCTTTTTCTTTAGGAATTAGTACGTACGAAAACTTTAACAAAATCAACCATCGTACAAATCGATGCTGTGCCATTCCGACAATGGTATGAATCACACTATGGCCTTCCACTCGGTCGTAAGAAAGGTGTGAAATTAACCGAAGCTGAAGAAGCTGTTCTCAACCGTAAACGCTCTGCAAAATCGCAAAAGAAACTCGCTGTTAAACAACGTCGTGCTAAAGTTGAACAAGGACTTGAAGAACAATTTCAAGCCGGACGTGTTCTCGCTTGTGTTGCTTCTCGACCAGGTCAATGTGGTCGATGCGATGGCTATGTTCTCGAAGGCAAAGAACTCGATTTCTACATGAAAAAAATCAAACAAAAGAAATCGAAATAAACAACGCACAAATTCGAAGAAACAACTGTGTCAAGCAAAACCAACAATTGTTTCTTTTTTTTTGTATCTTGTATCACCATCATTGTCTTGTTCGAAAAGAGAAAACAAAGAAATACAAATATCTATTTATAAAAGAAGAACGTTTTGAATAAAGATAACAAAACAAAAGCACGAAAACTTTCTGTTTTCTAGATAGATTATAAATCATGGCTGGTTCAGAATCAGTTGAACAAACCAAACAACAAGAAACACCCAAAGAAGATCCAAAAAAACCAATTGAAATTAAAGAAGAAGATTTAGTATGTTCAACCCATTCTCTATTCCGTCGTTATTACTTTTCTCTTTTACTCTAGTCGGAAGAAGATAAACAGTTGAAAGAAGAACTTGAATTGTGCGTCGAACGTTTGAAAGAGAATGACAAGAACTTGTATCGACCCGCTTTGGAAACACTCCGACAAAAGATTCGCGAATCAACTAGTTCAATGACAAGTGTACCGAAACCATTGAAGTTCATGAGACCATTCTACAACGATATGATCGCTATTTACGAAAAAATCCAAGATGTTCAAAACAAAGTAAACACTTTCTTTTTCATTAAAAGACATTTATAACGAGAATGTTTTAGACATTATGTGCTGATATTGTTTCAGTTCTTGCTATGACTACAATCGATACAAAGGAAGTTTTGAAATATCGTTTATTAGGTTCAAGTCAAGATATTGGCATGTGGGGTCATGAATATATCAGGTAGGGAAGGATTTTCCGAAGCGTTATGTATGTTGATCATGAATATGTGTAGACATTTATCGGCTGATGTCGCTTCCGAGTGGGAATCGACGGAAAATAATGCCGAACTTCGTCAACGTCTTCTCTCGTTAACTAATGAAATTATTCCATTTCTGATGCGACATAATGCTGAAGCTGATGCATGTGATTTATTAATGGAAATAGAACAATTAGATCTAATCGAAACATTTGTTGATAAAGACACTTTTCCACGTGTTTGTCTTTATTTAACCAGGTAAATTCATTCTATTCTATCAAAATGAATCTCAATGATCATGTTTAGTTGTGTACCATATGTACCTGAACCAGATGACACAAAATTATTACGTACAGCATGTAAACTTTATCGTCATTATGATCAATATCCATTAGCATTACGTTGTGCAATACAATTGAATGACATGGATCTTATACGTGATTTAGTTAATACATGTCCAACTAGGTAAATTGAACAATGAAATATGAAACTGAATTGATTATGTGTGTTTTGTTTTATTTTTAGTTTAATTAAAAAACAATTGGCATTTCTCTTAGGCCGACAGCAAATCATTTGGAATGTTGCTGAAGTTAACGGTGAAGATCCGGATGAACTGACGAACATTATGTCAAATTCACATTTAACAACAAACTTTTTGTCATTAGCTCGTGAATTGGATATTATGGAGGCGAAATTACCCGAAGATATCTATAAAACATACCTAGATAATACCAATCGTTCGAATTACAATCAACCGGATTCAAGTAAACAAAATCTAGCATCAGCTTTTGTCAATGGATTCGTCAATGCTGCATTTGGACAAGATAAAATCGTCACGCAAGACACAAAATGGTTGGCCAAATATAAAGACAATGGCCTTTTAAGTGCAACCGCATCACTCGGTCTTATTGTACTTTGGGATGTCGACGGTGGTCTCAGTTTAATCGATAAATACCTTTATAGTGTTGATGACAACATGAAAGCTGGAGCACTTCTAGCCTGTGGTATCGTAAACTGTGGTGTCCAAAACGATTGTGATCCAGCATTAGCTCTTCTTGGTGATTATGTATCACATAAAGATGCACCATTCCGCGTCGGTTCAATCGTTGGGTATGATTGTTTGATTTTGTTGATAGATCAGCATCTTAGTGGTCTTTTCTTTTAGTTTGGGTCTTGCGTACGCAGGTACAAATCGGGATGATGTCATTGAAATGATCAGCAATGCATTACGTGAAGGCAATCCATCTATGGAAGTAAGATGAAGACGTCATAATGCTTCTCTTCTTATCAATTTCGTTTGTAGATTATTTCTCTCGCATGTCTTTCAATTGGTATCATTGCTGTCGGTTCATGCAATGCTGATGTTTCAACGACATTGTTAAGCGTTCTCCTTGAACGAAGTGAAATTGAACTCAAAGAACACTTCGCTAAATTCATCGCCCTTGCTATCGGCCTTCTTTTTCTTAGTATGTTTTCTTCGTTTAGTGGACATGAGCAAGATTTCGATATATGCACTTTTTAGGCAAAGGTGAAGCAGTTGAACCCATGCTTGAATCTCTGAAAGTAATCAGCGAACCATTACGTTCATTTGCTACTGTACTTGTCGAATGTTGTGCATACGCTGGAACCGGAAACGTATTGAAAATTCAACATATGTTACATATCTGTAGCGAACATTTCGATAACAAAGACGAGAAGAAAGTAAGTTTCATTGGACAATTGTAGTCATCGAAGAAAAAACTGTTTGATTGTAGGAAGGTGAAAAAGAATCATCGAAAGATAAAGACAAGGATAAAAAGAAAGATGATGAAGCTGCATCTCAAAACGCTGCCCATCAAGGTTTGATTTGCAATAAAATTATTGTTACATTAATGAAAAACATTATATTCTTTCAGCTGCCGCCGTACTTGGTATTGCAATGATCGCCATGGGCGAAGAAATTGGTTCTGAAATGGCATTACGTACATTTGGACATTTAGTAAGAATGACTGTTTTCTTTCTTCTGACTTCTTATAACTTGTTACTTTCCATAGTTACGCTATGGTGAACCAGTTATCAAACGAGCTGTTCCACTTGCTCTTGCTCTCTTGTCTGTATCAAATCCCAAATTGAACATCATTGATACATTGAGCAAATTCTCTCATGATGCTGACCATGAAGTTTCATACAACTCGATCTTTGCGATGGGTATCGTTGGTGCTGGTATGTCAAAAACCAATGAATAGAGAGATTTGTCAAACTGACACTTGATCTTTTCTTCAGGTACGAATAATGCTCGTTTAGCTGCCATGCTTCGACAATTAGCTATTTATCATGGAAAAGACATGAACAACTTGTTCATGGTTCGTCTTGCACAAGGTCTTACACATCTTGGCAAAGGTACCATGACATTGAATCCATATCACAGTGACCGTATGCTTCTCTGTCGTGTGGCATTGGCTGGTTTACTTACTGTCTTAGTTTCACTTTTCGACGTTAAACAAAGTAAAAGCACGACAAGTACGTTTTGATCATTGACATATCTCTTGTCATTTAGCAATTATCGGTAAATATCACTATTTACTATATTTCCTTGCATTGGCTATTCAACCACGTATGCTTGTAACATTCGATGAATCACTTCGACCATTACCCGTTCCTGTTCGTGTTGGTCAAGTAAGTTCCCCTGAAATACGGACCTAACAAATGAAACCATTCAAAAATCTACTTTAGGCAGTGGATGTTGTCGGTCAAGCTGGTAAACCAAAAACCATCACTGGCTTTCAAACACATACAACACCTGTCTTGTTGGCATATGGCGAACGTGCGGAATTAGCAACTGAAGAATACGTTACGTTAACACCAGTCTTAGAAGGCTTTGTTATCTTACAAAAAAATCCTAATTATGTACCATGATCTTCTTCTTTTTCTCTTCTCTTCTTTTCTTTCTTGCAAAAAATGTTCGTCTTACTCTACATAATCGAGAGACCTTTTGTTTATTAAAGCAAGCAAAGCCAAGCCAGAATTGAGTCTTTCTCCTTGTTGTCGTCTGTTCTCTATTTTACTGTTTTTTTCTTTCTTCTCCCTTTCGGTTTTTTTTATAGTTGAAAATATATGATCAAATCATGCGATCGACAACAGTCCAATTGTAGATGAATAGTTCCTTTCATGACTCAACAGAAATACGTTTATAAGTCAGTCTTTTCACGTCTATTACATTTCATATCAACCAACTTGATTCAACATGAATAGAATTCTTGAAGGAACAAATTAAATGAAGACTGTTGGAGGAGTTTTCACAGGTAAATAATTTTGTAGGAAAATTTTTGTCATGATTACGAAAGGATGTGGTCATGAACAGTCATCAGTAGAAGTATCTATTCAAGCATTCTACAATGAACTAAATCACGAAAAGGTCATCTGTAAATTATGAAAGGAATAGCTATTCTCTTATAAAGTAGATAGTGATTAAATATTATAATGAGCAGCTAAGCCTTCTTATTTTACTCTGATTATTTGAGTATTCCGTAATTAAATTTAATGTTCTTGGCAATTAGAACACTTCAGGCTGTACATTCATCAAAATCTGAGAGGAAAATTAGTTGCAACGTAACCCACTCATATGCATAAATAATTCAAATATTTTTGGAAGGAGAAAGGCTCTGCAAAAGAGCGATATGTCAGACTGAATGAAAATGACGTATTGAAAAATAAGAAAATCAGCACTGTTTGTCCTACAAGAACTCGAATAAATGAATAATGAGCGCAGCCATCGAAAGGAAGGAAACCTCGTCATCCGTCTTCTCTTGAATAAATATTAGGAAAGTCATGTTCAATGTAAGATCTCATTTCACCAATGTGAAAATTAACCGTTTCTGTCACCTGACATCTTTCTCTCTGTTTCCTTTCAACCGGCAAATGAATTTTCAAGCGAAATGTTGCTTTCATGTATTCAACTCGGATAGCAATGCGACTTGCGTAGACGCAAATAGTGTTTTGCTTCAAAGCTCTCCGCATGTGTCACAACGAATTTGTTACAATCAAAAACATTTCTGCTTTGTATCTTTTCAAAGACATTTACCGGTCGAGACGAGTCTTATTATTTGCAAACAAAGGCCTGCTTTGTGTATGCCGATTCGAATATTGACAATGATATTTATGTTGAGAAAGGAAGGACCACAATTCGATGCACTGTGAACACAGAGGAGGTCTTTTTTTTGTTGACATATATAATTATCAGTTTGTTGAGATGACTTTCTTTGGGATGAAATTTAATCTTCTAGGCAAACATAGTTGATTAATATTCAACTCGGAAGTTGACTTCGTCTTATCTGTCATTATAAGTATTTTCGTCTGTGATCTAGACGTCAAACACACGTTCAACCTCTTTGAAAGGAAACATGTCATCTGCAGAATAAATTTGACCGTAAAAGCAAGTTCACTGATTAATCCAACATAAACAGGAGAAATTGTGAACTATAGTTAGTATTCTTGTCAACAATTGCTTTTGAATAGAAGAATAAGTCGAATGGTTGAATGATTTAGCACCCTGTATTATTTTTACTTTCAGCAGACATATACTCAGAAATTAACAGAACAAAGAAACATGAATGCGTCTATTTTCATTGGTCGTCGTCGTTGTTGTTGTTGCTCGTGAATGTTAAGATTTGCTGCCGTCGGTAACATTGGCACGTGCAGATATATTTTTGCTTGAAATAATACTTACGTCGTTTAGTTTGTTGCATTTTCATGCACTTTATTCCTATCAACTGGTTAAGAACGACTGCAATCCGTTTATCAAAAATAAAGTACGGAAGAAACCGAACGGACAAGCAAAACAGATGACCAGTGTGTTGTAACAATTGTAGGAAATACGCTTGCTCATCGGTTAGTAGAGCGCGTTCACGATAAACAAAATACATCGTCGAATATTTATTAATCATAATTGGTAAATAAAATATAATTGAAATGAAGCTTATTGACAGAGTAATCAATAATACATCCTGATGCCGTTGTTTGTTGGTTAAAATAGGTTCATTCGATAGATTCAACATGTCTGGTAATTCCATTGTTACTGCGACGGAATTTGGTTCTTGATTGATAAGATTATTCTGTTGAACTAATAATGTAGCAAATGAGTACGGTTTGACCATTGCTGACAGATTCGCTTCTGTCTGGTTGCAAAAGCAACTCTTCTTACAACAAATCAAACTGATTGTGTACATTAATAAGGCAATAATCCATCCGATATAGACGAGAATGTCTGTGACTTCGGCAAAAACCTGATTGATATTCTGTACAGCTGTGACTATGGGTGATGTATTCATATCGATTGTACAATAACGGATGTCGGTGGCATTCTCATCAGGAGTGATCAATTCGATGGATGTCGAGCTGAGAACACTTCGAATAATGATGAATGCAAGGACAAACACAATTGATAAACGTCCACCGATTTGACCTAAAACTGTGTCATATTTTCGAACATAATTTGTTAGACCGTGTAGAAGGCAAATAAGAAGAAGTAGAGTTGAGCCAGTAAAAGTAAACGGGGTTAGAAAGAATGATAATGGACAAAGAATTTCATGATTTATTAGATTAACGTAATGATCGACGGTAAGAACAATACTAACATAAACTGTACAATATAATAGATCACATAAAGTCATTAGCATTAATAGGAAATATGTTGTACATTGTTGTCGACCGATAAGAGACAGGAAGATGATAAGGAGGAAATTAAAGAGAAGACCCGTGCATGATAAAACGAAGTTTGTTGATCGGATGTATCTGATAAACAAATCATAATTTTCCGGCGCGAGATTGATCACGCTTGTATTCGTATTCATCTAGAAAAGAAAGTTTCCTTGTTTAGAATGTATCTAGTCGAGAGTTGGAATCGGAAGAAAGACAAATCGGCCTGTCAATATGTTTTTCAAATTAGAAAACATTTCTTCTCTCTCTCTCGTGTCATTTCCTACCTTTGACAAGCACTTCTGACATATATATTTGATTGATTAAAAGTAAAGTTTTCGAGAGAATTAACTACGTTGAACTCAGATGTATTTTTCTTCTCTTTCTCTCTCTCTCTCTATCTCGAAAGGATGTGATGTAGAAAGGAAAGACTTCGTTTTCTTCCTCTCTTTCTATCCTTTTCTTTGTCACTTGGGTGTTGTCATCAAGTTTATAGTTGTTTTGCTGGAGCTGTGTAAACGTTCACATATGATATTTGGCAAATTTAAAGGTTTTCATATATTTCCTGATGTGAATAAAAGCAAAGAAACATTTCTGTCTGACAGAGGAAATTGAATGGATCTCTTCATGACAATTCAATGAATGTGACTGATGACGATAAAAAAGTTATCTTTATTAATGTTTTTTAAAATAGAAAAAAAACTTTGTTTACTCACTTTACTTTTAACGATCTATGACGAAGACGCGAGAAACTTTCTGTTCTTTTTGTTCTCTGAAGAACTATTCGCAGACGGAAATCGCTCGATGAATAGAATGATTTTATGTGAGAAAATCACTCGATAAGTTTGCCTATTATAGAATAAACAATGCAATTTCTATCGATGACGAATGCAAAAGCTTGAATGTATATATAATAGCTCATAATAATGAAATTTACAAAGGATCGTACCCGTTACAGCTCAGATAATTGAATGAGAACAATACTAGTGATCCCGTTGTTCGCTTCTTTCATTTTCTTTCGAAGAAAGACATTCATACGGTTAACAACAATGAAATTAACTTACAAAACAAGTCAACTTGTCTAGAAGCTTTGTCATTTATGTTTGTTCGCCCTTTTTTAATCGCATTATTAACTGTATACGGTTAATTATACCGTTTTTCATCACTTGCCGTTGCACAAAAGAAAACAAGTCATCTGTACTGAATTAGTTTAGTCCGTATGAACACTGTACCGCAGCGGAAAGACATTGCACCTTAACAACGTCTCATGATGGATTGGGTTTAAGACGGTGAGGAAAAGCTGGTTTTGAAGATTAGAAAGATTGTGTTTTGCCGGCGGTAAGTACCTTGTCAAATTGATGCTTTCGTTCATTACGAGAAAAACACGATCTTGTAGATGATACCGTGAAATCAAAGGGGTTCAAAAGATGCAAAATCTCATCTTCTCTGAGACAATCTGATCTGTTAATCTAATGTTATTTTAATGGGAAAAAATATTGCTAAAGGCCCTGTACCGACGTTTAAGACGTGTTGTCGATCTCATGTAAACACATCACAATTATGTACTTCGTCGACATCAGGATATCTATAAATACTTTCTTGGATGAAACTGGCAATTAAATGCAATATTGATTGATTCATTCTAATCCATCCCATAATGCATGTCTTAATTTCAGTAAACAGGGAAAGAGAAGCTAAAGGTTAACTTACACTGACATTGCCTAATTTGATCTAACAATGGATAATAGCCGTGCAACATGTTGAGAAGACAGCTGTGATCAAATGAAATGGTTTCAGTGGTCGTTTCATGACAATATATGAAATCACATCCTTGTGCTCGTTGCATGCTTAGGCACGTCTTATTTTCCGTATGGTAAAATCTAATCTTTGAGTATCAACATGCACAATCTAAAAGACTTTTCATTTTGACCTTGATACGCATCCCAGGAGAAAATTATTTTCATGCAACATATGCGTACACAGACCACTGAAATGATCACATGAATGAATATGATATGGAGCAGACGAACGAGATGATTCTGATGGGAAGTCTCTTCTAATTAATTAGCAATTTTTTGTTGGAAAACTCGTTTCGAATAAAGTATCAATTGTACTGTGAAATTTGTATACATTATCCTATACAATTACAATCATTTGGAAAGCGAATAGCGTATCTCAACCTTAAAATATGCTCTAAAAACCCAATCATGCAAGCAAAATTATTCATAATAGTCGACATGCTGCTTTGCTTTCTAATTTTAACGTAAAGATAGAGAATATCTACGGATAATCTTTCTTATTCGGCATCGATACTCTCCAGGAACATTTTCTCTCTGACGTTCGAAGCAAAATCATGATTTTCTGGAGACAAAAAGCATTCTCTTATCACTTTACTTACTTTTAAAAAAACTTTATTCTAAATATCTGATGAATTGTTAAATGTGCACTTATCTCTTGAGGTGGTTGCGTTCTTGATGATCGTGTGCGCTCTTGTAAATGAAGAAAAATTTGTGAATCATCTTCGCAAAGGATTTAATCATATTCTTAAGTCTTACCAGGGTCTCCGAAAATTCAATCTGCACTCCTGTTCATATTAAATGCATCAAATTAATAATAGATAAGTTAATTAATGTCTATTTTTGTCTCACAGTCTAAAATCACGTGAAATGACGTCAACGAAAGTAACTATTGATGTGACATCCGCAAAAATCAATCGACCAGCAATTCATTTACTGCGACGTGAAGGCTAGAATTCTAAAAAACCGGAAGTTCCGGACGGTTCGTCTTTCAATTAACGTACACATTATCTCTACATGTTATATATTGTCGTGAAATTGATAGAAAAAAAAAGTTAATAAATGTCAAGTACTTCGAACGACGACGTTCGCGTCAACTCTAAAAAAAAAGTTCTTATTAGAAGCAAATCAACGTTTTAATAAATCAAACATATTTGTCTAAAACAGAACAAAATCTATCTTCGATATATAGAACATTTCATTGTCGAAAGTCTATCATAAACAATTATCATTGTACCGAATAAAATGTCCTGGATATATTAGCACGAATGGCATAGACCTCATCTTCTGTGATAGATTATTTTGCACTCACTCGCCTTAAAGCAACAAACCATATGTTTGGCCTGAAACTAAGTGACACTAGAACAATAATTTCCTGGAAATTAATTTTCCAATGCTACGCAAAAAACTAGGATATATTTGCATATAAATGAATAATCTTAACTGGAAAAGTGCAGGATATAAAATATGCCTTCGAACCATTCGTATATTACTTTGCATAGGTACACATAGTACAAAGCAAAGCTGAGAACAACGATGAATTGTGCGTTGCACTATAAAAACTACTCAATGAGTAACTGTTAGTAGAGAAAAGGCGCATTAGTGCCTATTAATTTAGTCAAAAAGAGCATTTGTCACGAGTGATACTATGGCGTTGTTCTTATCATAATAATTCAAGTAGTTGGATGTTCGATAAACAAGTTCTGAATGAGTGCATCTTACTAATTCGTCGATATTCACCGTCGTTGTATAGTCTCACCTATTGCTACTGATTAAATACTTATCTATACACGCAAGAATAACATTCATTATATGTTTTATCGAAGGAAGAAGAACTAATGTTGATCGTACTTTCTTCTTCACTAAGAAATTTAACAATGTTCTGGAATGTCAGTCGAAGCCATGACAAAGATATGCTTTTCCTTCTTGTAATTTGATTCCAAAGATCAAGTCGCAAGAAAGTCTCATTGTCTCTGTAATAAAAAGTCATACTGAAAACTTTTTCCATTCATCGAATCGTATGATTAGATATACATGAAAGAATAGATACTTATTACGCTTGATATTCCGATTCCAATGATATGTTCAGATTTCCTAACGAGAAAACCGATCGGATGCCACTTTGTCTTAGAGTAAAAGAACTCTTTCTGTCGTTCAATTCTATCGTTAAAACTAACAGCCAAGAATTCGGCATGTTCTCTCCTTTATCAAATATCAATATTATATTCGCACATCCGAAACGTTAAACCATCAAACCCTGGTCATGCTAAATCGAACATTTCCTTCGCGTGTCAATTCATTTAAGCTGATAATATTTTAAGTCCATTCCATAACAACAACAACAAAATCATGTATTTCTAATTGGAATGATAAAATGTTGAAAACAATCGTTGTTCTTATCAAATAATCTTAACGACAAGAAAAATAAGTTACTAATTTAGGAGGAAAGAAAAACAACCAAATAGTATGTATATAAACTCTTAATCAACAATCGCAAAAGCTTCTCGTAAGAATTGTTTGAAATTAAGAACAAATGTTAATAATCCAAATAAAAATAATGACAAGCCAATCATCATCAAATGCTGGGGCAAACTCGCGCGCAATCGTCGCGTCAATCGATGAAGACGAAACGCAATCCGCATCATATATTGAAAGATTTTCCACACAGTTAATACATGTAAAACACAGAAAAGAAGTCGAATCGCGATGGTGTATTGACCGAAATCGAATCGATAGCGTTCGGAAAGCCACCAGCAGTATGAAAGCCACAAACCGCTGAACACAAATGCTAAGCGAAACTGATTTCGAGAAATAAAATCATTTTCTTCTTCGTCTGTTGTTGTCAATGTTTCAACTCTTGTTGTCGATGGATATGGAATGGCAATGGGTATTTTATTAGATGTTTTATAAATAGGAGTTGTATCCATGCGATGAAAATTTCATTAGAATTTTTTCATCTACAAAATCAAGATAAAAGAGAAACACAAGACAGAACAAAGAACTATCGTTTAGTTTTATTTGACGAAATGACAAAAAAACATGTTAGACACGAATTTGTAGCGATTCTTTAGGATTCCGTCTCGCCGGATTGTTCTTCCGAATTGATTGCCTCCTGTATGGTTTCACGTTCTTGTTGTTTGATTAATTTTTTCAGAATATCAACACGATTTAATATCTTGTGACATTTTAAACGGAGATATTCCTTTGATTGTTCGTTCGCACAGGGACGAGACATGAATTCATCCATTAGATAATCAACACCATCGCGATAATGACGTATAGCTCCGTAATAATCTCGATTATGATCAAGCGTTTTTGCTTGTTCAAGTAATGTTAATCCCTGTTTTAGTTTATCAAAATCACCTGTGCTTGTACAAACGTCCAAACAAACGTTTTCATTAATTGGAGTCATGGCTGCGTAAGCTGAAAAAGCACATGAATATATGAGAGAATTTCGAAGTTTATGGAGCGTTCTTACCACCCGTATTATTGTCCATAAGTGAGCTTTTATGTCGATGTATTCGAACTAGTTGGGAGAAAGAAAGAAGAAAGAAAAAGGACACAGTATAAGGCGAATGTTCGCTCTCATTTCCTTGTCAAACTTAGACAGAAAGAGAAAAGAGAAATAGAAAAAAAAACCTACACCAAACATATATTTAGATTCAGAGTTCATTACTAGCGGACGAGTTGTAAAAGAAAATCCGAGAAGCACGTTCATCATTGAGGAAAGGAGAATGTATGCAACAACTATTATCATAATTCCAACATTCAACGATTCGTTTTCTTTTCCTCTTTCGCCGCTGTCTGGAAAGTTTTCTTTTTCTTCTTTCGTCCTGTTCTCGTGCTGTTGACGCTGCATCGTTCAAAAGAAAAAGTCATCCTCTTGACGCTGTAACCACAACTTCAATCAACTGAATGCCATGACAAGAAAGAGAGAAAATCAATAATAAATATTTCAACCTATGAGAGAAATCCTTTCTTATCCCGAAGCTTTCTAGACGTTAATCAAGTGCCATTTGTGAATACATTCGGTTGCTTCTACTAATGATGATCCTATTAGAATTGCAATGAACATGAACTATTAGTTGAAGAAAAACGGAGATAATAAAATCACATCAGATGACAAATCATCGAAATGACTGCAACGAAAAACTTCGATACGATCGATTTCTCTCGAAAACGAACGTCATATTAAATCAAACTGATGCATTTGTTTTACAATCCCTTGAGAACGTATTTTCAATTCATCTTTATTTTACATATTCACTCCTCTTACTTCTCTAAAGCGCTTTTTTGTCTCTGGAAACTAAGTCTCTCTTCTCGTCATCGAATGACACTCATTAAACAATCAGCCAGCCATTATATTCTCTATTCTTTGAGCTGTTTAGTCATTATAACAGCTTCGATCACATTTATTCTAAGTCTCTATCGATTACAACGTGATGCAAGTCTGTTGAATCGTGAACGTAAACGTGACTATGTTAGTAATAAAATAAATAAATCATTTCCAACGATTGCTATTATCATTAGCATTATTGTATGTCTTTCGTCTATTCTTGCATTTATTGCTGTTCTTCTCGATGGTCGAACGGAAATGTTGATCATTTCCATTGTCTCGAATATTATTCTAGGCATTGGTCTCATTGTTCTGGCGGTTATTATGCTCGGATTCGTGCAGAATATTGTGGACAATTTCTCTATTGATATCGAACGATTGCTCGTCGATTTCATTCTTCACAATAGTAAGTGATCAGCATTTCAAGATGAACAAGTCGACCGAAACTAGGAAATCTAGAGACATCAGCACGAGATGAATTGCTCAAGATTGAAAATAGTAACGATTGTTGTACAACACAAGATTCAACATGGACGAAGCAATACTCTCAAGCAGCAGAATGTAATCGTAATGATAAATATCGATTGTTATATGCTGATCAAGATGAACAACGTGGTTGCGTGAAAATAATCACTCGAGCCGCATTAACATTTGTGCCTATACTCATTTCAGAGATCATATCTGGCTGTCTTTGTCTTCTGTTAGGCTTATGGACAATCTATGTTACATGTCACATGACCGATCAATACGATCATAACAATGAGACTCGTCCAATGCAACCTGAAACGAAATATTCGTATTATCCAGCGAATAAAACAATACAAAACCTCGTCGCTAATATGCCGATAAATGATGAATATCAAATGAATAAATTAACAGATAATCACATGGTTACTCGTTACTCTCATCCAACAAGTCCATTGAATAAAACAGATAAATCTCTATATGTAAATACATACGAAAAATCAAATTTTGAATAAATCTAAGATAATTGCATTTGGACTGCAATTCAGTTCGTTTCATTGCTGACAAATTGATACTTTAGAAAATGAATTCATTATATATGAAAATGCTGATATTGGTTTCAATGAAAATCAGGCTGTTTTCTGTCGACTTAATCACGCAACTGATTTGCAAGATAATAAATAAATGATAAATATTGAAATGCGAAGCGATAATTTATTCTCGAATAAGAAATATTCATTTTCCTACAAATAGAACAACGGTTTTTCATCTTCTACGCACAGATTTACTTTTCAAGTCAATCACATCATCAAAATTACCTTTTTATAGAGCACGTCTTCTTTTCCCCTAATGAATATACATTGATTAAAGATAATTACAATCTCATAAATATCTTCATTCATCAATTACATATTAATCAATAATGTTTTTTTCTGTTTGTCTGCCATTCTTGCTTTGATATTAACTGTCAAATTGAGAGTGCAAACCTTGTATAAACAAATTCGTTGTTTGACGTTGACAAGTTCGATGCTTTTATAAGCATATACAAAATAGAAATTGATTTCATGCGTAGGCGATCGATGATCTCATCAAGGTAACATTAAATATACTTCTATTCGACTAGTCTATGTTCGTTTCTTTTCTCTTTCATTGAAGAAATCTTCCATTATGATTTTCGACATTGATTAATTTATCGATCGCACTATTTATCTTGATTTGTGAGACCATGACTATATTACATGTCGTTTTATCATGTGTCACAGACTCGTCTAGTTAAGATAAATACCGTTTACTTACTTCATTAGACTTCTGTTCAAATCGGAAGTTTTACGAACACAAACAACAATCTTGAACGAACCAGTCAGAACGTGAATGTTACATTTCATGTTTGGTTATCTGAAAGTGAACATTGAGGATTTACTTAATGATGAGCAGTGGAGGTGGTTAGTTAAAGAGATTGTGAGTCGATTACGTTGCCTGATCTCATCGTTTGACAGCTATTTAAATAATTCGGCTGTTATTCGATTGGTAATGGCAAATGTCAATGAGCGATTAGATATTTAGTGATAAAGGTCGAAAAAACAACAAGTTTTTTCTTATCATTAGATTGTGACTTCGCATATATAAGACGATTGATAGTAAGTTTACTGAATAGTAGATGTTCCCGTCGATATGATTTCTAATCTGATTGAACAGATAAATCTTCCAAATCAATATTCGACTAGAATAATCGGCTTTTTCCATAAGATGTTCGATTATGATATATTTTTGTCCTATTAAAGTGATTCTATTATTTTTTTTAGGAAAAGAGCGATTAGATTCTGCTATATTTGATCAGTCTACATAGTTTTTCTTCGTCTACATTTCTCATATTTTTCTTCTCGTGTTCGTTGCGCATTCTAATACGATTAAGGGTGTGTGCAGTTGAAGGAGTATGCTCTATCAGCTAGATTATATAGACAGCGCATGGTCGCTATGCGTTATTAGTGACAAGTAGCATGAAATAGATATAGCGACATGAAGGAAAGCTTTCAGAATATTTTGATTATTGATGATAAGAACTCGACAACGAACGGCACATATAAGATTTTGTTACAATTATTAGATATAGATTGCGAGAAACTCTCGGTATTAGAATGACAAGAAGTTAAACGGAGGAAAGAAACGACAGTTTCGTTCTCTAATATAGGACTTGCAGATAATCGTATTTCTCACTGTAGATAATATGTAAGATGAGGGAAGTAAATCAATGAAAAGTTTACAATTGCTTTTTTTCTCTTTTGTTAGCTTTCCTTGAATGCACTGCGATTCATGATATATTTAGAAAGAAATAAGGATGGAAATAATCGGTTTTTCAACTTCTTTGTTTTCGAGAAAGTCATTGAATGAATGGACATTATCTAATACCTTTTTTTTGAATCGGATGAAACAATTTCCGATGAAACCTGAAGTGAATAAAGAACCAGACGCGAGACAATGACGTAGGAGATATTCCATATCGTGTACTTTTCTCTCCTAGAAAAACAAATTTCATCAGTTCTCGATGCAGAACAATGACGTCTGCGAAGAAGACAGTCAAGTTAAGCAGAGATTCTTCATCATTGCTTTGTTCGCTCGTACTATTGCGTGATTAATCATGAAAAATTCGTTCTGATGCTTGTATTCTGCATCTGCATACATATACATTTGAATGAAAAAATACTTCGGAGAATCATTCATGTATACGACACGCACCATATGGATGCTTCTTTTCTTGATGGTTTTTACTACAGTGACATTCTTTTCGATTGTTGTCGAGAGAGATATCTTTATTTAATGAAAAGAAGACAATAAATTCTTTAACTAACGAGAGAACGTTCCCAAGTATTCAAGACATTTAGGCTACGCCTTTTGACAATAGGTAAAACTCAATGAGATATGAGACATCTCAAAAGGATTCGTGCGCTTAGGCTTTCTATATGGAGTTGTAGGTGTTTTATTGAGATTTTCGTCTATACCAAGGCATCTACTAACAAATCGAACGTCAGTATTTTGAGCTGATGTCTTACTTATAGATAAGTATATTGATAGATAGAAAGTCCTGAAAACTTCAGCTCAAAGCAATGTTTTCTGCCAGAAATATCAAAACCTAAAAATCAGCCTTCTCTTTCTAAAGACGCTTCAGTTGTTCGTTTTTTTAGATTTTGACATTTCTGGAAGAAAACATTGCTTTGAGCTGAAATTGTCAGGACTTTCTATCTACCAATATACGTATGTGTAGGTAAAATCTCAGCTCGAAATGCTGGTATTCGATTTGTTAGTAGATATTTTGGTATACGAGAAAAATTTCAATAAAACACTTACAACTCCAGATAGAAGGTCTAAGCGCATGAACCTTTCCGTAATTTTTCGAATCTCATAGAGATTTACCTATCGCCAAGATGTGGTACTGAAAGGTCTTGAACACCTGAGGAAATTCCCTCGTAAGTTCGATACGAAACAAAAATCCCCGAATGTCATTTTATCTTTTGTTTTCATACAGTTCGGAGTGATGTGTCGAGATCCTACTTTTTCATTACGATCTGATACATGCTGTGCTGTGCAATCATCGTATAAGGCTCGTGTGGAAACACTAATAACACAGTGTGGGCACGTTGTCAAGAAGATTTACTGATAAAAATGGTTAGATGTACTTGTACAGAGTGTTGGCTTCTTAAGGCAGCTTTGTTTGTTTTTTATTCGAAGAGATACTCGAGTAATCTTACGGTTTTTTAAGATGGAGAGAGAAAATGACTCCAGAGAAACATGAATGATTTCGGAAATGAGAAAAAGAGAAAATGAAAGAGAATTTGTCACAATCAGTTCTTATTCCTTCATGTCGAATGTTTTTTTACTCTTATTCACCATCAATTACACTTGCAATCCTTTTCTCTCTTCTGTTCGTCTTGGCTTTTTTTTACGATGTCACTTGTATTCATTTCACTGTCATCTTTCCGATGGCATAATAATGACATGTCAATATCAGCAAAAACGATAGACTTGCCGCTGTTCAATTCATTGCGTTTTTTTCATTTAATCCGGTTCGCTCAATGAAGAAGATTATTCATCGTATACTTTTCTGAGAAAACATTTTGCTTTCGTTTTCACACCTGTTCTCTTCATATAAAGAAAAGATTCCACCATTTCTTCCATCGAGAATGAGCATACTTCTTTTCTTCTTATTCTGATGATCATGCTTATGTGAATCTAGCTTACATGTCAAATGAAATTACACGATGGTTGACGTTTTCTTGCTTAAGTTTCTTTTTTCTCCTAATTCAACTGAATTATAACAAGAAGAACAGAGCATTTTTTCATAATTTGTTTTAAGATCTGAGAAAAACTTCTTTAGATTTTATTTTAAATACTCAGATTAACGAACAACCGATGATAATTCCGTATTTATGTTGATAAATGAGTATGAATGACACGTCACAAGTTATATCATATAATTCGACAATCTTCGTCGAAAAAATTATACAAAAAATCATCCTTGGTGGTCTACTTTCGGGCTTATCAATATTCACTGTCTGTGGTAATCTTCTCGTACTCTATGCAATTCAAACCGAGAAATATCTTCGCACGGTGTCGAATTTATTCATTCTTAGTCTCGCAATAGCCGATCTGGCTGTTGGTTTATTCGTTATGCCTTTAAGTTCGGCAACTGTTATCACAGGTCGATGGCCATTCTCATCGGTAATCTGCAAAATGTGGTTATCGATCGACTATGTAGCCAGGTATAGAGTGACTAATCTCTTTAAATAGTATACAGAGAACATCCGGTTTGTTTTAGCACTGCTAGCATCTTCAATCTTGTCCTGCTCAGTCTTGATCGTTATTGGGCTGTTGTTTATCCTTTACGTTATCTGCAACAGCGAACGCGTAGTCGTGCAACGATATTTATTCTTATAATATGGTTTGTCGCATTATTATGGGCGCCTGCAGTTATCTTTTGGTCATATATTGCACCTAAACACAGTGATATTATTAATCACGATGAATGTGATACATCATTTCGTTTGAACAAAACATTTAAAACGTTGACAGCATTAGTCAATTTCTATGTACCTTTGTTAACTATGATTATTATTTCGTGTCGTATTATGGTGGCAATCCGTTCTCGATCGAATATGGAATTTGGTCGACGTATATCATCAGCCACACAAAAACAAATGAAATCTGATCGGACTCACGCGGCCACCATCTCCCGGAACGACAATGATACCATTCAAAAATTGGATGAGACAAATATTCAGGCAATCGCGACTATTATCGCTGCCAGTTCATTGGATCCATCAGATTGTCAAGAGAATCAATTTGACGACATCAGTGAACCTGGCCAATGCCTTTGTTCGACATGTAAAAGTGTCGGAAAAGAAGAACATGAAAACCTTTGGCAATTACAAAAGAAGCCTATGCTACCATCATTACGACAATGCTATTCTGATCGTCCGATGAAACCAACGGCAATGATACCAAGGAAGACAGCTACATTTTCAATTGAAAAAGATGATAACAGTCGCAATAAAGATCCTCATCAAGTATCAGCACAGAATCACGTCAACAATTTTGTTCATGTCTCGAATCATGTCGAGTATGCCGACTTAATCGATCGATCAAAAGAGGAACTTTCATCGAATCGAAAGAATCAATCACGACAGCGAACATTTTCTATCGGTTCAACCAGCTCTTCTGAACAATCATCTGGAGCTAAATCGTCTCGTTTTTCTCGGAATTTAGTTAAAAATAAGCTTACTTTGTAAGTTTTCCGATGACGTTTCTTATGTTTCTTCTATGTACTTATTTCCTAGATCAAAATCTTTCTCCGACCAATCGTTACCCACTGAAGCTCATCTCAAAATTCCGTCGGCCAACGACAAATCCTCGTTTTCATCAATCAACGGTCGCTCATCAACGAATACCAGTCCACTTAGAACGACGAAAATCAATTTCTTCAATGCCTTACTCAACCCGAGTCGTTCGAACTCATTACAAAAAGAATTAAAAGCAGCCCGCCAATTAGGAATGCTCGTTGGAGTGTTCACCATCACCTGGTTGCCCTATTTCATTCTATTCTTAGTTGTTGCATGGTGTAATCATTGCATCTCGGAAAAGGTTTTCACCGCATCGATATGGTTGGGTTATTTGAATTCCGCCATCAATCCGCTGATCTATCCTCTCTGTAATGCACATTTTCGACGCGCTTTTCAAAAGATTTGTTACTGTAAACACGCGAAAACACAACTACCGAATTTAAATGCCTTACGTGAACTTCATGCACTGCATGCAAGGCGCCGCCAACGATAAAGTCTTCTATGAATATTTGTTTGTTTTCATGCTTTGTTATGTTGATTTTCTATCTCAGTTCGTTTTCTTTCTTGTTTTTCTATTTTGTAAACCAAACAGATGTTTTCTAGTATAAATCTCACATTTGCAAGACGGTGAAAAGGGTAGTTCATGTCTGTAAAACATGAACTAATGCTATAATTGCATCCTATCAAGTATATTTTCACCATTATTATAAATCATTTCAGGTAATCAATGTCATCGAATATGAGATGAATAATGATGATTAATGTCTATTAGATCAAAGAAGTCAGTAACATGTTGAGTTACCTGTCTATTCGCTATTTTTGTCTGACAAACTAGATGAACAAATCGTGTTGTCAATGAGCAATTATGTCAATAGACGAAAATTGTTAAAAAAAATGAATGACATTTTTTAGTTGAGAACAAGTACCCAAAAATTTGCGGAAATTCATTAAGATCAAATGTCTTTAGATTAATCTTATCAATAGCATTCTCATATCCTGATACATTATTACTCGTGAGAAGTAAACGAGTCTTAGATTTCGCAAGAGATTAATATGTGGCTAGCTGTAAAAACGGAATGCTCGGTGAGAGAAAAAATTTCTTTTTGCTATCGAAATGTATATATCTACGATGGTTGAAAATGGCAGCACGAATTCAAGAAATAAATTTCAGCTTAACTTCCTTCATATGTTGCATGATTACCCAATACCGATTTCATTCATGAATGAACTGAAGTAAATTCATACAGAGCACATTAGAAAGAATAAAATAGCAAAAATAATGTTCATTAATTGTCTACTCCTACGTTAGAATTCTTCTTTTAATCATTGTGTCGGCTTGAATAAAACTATTATCTTTAATGCATACATTAAAAAAAATTTTAATGGAAACTCTTCGTGCGAAATGCTCGGCTACAAAGTGCAAAATGTAAATCAGTATTTTTTCTTGCTCGAACAACAATTGCATTTGAAGTTCATTTACATCAGTGATTATTCTTCTAATCGGATTGAGTACAACCTACGAACTGAAACTATTGTTTCGATTTAATCCAAACCTTGAAGGCGTTTATTTTGAACAGTCTGGTTCATTCATCCGAATGGAAAAATCTTATTTACTCTCCCAATGTCAACTGAAATCGAATAATCTCTCTCTTCAATGGACTATACAACGTATAAATAAATCACTAGTCCGATTGACTATGAACCTAATTGTCCTTGTAAAAACAAAGACTTTACTCGTCCAGTTAATCGCCGTCTATTTGCATCGAATATTTTCTCTTTTTCTACCGCTGTATATGTGTGTCTAGTCTATTTGTTCTCGAGCTTTGACTATAGAATAAACAATGGGGAAAATGAAAGAATAGAAGAAATCAGAGACATAAATTTGGGTAAAAACGCATCGAACTATTCATTCGTTTGCTATCTTCGTTGAAAGTCACTCTATCATGTCACATTCGAATACTTCAGCAGATCAACATCATTTACCAGTCGGTCGTTTTCCACGACACTTATTCGATTTCGAAAATTTCTTTGGTAAATCTCAATTTAATATCGATCGTATGATTGACAAATGATTTGTCTTTGTTCAGGTCCTTCACTCGATTTATTCGATCCATTCGATGAAGTTGATTTAGCTTCACACCGTATGCAAAGTGCTCTTCAGTATGTATTGATGACTCTTCAATTTGAAATGATCATTTCGACTATTTTAGATGGTTACAAGATCCACCACGTCTTCAACGGGAACTTTGTCCAGTCACAGGTCACAAAAAACGAGCACATACTGATAAATTTCGTGTAACATTGGATGTAACTGGTTATAAACCCGAAGATTTAAGTGTTAAAGTCGTTGGTCGCAAATTGTTCATCGATGGTAAACAAGAATTTCGCGAAGGTACATTCATTATCAAACATTTGAAAATAAAATCCGCACTAATATCTTTGTCGTCTTAGGTGAAGATTTTTCCACCAAAGAAATGCGCAAAACATACGATATCCCAGAAAATGCCAGCTTTGAACACATGACATCATTTCTTACAGCTAAAGGTTTGATTATTATCTCTGATCAAATGAATTTTAGTAACAACGAATTTAATAACTACTTTAGGTACATTGGTCGTTGAATTTCCATTGATCACACCAGTCAAGGAACGAGGTAAACTTTGTGTCTGTATGAAATCGTTTCTATGATTTTCGTCTTTCTTACAGATGATCATCATCATCAAGTACAACAATACAGTGCTCATGTCAAAGAATTCAACTTCGACGAATTCTTCAAAAGCGCATTCGAACCCAAAATCAGCGATGATGCTGAAAAAAGTGGCAAAAAAATCGATCTATCATTGGACATGACTGGTTTCCGTCCCGATCAAATTCAAATTCACCTTAAAGATCACGATCTGATCGTTCAAGTAAATTAATCTCAAATATCATCATCTACTCCAATACAAATCATCTTTTCCTCCATCTAGGCTGAATCAAGCTCATCAGATAAACAACACACAGCTCGTTCATACATCTACAAAGCTATTACATTACCACCTGTATGTTTTCGATCGAATATTTTTCAGTATTTCATTTCGATCACTTTCTAGAACGTTGATGTCGAACATATGCGATCATTCCTTCATGATGGCAAACGTCTTGTTATTACAGCTCCATACCATGAAGATATGAGTGCTTTGAAACAACGAACTATGGGCGCACTTCCTCATGCCGATCAACCTGCAACGTCAATCAAGCACAGCGATCTTCATATGAACCAATGCCCATCACCAACAAGCTCAACATGTTCGATTGCTGGTTCAGTTAACTCGACACTTGGAAGCACACGTTAAGCAACGAACCTTTATAAAATCTTATCTCTTTTTTTTTATATTTCAAATAAAATATGCTTTTCAGGAATTGCTGATGCATTAAAAGAGAAAAAAATTTCATATAAATAAACTTTATCTAAATCGAAAATCTTATCTATTTACTCATAGAGATACAAAACTATATCAGAAAACTAAAAATCCACACATTTGCCTTTTCTTTCCCAATCACCGTAACGTGTCGGTTCAGGTCCACTTGGTCCACCGATTTCACCAGTGTGCGGATTTGTGTTATTGGGCCACGGTTTTAACGGTTCTCGTTCTGCATCAGGGTGAGCATCTTCATCTAATTTACCCGCGGGTGTTTTTATTTTCTTTGCCGGTTTTTGTGAATTTTTATTAGCTGAACTTGTTGTTGAATGTAAACGTAACGTGTTACACACTGCAAACGAACGTTGAAGATAACCGGAATGGAAAATAGACGAACACAATCGGGTGAGCATATCTGCAATGTGAAGAGATCATGAAAGATGAATTCACTTGTTCTTAGTTCATTTCCAACTTTTAATCCAATGAAAAAGATTCATTTGTACAAAAAAAAACAACAAAATAAGGCGAAAACAACAGATGGATTAATGACGTTTTGAACGATCGTTTTTGGATGACGATGGTGAACGTGTCCGACGACGTTTGCTTGAATGTGATTCTTCTTTATGAGAATGCTTTTTCTTATGTTTCTGTTTGCTTTCGCGTTTTTCATCTTCTGATTCCGATTGAGAAGATGCAGACCGTGAACTATGCTTTTGTTTACGATCTTTTTTATCCCTAAACAAGAAAACTGAAGATAGTTTTCGATATCATTGAATAAACGATGCATACTTCTTTGATTTTAATGCGCGTTGTATTGTTCTCAGTCCGTGTTTCTTAACGAGATCAACAAGAAATTCGTCAAGATCTTTTTCAGTCATCAAATCTGACTGCTCAGTTTCATTTTTCGTATCTTTATCCTGCTCTTCATCACCGTCAGTTTCGCTATCTTCACTTGCTGACCAATCATGTTTATCTTCATCAGAGCCAGCTGCTTTCTGTTGTCGACGTCTTCGTCGATCTTCTTTCTTTTTTTTATCATGACTTTTCTGCTGATCATGATATTTGCCATGACGATTGTCACCATGAATGGCTGGTGTCATCGGTTCGTTTTTCACTGAAGTTGATTGGGGTTCACGTTTAGTCACCGGTTTCTGTTGTTGAATAGGAGTCGCGACAGCAGCAGCAGCAGCGCCTGAAAATTGCTACAAATAAAATTTATATAGCGATATAAAAAACGAACTTGGTAATGGTTTCATGCCTAAAGCGGCCATCAATGCATCTTCTTCCAGCTTTTTAGCTGCGCGAAATTCTGCTGACTTGATTTGGACTTGATTTTGTTGAGTTTTAGAATATCTGTAGTCAAAGAAGCACATAGAAAGATAAGTTGTCTCTCCAAATATACATACTTTGATGCATCTTTTCCATCTTGCCATCGACCGGTTGATGCTTTGCCTGAATGTCCTGAACAGCAATCTCGATCTCTGTCTGATCTAGCTGCATCCCAACTAAATAAACATTCATAGGAAACAAAATCATTCACTATTCTAACTTACTCAAACTGATCCTTTCCACCGCGAGATTTCTGATATGCAGACATCTAAAACATATACACAAACAGTTTAGTTGCTTTTATTTATATACACGAGATAAAACAAGAGGAAGGAAAAAACAAATGATCTTTTTTTCACACTATTAGGATGAACAAGCACATGATGCAGCATGTTCAGCTGAATAGACGAATGCTTCGGTCGCTAATGCTGGATGTTGTTCAACTAAGATTCGCCAATCGTCACTTTCTGTCACTTCGAGGATATTGCGCATAATGAAATTCAAAACACGCTTTTTCAATTCGTGTGCATTGTGTAAATCGGCAACTATGTAGAGCATGGTACAATTCGAAACGGATAAAGAATTCATCATGATTAATTCCGCACGTTGTTTCAACAATTCTAATTCGTATTTATCAGCAGCTTTAAAGATTTCTACAGCATTGTGTTCATCGATCTCTTCGACATTCGATGTATAGATGTATTCGAGCAAAGCACGAACTGTCTCGGGCTGTAAATCAGTTATTTCAATGGTCGAATTTTGATCTTCAAGCATTGAATGAGAAAACATCGCAGCGAACACTGGACTACGAACCTGAAATAAAAATACAATACATTTTGAGAAAACAAAACAACTGAAATAGATCGCACTTACACTCAATATACTCCGATGAGCGTAGAATGTCATTGTTGTTGGTGTTGACGGAATAGCTAATGCTGTAGATGTTGTTTCATCATTATTTGTTTCACCAGATGATTCACCAGCACCATTACTTCCACCTGAGTTTGTACTATATCGTTTACGTTTTGTTCGATTATTTCCTATACTAGAACTACTACTATTATTGCTGTTCGCCTTTTTCGACGACGATTTGGCTCCATCGATAGGTGATGAAGACGCTGACGATGACGAGGGTGTGTCGTGTGATTTGTGTTCGTAGACTAAACTATTGAAATGTTGTGGCCGAACGATAATGGTCACATCATGACAGTTGTCTTTCGTTGAAGTTAATAACGAACCTAAATGTGATGATAGAGAGACCAGACTTTCATAAGTGTTCTTCTTCTCTTCATGAATTATCGACGAGGATGATTCACCGACAATTATCACCCGCGTAAAAATTTTCAAACTTTGATCAGCATTGAGTAATTCAGATTTTCGTTGAGTGGTCAACACCATTCGCATGAGATATTCCGAATAGCCCCAATCACCGCCTGTTGGAAAGATGTGATAGGGAGTTTTACGAACGATATGAAATTCTCCACGGCTGTTGATCAGAGAAAATTCAGCTTTGGCTTGTAGATCCGTACGGCCACGAACGTATTTGACAAACAGACTAATGTATTCAACGGATTTTTCATTAACACCTTTTGGATAGAGTTTCAAGCACCAGCTGAAATGATCAAAGTCAAGAAAATCGGATGAAAATTGGTCATTGACAAACCTTGTATCAGTATGTGGACCGAAATTTGGAGAAAAATAAGAACTGAAAAGAACACGAGGTGATTGCGGATCATCTGAAATTAATAATAACCGAGACTTTATCAACAGAAAATGAACAAATCATACGAACCAAGATACGATTGAAAATGATCAATTGTCCATAAATGTGTAAATGACACAACTTTCCTATCCGTCACACATATGGAATGGGGAGGATTGGACGACAAAGGTCTGTTCCCACGAAAATTTGAACGTTCCACGCCACTGCCTGACATTGACTAGGAATGGATGAGCTAATGATTGACCAAGAACAATAACAATAACGTGTTAACTAACGTTTTGATTGGTTCAGACCATTGCGCCAATGAGATTTCTTCAACGATAGGTTGTACTATGCTGATTTATTGGTTGATTTCATTCTGTTGACATGACCTGAATTGCGTCTAGACTCAAGTCAAATCAATTTTCATTCTTTTTTTTTCAGAATGTAAATAAAACGATTTCGACAACAAAAGAAAACGAGAATATGGATGCCATTCATATTATCATGGCGACTTCAACGTCTGCCAATCCACATAATTCACCACATTTACGAATTGAGAGTTTAGCAAGAAAAAGAAAACTCTCGGCGGTGACTTTTCTTGGTTAGTACTGAAAATAAGCATCACCTTAGTCTTATGTTTCTTTTGTTTGGTTTAGTATTTGGAATTCTACTGATTGTCGCCGGTTCTCTTCTTGCTTCATTTGAAAAACAAAGATTTTCCGTATCATTTATTGTTTTTGGGTACGAAAGATAACGAAAAACTGAAATTTAATCTACCTTCTTTCTTGTGTTCAGTGGAATTGGCATCATATTTGCTTTAATGTATTGGGTATCCGCAGAAAAAATTCTAATTGCCTTACGAAAACTGAATGCTGAACGAATGCGGGTAAGACTTGAACGCAATCTCTTGTTTTTCGAACAATTTAATTCTTAAAAACTTCTTCTTAGCAAACCAGATACTACGCTCAAAATCCTGACGCAGCCGTTTTTGCCACTATGAATAGCAGGTATGTAGTTATACATTGACACAAGGTAATTTTGCTAATGGAATGATTCTCTAGAGAATTTAGTCGATATCCAAATTCATTGCATGTCGGCTTGCCAAGTTATGAGCAAAGTGTTCTACATTTCATTGGTAAATGCTAATTTACCCAAATCGCTCGTATTTTCTTGCTATGTATTGTAGATATTCCACCGTCTTACGACGAAGCAATCAAAATCAAATCATCAAATCATCTACTGAACAATTCTAGTCAACACCTTCCACCTACACCGATTCATTCAATTTCACTTGCAGTCGATCAAGCTGCAACAGCTGCTACCACTCTTCCCACAACAACAACATCTGAACAAATACCAAATCGGAAATGCGCTGCATCCAGACATGCACCTCACGAACCTTAGATAGACATTACACAATCTGTTTTGTTTGTAGTATAACCTTCTCCAAGCATTTCTATATGTAAATAGAAGTGTATTTATTTGTTTACATCTCTCAAATTTCTATCAAAATTTTTTGTTAATTTTATTGTGACAGACCAAGAGAGTATGAGAATATGTTTTGAGTCGCTTTTTCTCTTTCTCATTTCGTATGTATGTGTGTATATATGCTTAGCTCAATCTCTCTTTACATCTTTGCAATGATTTTCTTGTTCTTTTTTTTTTGTGATCTTTATTTTTTATTGTATGCGTTTTGTATCAGTATTTATCAGATGCTATTTGTCATTCGTTAGATTGATAATACAATAAATGTAGACTTTTCATCGACCTTGAAGACTCACGATTAGAAATTTCATCGAATGATCTACGTCTTTCATTATGAAAACGTACGTGATTATGTTTTGCAAACAATAGCACAAGGAAAATGAGCTGCCGTGGGGGGTTTTTGAGTTACTTTTAATGCGAATAATAAAAATGGAAGTAATTAAGTAGTTGATGTTTTCTTTCCGGAATTACGTAAAGTAAACCTTGAGGTGTAAGTAGAGAGTACAAATACAATGTGAAAGAATTTCATTGTTTCTTTCTAATCTGTTCCGTGTTCTGATCAGTTAATGCAAATTCGAAATGAAGTATCAATGAAACATCCCAAAAGAAAAGTCCCTTAATTTTATTAACGTCAAAAGAAAACAAACAGAATGATGAATTCGAGTTTAAATAATTTATAATCGTATCACGAGATTCACAGTATCTTCATTTTTCTCAAAGTTGTTGAACAAATTTGTTCACATCGTATTCATTACTGTAACATTCTTCATCATTGTCCAATTGTTCCGAGAATGTATCAAGTATTGCTTTTAATGTTTGCTTCTTGTTATTATTAGTCAATTTCTTTGACGAGTTGTCCGCTAACAGCGATTGTCCTTTCGCTTCGTCACCTAACGATATAAGATCAATCAAATTTGTTTCTCGATCTAAATTTAATAAACTAGATGAATTATTATCTGAAGCTAAGACAGTATCCGCCAGATTGGTTTTGAATCGTTGAAGACTAAAGAAAGGGAATGAATACATAAATTTAAATCAAACTCTAAGACGAACTTCATAATCTTTTCTTCGATAGTGTTTCGTGTGATTAGTCGATAGACGTTAACAACTTTCTTCTGTCCGATACGATGTGCCCGATCCATTGCTTGCAGATCTTTGCTTGGATTCCAATCATGTTCAACAAAAATAACTGTGTCAGCACCAGTTAAATTTAAACCGAGACCACCGATATGTGTCGTAAGTAAAAGAAGATCAATACTTGGATCTGAATTGAATAAATTAACTGTATTAAAACGATCGACAGCGCTCATTGAACTATCCAAACGAAGAAAACTAACATTTTCCATAGTTCTATAAAAAAAAAGAAACAAATCATCAGTTCCGAACTCCGAAAGATAATATCATACCCAAGAACTTGATTGATAATCACATCAATCATGACTTTCATTTGACAAAAAACTAATGCACGATGAGTTGATACAACAGCATCTTTTGATACACCAATTCCACATTCGATCAAAAGTTCTCTATTGTACAGAAAGACAAATAAACATCCGCGAAAGAATTAGTCAAATGATTTACTTAAGTGCAAGTAATTTGCCGGATAATCGAATGTCATTCAGAGTAATATGGGATTCTTTTAATTCGTTTTGTACATTACCCCATTTGGGATGTTCGGGCGTCAGAATTAGAGCAGGATGATTACACAGTTTTCGTAAATATTGCAAAGCCTAGATGACAAGCAGGAGACTAATGACCTTGTTCGAAACTTTTCCTACCTTAAAGACATGACCTGTTGACGAATTTCCATTTTGATTCTGTGAATCGTTATCAGAATATCTGGCTTGTTCTTTTGTTTTATTAGCGAAATCTTCATAGAGCATACACTGGATAGAACTTAAATCACAATAATAATCTTGTAGGATTTTCGGGGGTAAATCGTCTAAAACATCGCTTTTCAGACGACGTAACATGAATGGTTTGACTTGTTTATGTAAAACATCCATCGCCAGTTGTCCTTAATAAGATTGAATAGGAATAGATTTAGAATTCACTGCGAAATTGATGTTCTTACCGTGCTCAAGATCGCGATCTCGACTAGAGGCAATCAACGGTTTTTGATATCGACGAATGAATTGTTTTTCCGAGCCCAAATAACCCGGCATAAGAAAATCGAATAATTTCCATAGTTCAAGTGCGTTATTTTGTATTGGTGTACCGGATAATATAAGACGATGAGCTAGAAAATAGACATTCTGTTAAATGAATGAAATAGAGTGAAAGTTCATACCTGCTTGTATCTGACGAATAGCTTTTGATAATTTCGTTTTCGAATTTCGAATGACATGACCTTCGTCCAATACACAATAGTTGAATGGCACTGTCCTGTGAAACGAATCTGCTTTAGTATGGTAAAAAACTGCGTCGAACGAAGTTCTTACGAGAAAAACGCAATATCACTACGAACAACATCATAGGACGCCACAATGACAGTGTATTCCTTGAAATTTTGTAAATATTTGTTTCGTAATCTAAATATTGATGCATAGACACTCGAGAAATTGGTAAATAGAAACACGTACCCATCACGTTCAGCTAGATTCTTTCCGGAATAGAGCAATGGTCGTAGAATATCCTCACTAACGAATTTATTCATTTCACTAGTCCAATGTCGTGTTAATGTCGGTGGTGAAACAACAAGTGATGGTCGAATTTCTAGGTTCTATTTCAAATAAATAAGATCTTCATCCTATCGAATCGTTCGTGAAATTCTACAAACCTCCTTCCGTCGTTCAACAATATCTGCAGCAAGAACACAAATCGTTTGTAATGTCTAACAACATCACAATACAGCAAACCAGAGAATAAATGATTCTATTCTTACTTTTCCCAAACCCATATCATCAGCTAAAACACACGAGAGATTATATCGTTTAAGAAACATCAACCAATTGATGCCATCCTACAACAAACACGAGAGGATGTTTGTTGAACGAGCAAATTTCAAATTTCATACATGTTGATATGGTCGAATGTCTACTTTAACTGGCATTGGTAAATGATACACAGGCATTTTTCTGTTATCAAAAAGTTGTTCAAGAAAATCGCCATTATCTGTCCCGTTTTTCTCTCCAGCTGTTTTATCGTCATTCTAAACAATTCCTTCATCTTCATTTTATACAACCTCGAAAGCTGCTTACACTTAAAGCATAATATTTAATCAGAACAGCGAAGCAATTACTGGCCGTGGATCGTATATACCAATCCTGATGTGTCATCGATTGAATACAAGGTATCATTAAGAAACTCGCATATGGAACAATGTTAAGTGCTTGTTTGTCGATTATATCTAGATTATTAGAAAATGAAAAGAACTTGTTTTGTGCGTATTTACAACATACGAAAGAGAGCTTCGATGGGTCCTTGTAAATAATTTGTGTCCATGTTTGTATTTGTTAATTTTGGAAGGATGAATTCGATTACGTGTTTAAATACATGTTCGGTTTTATACATCGAGAAAACACCAAGACAACGTGCTGCGAAATATCGTACAGCTGTGTATTTTGATGATAAGCATCGTGATATATTTGGTAAGAGTTTCAAGTACTAAAACAATGTAATGTGTGTTTACAGATGCTTACAAACAATACTTACATCGTTTAAAATTGTATCATGAAGATGTGGAATAAGAGTCGTGAGGATTTGTAATGTATCTGCCAGATGTTGTGCATCATCAGTCGATTGTGTTTTACACAGTTCTTGAAAATAAAATAAAGCAGTTTTCATTTGGTTAAGATAAAATAGACGTACCATCGGTGAATTGTTCCAGATTGGAGACGATTCGATGATATAGATCAGGTAATTTGCTTTGTAATTCAGTACCAAATCGACGGCAAATTGCAGCTAGAGTAGATTCTCCTCCATGTCTAGAATAATCGTTGTTAGTCGACGCATCGAAACTCTAGAGAAGATTCAAAAGTTATTTCGATTCTGAATTCTAGAAGAAATTACAAATTTTCTCGCATTGGAACTAGCTGAAGAAGGTGTAGGTGTTGAATCACCAGAAGAATCACGTGTGAATGTATTCTTTGAAGTATCATCCTAAATAATCACCAGAAATGAACGTTCAATTCAAAGGGAAAACGTCTGGGATTAGTTTGCGTATACTTACACTATTCGTTTTTTGCCATGTATAGATACCTTTAAGAGTGGTACAACTATATTCTTCGTTCACATTTGAAGGTGCTTCACCGGATTCTAAAAAGTTTTAATAAACGAGACCTTTTCAAATCAAACGCTGATCTAACCTGTAAAACGTGTCGAGCTGATTACATGCGGAGATTCATCCGAATCAGCGCAGACATAATTGCATAAATTTTTGATGATTTTATTATTAGGATTTGGAGTTGTGGTACGTTGTGTACATTGCCAGATAAGTTCTGCTGCCGCATTCGCTATATCGTCCTAAATCGATACAATCGATGAAATGTTATATCATACATAAGCATTTCCTACTTGAATAGATGGGTCTGATTCTTTTTTAATTGCATCCATCATTGGCCGAATCAATGGATTAAGTTGTTCGCCAAGAAAACGCCAATAAACACACGCCGATGCTAAATAAGCTGTTGATCTGTTCAGAAAAAGAAGCAACAGCAGGGATACCTTATCGATTCGATCATGATTAATTATCGAGAAAATCCTACCTAAGTGAAAGTGTCTCCGATTCTTTCTGTATCCGCTGAGCCTCATCACGAATATTCTGTTTTTGTCCATTCAATTGCGGATGAGTATCAATACTTGAATGAACATTATTACATAACTCAATAATATGATCCACCGAATGCAGCCTACAAGAAAAAAAACTCGCGATGATATTCATGAAGAGAACAAATCGTGTATGAACTGGAACAAAGAATGTATTCGTTAAACTTTCGAATACAACCCAGAGAGGTTCATTGCTTGATTATTTTTTCGAGTTACACAAAACTTTCACGTCTAGTTTATAGGAATATAATCGACGTGAAAGGGAACGTGTCTCGATTGGTGGGGAAAGATTTGTTTGGTAGACTTACTCGATCGAGGCGATTGATTGCTGACTGCACAGATTTTGTCGCGCACATTCATGCATGAATGATGTAAAATCGCGCTTCAACTTCGTAAACGATGGTGCGATTTCATCGAAATAAATCGTCTCATTCAGTGAATGATTTAACCGTTCTTGAAGACCAGTTGTATTCAATGAGCATTCCGTCAAATTCTTTAGTAGATCAAATGAAAATGAATAATCTTTCTGTGATTTCTTTTCGCATCTTACTTTCGCCCATTCGCTGGCAATCATTCCTGCAAGCATCCGTTGCACAGCGGAACGATAGTTCAAATGTTGAGTCAAATAATTTAAAACATCGTGCGCTTGTTGTTGATCGTAGTGAACAAATAGTCGGCCAAGTAATCGAGCGGCTAAACGTCGACACCGGCTAACTGCGCGATCATGTTCTAGAGGTGCTTCCTGATGACATGCTGTGAATCCCATTGCTAAGTATTGCTGATTGTTTGCTGCTGAACTATTCAAATAATGTCGATCATCTCTGTCAACAATCGATGTAGACTATCGAAATGGAAATAAATCGAAATATTAAACAAGCTCAGATTCATTGAATCATCAATTACTTGTTGAGGCTGATCATCATTTATTAACCACAAGGGATTAATCGGTATTTTAGCAGGATGTACAGATAAACATATCCATCGTTGATAAGATGATGCGGTACATTGTTGCACAAGAGTATTGGTCTGACATAGAATAGTCCATGCCTAAAAAGAATTGAATAGGGAAAAGAATCAACCGGATAAGATGTTAGTTACTTGTTCGATTGATGCCAAAACTTTCTCATCTGATTCGAGAATAGCACGTTCGAAAAGTAGACGAAATGTATGTTCTAGCACAGCTAATTCTTCCGGAGAACATGCAGTTAATTTTGACTAGAATGAATGGAAAAAAATCGTAAAATGAAAAGATTCGAGTGTTAGATTACTTGACTAGCTTCGATGATTTTCATCACAGTTTGAATAGCAGCTAAACGAAATGGTAGGGTATGATGACGGCAGAATGGAAAGATTTTTGGTAGGACATGAGCAAACGATAATTTAAATCTTTTGTAAAAAGAAAAACAAGCAGAATATCAACTTGAGAGAGCACAATATGCCTTACTTCTCTGCTGAATTAGATGCGAGCAATTTGGCTAGAAGATTCATGATTGAACTAGCAGCTGCGTTCAAATCATCCATTGTGTCGAGTAATCCAATCAATTCACCGATTAGTCCAGGTGCACAATCGAGAACAACCTGACGAAGATAAAATTGAGTGTGAATCTTTGATTTTTCTATCTCTTACAGATTCATATTGTGCCACAAGAGGTATTAAGGTTGCTGCAGCCGTAGCCACGACATCGTCGGACTCATCTTCAAGACACTTTCGGACACCTTGAACACATTGAGTTCGAATTTGTTCGGGTATTTCCTGCAAAAGAATTCTTTTCATGTCCAATTCCTTTAACATATTTCCACTTACTTTGAGAATGCTGAACACATATTTTAGAGTGACTAAAGCTCCATGTCGAATCTCCCAAGTGCCATCGTATTTCAAGAGATTTAGAAGAATTAAAATTAACGTTGAACATTGCGGTTGGTCATACAAACGATTACAAATAATACTTAATGCTTGGGCGCCTGTCTCTCGTATTGGTGCGACGACCTAGACGAAAACGAAGAACGGAAAGTTTACCTCCGCAACAGTTCGTCAAAGAAAAGAAAAGAAAAGAAAAGAAAGAAAAATAGAGGACATTAAGTGTATCCGATGTACATATCTCAGTGGCAGAACAAGGAAAACCGTACTATTTTTCTTCTTTAATAAGCTTACATCAGCACGTAAGATAACTTATATATACAAATAGATATATAAATAAACACATCTGAACTGCTACTTCTCTCTTCTCTCTTTTCTTATATAAATCATATCTGTACGATGGCAAGATGAAACAGAGATGGTAACTGTAAGATAGAAAACATATGCCGAGATAGATGAAGGTGACAGTCATAGAATTATTCGTCGTCGACGTCGCAAGCATTTGTTCGTATCAACTATCAACGATGGCATGGACTCCGATTCTTATCGTCCTTACTGTCTGTCTTGGTTTTTCAACGATCAATGGTTGTCTCTCGATGGGTGAGGATTTTCCACATTGATTTTCAAGTCAGTATAAAAGTTTAGGCATAGTTTGCTGATCATCTCTAGTCATTCCATCATCGTCAACACCATCGATACCAGATAACTCCTCTAACACTACTACTCTTCCGTCGACTACAGCCAATGCGACGCATCACAACACAACAGCTCCGCCAACACACGTTCTTCGTGTACGGATTCGTGTACACAATTCGCTAATCGAAACGTTAGTTAACAAGAAACAATTGGATTTAATTGAAGTTCAATTGCGACAACGGCATATCCCGTATCGTCAAATTCAGGATAATAAAGATGGAATAACAATCATCATCGGACCGTTTCATAAATCAACGAATCTAACTGCAACAATGATGATGTTTAATCAATCACGTTTTCATACGAATTTTACTAAGATTATCCCGATAAAAACATCAATTGGGGATCAGAAGAATCTAACTAATACAACGATTCAATCCGATGAAAAGAAGACTCCCATGGATCATTTTCGAATATCTGTCGAAGCACATGAATACGATCTCGCACATGATCAAGGTAGTTCATCTTCGTATTCTTCCTATCGCATCTCCTTCGTTTGACTTTTTAGAATCTTTGGAATTTCGGAACTGTTTGGAAGCATGTGAAATTTATGAACGCAATGAATTGAAACCTGATCATGATTGTATTCGAAAGAAATGTCTCAAGGATATAACAGGCATTTGACAAAAACGGTTTTTTCCTAATTTTAAATAAAACTTACCTCATCTGAAACATAATCTGCAAATCGATCAAGGATAATCAGTGTTAGTAACCGAACGCTTAAATCTTCAAGCCATTGAGTATAGAATTCATTCTAAAAATATCAAATCGGTCTTTCAAATGTTCGAAAAAGAAGAACAAACAGAAGTTGATGTTGATTGTTGATCTTTAAGAAAATCACGAAGTGCAGTGACCGCACCATGTCGATGTTCCCAAACTGGCTGAAAAATTTGCTCAATTAACCAATCGTAAAATTCATTCAAGGACCAATCTGGTCGATTCTAAAAACAGACATACATACGAGTTCTTACTTTAGTCAGAACTTGGAGGAAAAAAAACCAGACTCACATCATCGTTGTCTACACTTGTACTCGATGATTTAAGTCGTTTCGATGGTGTTGGCTCAGTGGAGGAATCTTGTTCAAAAATTGCATATTGTTCACCAAAGACAAATCTTTGTAAATCATTTGAAGAGATCTACAAGTAAACATTCATCGGCGTTCGTATATGAACTTCTTCTCTCTTCACATACACATTTCATATTCGAATTACTATCATTAACCGGTTCCATTTTGAAGTCATTTTCTTCGACAGGTAGATCTGTTCCTGTTAGACCTTCTTGTAAACCGAAATTGAATTCTTTTCGAACAAACTTTTTCTGAACGGATACATTTCCATCTAAGAAACAAAACTTTGATGAATAAAAGACGAGAATACAAGTCTTTACGAACCATAATCGCCTATTTCTTCGATTTTTCTCGCACCGAGATACAATGTTGCACTATTAGCAATCACATTATTGAAATCGAATGTAGCTAATTTCAAACCATATCGCGAACTTGGATTGAACAGAACTTAAACAAAAAGAGCTGGGATTCACTGGGATTGAAAATGAAATTTTCAAGATTTACTTGAGAAATCGTCCGAGATATTTTTACTAATAAGTTCAATGGCTAAGCCACATGCAATACGAACATCCCATGTTGAATGAATAACGTGTTTTTTCAACTTAAACCATCAAAAGAATGTTTAATGCAAATAGTCATCCGATCATTTACTTTCTGAAGTATCGGTCCGACTTCTTTGGGTAATGTACTAGCTATTTCACCAATCTGTGTTGCAGCTGATCGTCTGACTGATAAGGAATCGCCATTGCTTAGTAAAGTTAACAGACGATCAAGTCTAGTCGAGAAAAAACGAATATTACAAATGAAAAAAAAACAATGGATCCATGTTTGTCCTTAACACACCTCGAAGTCATTCTTCGCTCGGCAGTTAATTGTTAATAATCTAGAAGAAAACGTTCAAAATCGACGAAAACCAGGCAACAGTTGAATTGCTGTTTGTAAATCAAATTTTGAAGAAGCATTTGAATGATTTGCTTGTGTGTTTTCGTTGGGCTTTTATAGTATGAGAAGAAACTCGTCTATCCAGCGTAGCTTTTTGTCTCGAACAACGTCAATGAATCATACGCAATAAAAACTATTTATTTATTGGTTCGTATTACATTAGGTACAACAGAGGACGCTAAATATAAGTCGAAAATTTCATTTCAACATGTTTTCAAGCGAGAAGTCTGCCAGGAGCCAAATGACATACTCGTACATCGATATTGACATGTAAAAGATCGCGAAGAATTATCTACTTAGTCGAGTAGAGTAAAATCTATTAACATGTCAGCCGTAAAACATGACAAACTCGCTTATAATCTATGCATTGACCTTGCCGTCGTTTTCTGCAAAATATCTGATGTATTGGACAGTCATTCTCGCATGTAGGCCCTGAGCAAACCATTTACGAAGTCATGCGAGCTTCAACAGTCTTGACACACATTTCTGAAAGATTTTAATTAACGAATTAACTCAAGTAAACATCCGTTACTCATGTGCTATTTAATTCTTGCTAACAATTTCGAACGTCAGAACATTTTATCATGCCTTACAGAGACTTCATACTAAAAATGATGTTGATTTCAAGCTATTCAAATATTAAAGTCCAGGCAATCATTTGTAGCTATTCTTTCTACTTTAACGAGTTCAATGTTATCACGAATTTTCTCCGCTTCAAATTCGAGTGCTTTCAACAAGATATCATCTTGACTATTCTCGAAAAGTCTCTCATCGCTGAGTAACCTTGATTTATTGCGATGTTATGTTTAGAGATTGGACGGTAACATTGGTGACTGTGTAGAAATTGAGCTGAGATTATATCTTTATTCATCTACTTTTGTTCTTCTCTTACGACTATTTGTTTATATTTGTTAAAGCATATGCATTCATACACACGTCCAAGCACTTCACTTACAAAACTAAACATTCTCTTCTCTTGCGTCTTTCTCTCGTTTTTGATAAACGAAAAAGTATATAACATTGAAAGAAATTGTCGTCTGATCATCACAACATCACCATGTTCTTCAATTCCAATCTTCAACATCGCGTCAAACATTACGATTTGCTTCTCTCGCGTGAGTTAGCAAATCTTCAGCGTGAACATTCACAAAATCTCATCACCTACGAAAAATTTGAAAACTCCATTCGTCGAGATAGTAAGCAGAACTGTCAGACAAATAGAAGAAAGATCTCTACACCATCAGAGGATAGCTGTCACGAACAAATCGATGCATTTGATTATCGTAAACTATGTTCGAATAGTTTCAAACGTCGTTTATCGAGCAGTACAAGTAGCAATCATAGTCAAAATCAATTGGATGATTTTGACGATGATACAATGTCGTATTCATCTTTCAAACAAAGACGATATTCAACGAAAAACCAACATTTACCGCCGATGGTCAAAGCAACATTGAACGAACGAGGGAAATATAGAAACAAGAATCAGCATTGGATGACGAATTTTCAACAGACGAAACAGTCGAAGAAAAATCCTTTTGAACCATTTACAATCGTTATAGAAGAACCACCAGTACCTATTCGACCTGAGCCAACACCTTTACAGCGACAAATTCGATCATTTTTAAACAATTTACCCACATATCGAGGTATTCAAAATGGTTTTGATAACTTCGCTCCATCGTCACTCTATTCCAATCGTCCGCCAATTATTATTCGATGAAAATCAAGTCTCATCTTTTTGAAAGAAGACTAATATCGAACATCTAGTCATTGAAAACTTTCTATTCTTCGTCTTGTTTGGTTGATATTTCAATTATTACTTCTCGTCCTTGACGACATTGAACATTGTCGTTGTTCTCTTTTCCTTTTAATAAGTCTTCGCTTAGCACGACTTGCTGACAAGTCGTCTCAGGTATTCATAAATGTTTTTCATATTATTTTAAGAGTATAAACATCATCAAGATGACTCTTAGATGGCTTGATGAAACATATTATTTGATTTCAAGGACTAAAGCAAGAAAAATGATCGCCATTCAAGTGTCAATCGACCGAACAAATGTTTTGACTGATTCTCTTCTTTTCTTTTATTGTAGAAAAAAGTATATTTAACAATAAACAAACAATGGATTTTTCAATGTTTCAGTTTTCAATATCGTCTAGCGAGATATTCACGTTTTTGACATTCGTACAATCGGCGAACGTCATTGCGGAAATTAACATTAAAAAATGAATAAATCAACGGATTGCACTAAAATTCAGAAGAAAAGAAAAAAACTTTGGTTTCGTTTCCGAAGAAATGACGTTACTTACTGCACTATTCACGTAACAAAGTAGAAACAAAACTTCACGGTAGGTATGATTTTGAATGTCGAACAAAATGTGAATGATCGATGGTAAATACATTAGGATGAAGGTAGATGTAACAATAAACAATGTAAATGTTGTTCTAATGTTTGCTAAGCGTTCTTGCGTTTGTTGCCGTTCGAGTGTTCGTTGTGTTTCGCAGTCGAATGTCGAAGGACGACGCGTAGATGAGATGGACAAAGCTCGATCCAACGGATTTGAATGATCAATCGCTGAGACTGTCGATAGAGAACGTGGAGTACTACTCATGTGAACGGCTAAATTATGCTGTGCTGGGTTATTTTGAGATTGATTTGGAGCTACTGGAAAGTTTGATGGAGCAAGGCTTGCTCGTGGACAGGTACTTGACGTATCTTCATTAATACATCGATCAGCAGTAGTTCCAGAGGATGTCACTATTGATATAGAGAAGAGAAAGAATTTCCGGAGTTCTGACTGTTGTGTGTAATTATCTTAAGGGAAGACAAAAGCAGGCGAAGTCTGCCGAGCTAGTCATCAGTTTTTGACGTACACTTCAAAATGAGAAGTGTCGTATAGGGGGAATGTCATATTTCATTTATGTAAACAGCTTCTTCTTCTTCTTCTTCTTTGAAGAAATGAAAGTGAAAAATATAAGTAAGTCCTTTCACATCTGAATGAACGCGTGTAAGGCAAGCTGAGTTGTCAAGGAATTGTGCGCAAATAAGAGAGTTCCTGCGGAGAAAAGACAAAATACGTACGGAATGAAACTTTCCGTTGAGGAACGGATGCATCCGATGGTCGGGCTTGTGTACGAGTAGATAATGTGTTACTTGGTTTGCGTATATACGACGGATGTAACAGATTTGCACATTGAGATACACTTCGAGGTAATTCATTTTCAGTCAGTGAATTTTCTTTTGGAACGGCGTCGCCTGTGGAAGAGGATGAAGAAGCTGGTGATAATGTAGTTCCTGTCGTCATCTGAAGACCAGGAACAGTTAAATGTGTTGGATTGGTTGCTGTAGTTGATGACATTGGACGTAATTGTAACAATGTATTGTTCAATGTTAACAATCTAGATGTCTGCTCAAACGAATCTTCGGTGGATGTCGACGGTCGACTAGTCGAGGAATTTTCCGTGCCACAATACGTCGTTGCTGCTATCGAATTAATTCTCGAGCGTATTAGACTTGTTGGTGAAGAATCATCCCAAACTCCACTCGTTAAATAAGTCATTGAGGTCATCGATATCGCTGAGTAACGTTTTCCACGAGCACCGTTGACTTC